ATGAGGTTCGAGGATATAGCTGAGAAGTTGTTTGATGTGGCAGACGACAGCAAAGTGCACGAACGAGAGAAAAGCTTCCTGGCAGCCCAGAGGAAACCGGGAAGGGAGGGCTGCATTGATGGCGTTGACAAAATTGTGACTGCCAAGCTGAAAGAAGAGAGGGAGAAGGAAGCGAAGAGGGCAAAGAAAAGGGCTGAGGAAGAGAGGAAAACTGAGAAGATGAGGTCAAAGAGTAAGGAGGAGATGGAGAGGATGTCGTGTAAAGTGTTGGCAGTGGATGACAGTGCTCAGGAAGAAGATAGTGATTATAAGGATGTCAATGACAATGAGTTCAAGGCTATGGTCGACAGGAGAGCAAGATCAGAGAAAAGGAAAAGGGAGAAAGAAGCCGAGGACAGGATCGGAGAAACTGCTGACAGGTTCAAGGTATCCAATGATGCAGTGGCTCACATCGCAAACACCATCAGAGCTGCAGACAACATCATAACTGAAGGGGACAAGTCTAAAGTGACTAACTGGAAGAAAGTGGAGAGAGTCAGGAAGAGGTCACGAGAACAGAAAAAAGAAAAGTTCAGGGCATTCCCGTCCAGGGAGCCTCAACAAACTCTGTAAATATTGCCATTGGCCTGCCATTGGCACATATACGGAGTTTGGTAATGTTCCATGAGCGGGAATGTCCTGAATTCATTCCACGGAATCTATCCACGCCGTTGGTAATATTGGGCCCTGGTTTTCGAAATATACGTATGTGGTGACTTGCAGCAAAAATATCGGCATAATTTGTAGCGCATTGAGTTGTAAAACAATAGCATATTATGAACCAGTGTACACAGTAGTCGAATAATCCAATTCAATAACTTGATTTTAACAGGTTGTGCCACATTGCCAGTCCCTTTATTATTTACAGTTTTTTCGCGTTTTTCATGCCAAACCCAAAAGTATCCACAGACCTTCTAATGCAATGATGTAAAAAACTCAAACATATTCGGAATTAGCGTGGCCGATAGACAAATAATCCAACCCAAGCAATTAGATTTTGAAAACTTTTGCCAAACTGTCACTTCCTACTGGGCAGTATCAGATAGCTCTAGTAAGTCAAGTTCAATGCAAAGCCCATAGACTTGGTAATAAGACAGGTTTAGGTTTAGGTTTATGCACCCTCAAATGCTAGTGAGAATGAAGTCTTAGAAAAAGGTAAAAAGAAGCAACAGAAGTAGGGACACATGGGATGGGTAATAGAAATGAGAGGAGAGTAATATTAATCGAGCTTCGTAAGGAAAACAAGATGATACAGTAATTGCAAATACATAGTTTAACATCATAGGCATCTCTATACATGGATATCACCCCAGGACAATGTAAATAATATTGTCAGGAATCAAATAGAATTACATTTTAATTCAGAAATTATCCCGAAATTCAATAACCCGAAGGAAGATCACCTATCCAGAGGTAGATTGTGGGCTAGATCACGTCCCAATAATGAGTTTAGCGAGGCTAAAACTTCAAAAATTAAAAAGAAAACTAAGGACAAAATCAAATGAGATTTAGGGAAGCTCAAAACAAGGGCAAGGGTAGAATATAAAATTGAAGACGAAAACAGATTTTCAATTATGCTAGAGGGTGACTTTGATGAACAAGAACCAAGACAACAATTTAATAATTACAAACAAGTAGTGTTAGACTGGAGAAAAGCTTAAAGGACATCGGAGGAACGAAGCTCAAAGTGAAAGGATGACAATCGAGTTTCAAAGGTGGCAGGTAAAATTTATTGATATGATAGCATGTGTCGAGGGAGTCTTAACTGTTCTACATTAGTTCGTATGCACATACAGTACATTGCATCATCGTGTATAGTATAGACGTGCATGTGCGCGCGCATGAGTACATCCCGAGATAAGCCAATCATAGTTGCTCTTATAATTTCCATTCCCAATCCCTAATGCATTAAGTCACCTTGACATAAAAAAAGTTAGGATACTGAAAGGCCTAGATACATTTCTCTATACGGTACCAGGTCTGGAAGTGCAGTAATCATCCATTACAGTACACACACACACACACAAGAACACTTTACATAACCTCTTGGCGGGAGAACGATGGCCGTACCTGGTTAATTTATAAATTCCATACCCCTGAAATGTCCATGAACTGCTTTATACACTTAAAATATCGCTTGAAATATCTGTGGTATTGGAAGTTTTATCTTCACTGTGAGCGTGTACCCTTGTTGATGTTATTCGTACATTTCAAAGTTAAATTTTTATTTTTTTTATAGTTAAGAAAGTTTTCGACACGGATTTTTTTCCAGGACTTGTGTAGCACGTTTACGGCAGCAGTATAGACTCGAATTTCATATCCTCTATCTCTATATATATATATATATATATATATATATATATATATATATATATATATATATATATATATATATATATATATATATATATATATATATATATATATATATATATATATATATATATATATATATATATATATATATATATATATATATACATTATATATATATATATATTATATATATATATATATATATATATATATATATATATATATATATATATATATATATATATATATTATATATATATATATATATATATATATATTATATATATATATATATATATATATATATTATATATATATATTATATATATATATATTATATATATTATATATATAATATATATATAATATATATATATATGGCCAAAAGTCCTGTAATTCTGCTGGTAACAACACACACCACAGCTGGCTGCCTCCAGGCTCCCTCAAGGCGGCTGGAGCCAGTCTGTGACGTCACAAACAATCGTAGAGCTTTTCGCAGTCACGTGACTTTTTAGCACCCAACCTTTACTGTTTACACTTTTTGGTCCAATTTATTTTAAAATCTTACCATAGTGAATTTAAGCGTTTTCTTTACCCACTGACCTGCCATCTTACGAAAAATTCAGACCGACATCTCGTCCATTGTGTGCAAATGAGGCAGAAAGTCGGATCAGTAACCTAGGACTTGGGTCACTATTTTTGTGATCCCATATGGCATCGGGGTCTACCATTAGACTACACATTATATTCCCACTACCTCTTGTTAGTTGCTTCTCATATGTGTTATTCATATTTAGGTGGAGGCTAAGGAAATGGTCGTCTCTTGGTTCCTATTCAATTACGATTGAAAATTTGCGGATATACTGGAAAGACTTTTAGAGTTGACGAGTAAACAAACCGAATATTGCTTCTGAGCGGCATATTAAATAAACGGCACACAACTTTTCAAGCATGAAGCCCCCCCTCCTCACATTACCAACAATATCATTTGTTCAACGTGGGCAGGGCTTTGAAGTATCTCTAACGTGCCCTGTGTTCTAACTCTGGCCACGGAAAAACGTGAGAAGGGCGTCATCCAATATCCAGTGTGACGCTACCAAACAACGCAGGTTTCCTCCAGGTACTCTGGTTTCCTCCTGTATTAATCGAGGGCAATAAAGTTAAAAAAAGTAACAAAGAACAGGCCAACTGCTGAACGCCTAAGTTGATAAGTGGTGAAATTATTAAGTAAACTTAAAAACCAAAATCAAAATTTAATTTAAAGAAACCTGACACCCTCGATTAGATATATTGAACTATGGCACTTTAAAATCCTAACTACATACTGAAACACAAAGTACAATGTAAGATTTTTAAACGCAGACATATAACTTGCCAGCCTCCAAACATATACCAACACCAACTGTCAGTGTCACCTGCTCAGAGTCCGGGTTGTAACCCCATAGTCTAATACTCTAATATCAGCAACACTCCTCACCCACAGTGACCCCCAGTTGCTGCACCTAGTAGAGAGCAGCCAGACCCATCAATCCTCACTGTCTATTGTTTGAACGTAGCCTGCACCCCTCCCAACCACTAGACTACGTTATATTCCAAGTGCCTCGGAAAAATCAGCATATTTTGTGGAAAGGAGTATTGTGATATCAACAGATGATATGATAGGGCATTAATATTAATCGATTTGAAGCATTGTCGTTACAGGAGTCTATTCCGCCAAGCGTAGCAAGTGCCTACTATAATGCAGCAGCAGCTCTACATTAAATAAAGTTAAATACGATAAGGATAAGGATAAGCCTCGAGGACACGCTGACCCGCACTATCACATATAGCTGTATGCTTGTAAACAAAACGAAATGCTTATTTTACGAAACTGACCCTATGACTGTTTTTAATGGCTATTATGAGGAGAACTTCGGCTCATCGAATAATTAAAGACTTTTTTGTCACAACCGTTTCTTGTGCAAAACCTTCGTTTTTTAGTTATGGCCCCTTTCTCCTCCACAAAGTGGAGAGGAATTTTTGGAAGGAAAATATGGTGTTAGGTTTGGCAGGGTATGTTCTGTGTTAGTAACACTGCCACAATTTTCCATGGATGTTTGACGTTTGTAACAATGCCGCCAGCTGCCGAAAACAGTGAAACGAAAAAAGAAAGAAAAAAGTTAAAATTAGAGGTTTTACGTGTTAATTTAACCACACATTCCCCGTCTTCTTCAAAACCCTGTCCACTTTGTGGGACATTAATACTGATGGAGGAGAAATGTGCTATAACTCATAAACGAAGCCTTTGCACAAGAAACGGTTATCACCAGTGCATTTGGTCATTAAACAGGGGAAAAGTCGTGTCCCATTAACAAGTGTTAATTACATTTCAAATAAGGATAAAAGCGTACTAGTGCTTATGATTTAGTTTCCTACACTGTACAAAATACAGTAAGTAAAACAATTACCGTACATTAACTCCTGCATTAGCCATGGTATAATCTACTTGTAATTAACAGGTGTTGCGAAGCACACCACGTAATAACAGGAAAGGATAAGTGCGCAACGGAGGAAGATACGCGGAGAAATGAGATACATGCACAGTAGGGCACAACAGGGAGACCATGTTGGGGCTGGACAGGTGCATATGGGGGAGGGGAACTTACCTGGGGCAGCAGTCCACCAACTGCAGGTGTCGCACTTGTTGCACGAGCAGCCTCACACCTCCCGCTCACTCTCCTCACCGCCTCCCCTGCATTAGAGTCTTCGTTGGCAAGAGATAAGCACAAAAATGTCGAGTTCAGTTCCACCGATGAACTAATGAGATCGAGAAAGTCTGGACGGCTGCTTCTGACCTTCTCAATTGCGAGTTCAACGTCAACTACAAGACTATTTATTTGCTACCGACCCTCAGGCCATCGCCTTCTCCTCATTGGTGGACGCGACCTGACGTCATATCCCTTCCTAGTCTTCTATTGGTGCAGTTCCACCACAACTGTGTTATGTTGCCCTTTTGAACGAAACTTTTTCACCCACCACATTCCATTTATATGTTTGCTTATTATACAAATACACTGTATGTGCACAAATGAAAATTATTTCGATTACTGAAATGATCAGATGGAAAGAGAAACACGCCAAATCAGCAATAATATATCTACCCACCTGAAAGTTTGTATCCCTCAACAAGTCAACTTATTCTCATTTTTTACATAAAACTATTTTGGTACTATTTTTGAGAACACGTTAAATAACGTAGCTATGCTTAGGCGTCATGCGCTTGTTAAAATTATAGAAAATGGTAGCAAGAGAACATGGGTAGGTAGGAGGGGAACTATACTATAATTATTATTTAAAGATTTAATTATAATTATCAGTCTTCTTTCGTAGGATTTTTGTATATATATATATTGTTTTTTTTTTTAAGAATTTATCTGATTCCCTACAATTCGCTAGAGGTAAAATGAAGGACTATTAAAGAGGTTATATTATGTGTAACTAAATTTTTCTAGGTAATCATGATTTATTATATTCATTTAAACAAAATTTGGCACGAGGAGGCAAATTATGGCTAATATGTAAGCTTAGAGTTGGATGATGTGCCCACTTTAAGATAGAGATAAATTTAAATTTGACGTTGCAAAAGGTAAACATATGACAATGGCTCCCTTTCCCTTTACACTGTCACGAACACAAAAGTGATCCTACTCAGGCCACTGGCCTCCTCCCCTGGGTATGTCCACCACTGGTTGGAGTGGTCATTCGATAAATCATATATTATTAATCTAGGTATTTTTTTTACGTTGAATAAAAATGTTAAAGTGCAACACTCCTCCTTAACTTAGACTTTTAGAGGGCAAACGAATCAACCTAACACAGCATAATTCTACACATACAAAAGAATGGGAACATTGAACATGATATTCAGTAGACATCGAAAAAAAGACACTACAAATTAAAATTAAAATAATGAATAATAGAAAAGTTTCTGTAGGTTAATAGAAATTATGTTGATTTAAGGCAAAATAATACTGTAACATGCTGTGGCAGCCAATCACAAGAAGACAGCTTCACGGTCCCTAACTGCCACCTGTACTGAATTAATTTCTATCCAATGCAGAAGAGAGAGATATATGCACGTAGGAGTGACAGAATACATCTTTGTGTCGCAGCTTATGTTTGCGTCAGATTACTACTAAGATAGAGCTTACGTAAAAAGCTTTTGAAAATCCGTGTTTGTGTCGTAGCTTTAGTCACCTAGTGGAATTACCAGCAGATTATTAGCCCATCCACCTTCCTTCACCTGTTGATTAAATGCCCTAATGCTACCTGGAGGGTTAGGTAAGGTTAGATTATAATTGGATATCATTGGGGTGGTTAATCATTAGATGAAACAAGTTGGGAGTCAGATAAGGTGAACTCTGGTGGGAAACAAAAGAGGAGGGGACCCAGGGTGTATTACCATGTTGATTTGTGACATCAAGGGCCTCCATACTTGCTCAATAGTTTCTTGTCTTCAATGGTTGTGTCTTGTTTATAATAATTTTCATATTTTTATGCCACTAATCCACACTGATACAGGTTTCATTGTGATATATGAGGGATAATAAATGCAAAATAATATAAACTTGACAGTTAAACGCAGGTACAATATATCTTTCATTATTTTATTAACAGCAATTTTTCAGTTCTGACTATTTCTTGGTCTTTTAAATAGTATGAGGAGCTCGTAAGTCCTAGGATGTTACACTGTGAGGGAGGTGGTGGTACTGGAGCCTCGGTGTGGTGGTGATGGCAATAGGATCTTGTGCTCCATCTGGCGGTCGTCCACTGGCATCTTGATGGTGATGTCGTCATATTCCTGCTAGGGATCGGCCAGGGTGACGTCAAGCTGGATGGCATCAGCGGTGTGGGAGGTGAGGGTGAAGAGGAGGATGCAAGGGGCATCTATCTGGAGGTCTAGTGGCCCCACCTGCCCACTAGACACCACCACCGCCCCTACCGTCTGTAAACAACAACAATATGGCGATTTAAGACATTGAACAATCCTGGGTGGAAGATCGTGAGGCTGGAGGTTGGGAAACTGCTCCCCCCCCCCCTCCCCCGCCTTGTCCATTCCTTTGGGACAGCTGACATATCCAAGACCTCATGTACCAATATTCTAAAACTTCATTTTGTGAGGTGTTTTCCTATTTTCAGCTCCGTCTGACTGACTTTCTGGGACTCCACTCACAATAATATTTCAATTGAAGATTTAAACACCCTCATGTTACTTAGCAGGATTAGGTTAGAATAGATTGAGTTTGGTTAGAATAGCATTCAGGTGGTTCATGTGAAATAAGCTGGGGGTCTAATCTTCAGGTGATCTTAAATTAAAACCTTTGATATGATTGGTTCACCTGAGAGAGATGGTAGCAGACGACGTGTAGGTCACTCGTCTGGGAGATGACTTCCACCTCGGGGTCAGCAGCGAAGGCCCGGGTCTTGGTGAGGTTAGAGGCTGGCAGAACAGCGTAGGTCAAGAGACCTGCCTGGGTGGTATAACCCATGGACCAGCCAGGCACTGCGGGGAGGAGGAGCCTGGTAAGTGTGGTGTAGAGAGAGATATAAAGCTGGGGTGATGAATAGAAAGATAGAGATTGACAGACAGGCCCTCAAGGAGAAAGACTAAACTAAAAAACAAGGCAGACTGAAGACAAGGTTCTCCATACAAATACCTAAATGAATATGATTTATCCTACAGACATACATACAGACAGATTGATGATACCCTCATCCCAGAGCCCAAACTTACATGAACACATTAAGATCCTTGTTTTCGTGGGTGTGAGTAAGGGCGGGGGTAAAGAGAGGGTGTTGTTGGTCATGAAGGAACACGTAGCCCACATCTCGGTGGTGGAGCCAGGCGGGGAGTCCTCCTGGTGGTGGCCCATCCCCAGCTTCTCCCCCTTCCTTCCCCAGCACGTATTCCCCCTCGAAGGCAACCTTGAGGAGAAGGACGAGGAATAACTAATGAGAATATGCAGCTGGTTTGTGATGACATTATCTCTCTCTCACTCTCTCTCTCTCTCTCATGTTAACACACACACACACGAGGGAAACACCTGGGTAAGTGTGGTAATGACAGTATCGCCATCAGTAGCGTGATTGGAGGCTGGCAGGGTGATGTCGGAGGCCATGGCGAAGATGACGTCCTCAAAGAAGAACCAGGACTTAAGGAAAGTGAGGGGCAGGTGAAGCCGCTGGTACACCATGAAGGTCACACCTTTGCTGCCATCTGTTGCTCCTCCCACGAACTTAGCATTGTTGAAGAACTGTTCTGACCAGTAGCTGCCATAGTTGAACTGCCGGGAAGAGAACGGGAGTCACTGTCTTGGAAAACTGATTCAATGTGTCGAATACAGTGAATCAGTCTTGAAACATTGAACCTTTTTCATGACAAGTAGAACATATTAGCTCAATTATGGTATGACACACACGCACGCACGCACGCACGCACGCACGCACGCACGCACGCACGCACGCACGCACGCACGCACGCACACACACACACACACACACACACACACACACACACACACACACACACACACACACACACACTGTAACCGGTATAATTTACATACTGTATAATTTAGAGTAAGTAATTAATAACTTACAACCATGGATGCATAATTATGAACATTCATTATTCAATGACCTGTAGAGGGTAGAGGTTGTTCATAGGTTTTATCGCTTCGCATAAGACAAAACACCCGGCTTCAGTCGCGCGGATGTTTTGAATTATCTGAGTGTCACAGTATGATGTAACCCTTCCTCTGAGGTAGTAAGTAATTCTTTGAACACTGACTTGATTGCTCCTACTTCTACTATACATTTTTTCCTTCTTCTCTTACTGTTCCTTCTCTTCTACTCTTCCTCCTACTTTACTCTTCTTTCATTCGACCTAACTGGGAATATATCAAAGCACCAGATACCTGTACCACTACATTTTATAATCTATCATTTATAAAATAGAACCAAAGTAATCTACCTAAACTTCATCATAATTATAATAAAATGTTTAGGTGAAGCTCAAGTTTAAGTTAGGTTAAGTAGGTATATTTGGGTTTATTTGAACAATAAATTATATAATGTATCTGGTACATGTACATCAGAAAGTTCCTCTATGTCACCGCATGTCAACAATGGCGCTTGTGATTTTACTCCTTATTAAATATAAGATTACCAAAAGATGTTATTTATTTCTATGTGATGTACAGTAATTTAGTGAATGTATATTAGCCATTACAGTAATGTTAAAATGTGCACAAATGGTCTTAACTATTACCCATTTCGTTTTAGGTTAGGACACTGAAAAAGGACGAGATGAGTGTACAAGGTGGTGGAAATAAAACATAATAATTGAAATTATAATAATAATAATAATAATAATAATAATAATAATAATAATAATAACAATAACAACAATGATAATAATAATAATACTGATAATAACATCAAAACTCAAATCAACAGTTACTTATACGCAGGGCCGGCGCTACCCACTAGGCGAACTAGGCGATCGCCTAGGGCGCCAACATCTGGGGGCGCCACAAATTCAGGGCAAACTTGGATAAAATTAAAAATGAAGGGAAAACTGTGGTGGACACTGTGGTGGAGCCGTGGAGGGTCGGAGCAGGATGTTAGAAGGGGGGGGGGTCGGAGGGAGGCGAGGGTAGGTAGACGGTAGCCGACTGTGTTTTCTTTTTTAATATTATTCGTTAACCCCCCGGAGGGACTAACCCGGGTCCTTATCTTTGGCGGCCTGGAGAACTGTCGAGCAGTGACCTGAAGGCTGACATCTGAGGAACCCTTCTCCCAACCCCACCATCCCCTCCCCTCCCTTACTGCCAGGGCGGCTGAGCCGCCCCTTCCCTGTCTTTGTCGGGATGAGGCAAGGTTACCTGACCTCTGAAGTTTACGTCAAGGATTTATTGACTTAATGTAATAACAATAATTGGTTATTTGCATGGGTGAAGTAATAAAGCCACAAGATGAAAACAATGTAGTCATGGGTTACTGTACCTACATTAGCTTATCAAAACTTTCAAGGGGGCGCACATCTAAAGGCTTGCCTAGGGCGCCAAATCATCTTGCACCGGCCCTGCATGTATAAACAACACAAATCAACTATGATACAAGATAAATACACTAAATGAAAACTTACTTACAAAACAAACAAACACATTTATAATATACAGTACAATATATATATATATATATATATATATATATATATATATATATATATATATATATATATATATATATATATATATATATATATATATATATATATATATATATATATATATATATATATATATATATATATATATATATATATATATATATATATATATATATATATATATATATATATATATATATATATATATATATATATATATATATATATATATATATATATATATATATATATATATATATATATATATATATATATATATATATATATATATATATAAGCAAAACAGGAGACATCTTGAGTATTTACAACAACTTTCATACTAATGACTTGTATGGTCATCAATTCGTGTCAAGGTAACATCAAGGCCTTCACTACATCAAATTACTATCCAACACGTATAACAAAGACTAATTAGGTAACTGTCCTTCATTACTGCTTCTTATACACTTTCAAATGAAAACCTTATACAGCTTAATTTCATGCAAAGTGCATAACAGTCAGTCAGTCAGTCAGTCAGACAATCATGCAACTATATACATTTGTATATTCATGTTATTCAATACTCTGAGGAGTCTATAAATGGAGTTTATTCACTGAAATTGTACTGTTTCATACACAATCCTGGTTAACAACGAGTTTTCACCATACCTGTGTGTGTCAGAGGTTTAACCTCCATCCTCTCTCTCATCCTTAACCCTTTGATGAAGATGATTTAACCCTTTGCTGATAATGGTTTAACCCTTTGATGATAATGGTTTAACCCTTTGATGATAATTAATGGTTTAAACACTTTGATGATGCTGGTTTAACACCATAAAGAAGAAAGCTTTAAATGTAGTTACTGAAAGGGTTAAAAACATCATCAAAAAAGGTTAACCCATTATCCTTAAAGGGTTATTACACTGCTATACCATTCCTTCATTTGTTATCACAATAAAATATAATGCACACACATAGAACTAAAAATTCTACTTGATAAAGAACATCCGACTACTGAAGTTCCATTCGCCTCTCCCCTGAACCGTGAACCATGAGATTCAGACCCACGAATCTGAAACATTTACGGACAGAATCACAGAATAATGTATCCGACCACTGCTTCGGATTCACAAGTCTGAATCTTAGGGTTCGTGGTTCAGGGGAGTGGGTTAACGGAGTTTAGTAGTTGACTGTACATTACAACTGAAAATCATAGGTTACACAGATTCAATATATATATACAAAGGTTTAGCCATGGTAACTTTGGTGTCAGTTAGGTGAGGTGGTTGGGGGGAGCATCAGCAAGTATAATCGTGAATGCAGAGGTATTAGCTGCCTAATTGCATGACTTCTTCAGTGTGATCCATGTTCTGTTGGTTAGGTTGTTTATCTGGGGTACTTTCTCTCTTGATCTGTGGGAAAAAAAGATTAACACCCTGTATCAACAACACCAATGCTACTACTAAAAATATCATTAACAACAAAAACAAAGTAAAGATTAAGTTTGGTTTGTTAGGTTATGTTAAATTAGGATATGTTAGGTTAAATTGGGTCAGGTTAAGTAAGATTAGGTTAGCTTAGGTTAGTTTAGGCTAAGTTAGGCTAAGATAAGTTACATTAGTTTAACTTAAGGTCAAGTTAGGTTAGGTTAATTTAGGTTAGAATTGTTAGATATAAACTAGGTTATCCCATATTTATGTGAATATGTTGTATTATGTTTTGTGTTAGTTGTGGAATAAAGCGCCACTTTGAATGCACAAGTTATGTTTTGTTTTTTTCACGGAAGGTCCCGAAAATATACTGGAAAGAGCAACATCGTTTGTGTCATTGTCTGAGCCTCTCGCATCATATTTCGTTGATATCCACCAAAAATGAACACTGTAACTTTAACAAGAATAAGTTACCTTTGGTTAGATTTAGGTTAGATTAGAGAATGACGGAATCTTTGTTGGTCATGCTCCCAGGACCTCTGTGCATGAAGGAGTAAAAACAAAACAGAGCCATTCTAAAAAGACCTACCGATCGTAAGACTCTCCTGATGGCGGGGATAGATGTTACAGCCTCAAGTACCTTCTCATTTAAACACACCATAGTGACAAAGATGCCCACGCCCTGCAGTGAGTTGAGGATGGTGAAGATGATGGCGAGAGCTTGTGAACCTGAGGGGCATGAGAGAGAGAGAGATACACTATACAGATCATAATATAAACATGTTGGTATTAATAATGCTGCCACAGATACTTCTTCAGTGATGGTGGTAATGTAAATATATCTCTTTGAGGATGATTGTTTAAGCTTTAACTATTTGAGGAGGACACTTTAAGCTGTAACCCTTTGAGGACGATGGTTTAAGCTTTAACTATTTGAGGAGGACACTTTAAGCTATAACCCTTTGAAGACGATGGTTTAAGCTTTAACTATTTGAGGAGGACACTTTAAGCTATAACCCTTTGAGGACAATGGTTTAAGCTTTAACTATTTGAGGAGGACACTTTAAGCTATAACCTTTTGAGGACATTGGTTTAAGCTTTAACTATTTGAGGAGGACACTTTAAGCTATAACCCTTTGAAGACAATGGTTTAAGCTTTAACTATTTGAGGAGGACACTTTAAGCTATAACCTTTTGAGGACATTGGTTTGATCCCCAAAGGATATATAGATTAACTAATCCTACTCAGTGCTAAAACTTAAACCATTATCCTCAAGGAGTCTCAACTTGAGTTACTGAATAAACCATCATCCTTGTGAAGTTTTATAACATGTGTCACCCTCGGCTATGAAAAAAGATAACACGTCACCCTTGATTACGAAAAAAAAGATACTGTAACTAAACCTCTGGCGATAACAAGATGACAAGATGTACCTGTATTTACCTTTGGTTACGTAGAAGAACCCGGTGATCCAGGTAAGTCCGAGGATCAGAATAAGGGCGAAGGAGCCTTTGAGTTTCACACGACTGTTCTTGATAGATGAATTCCCGATCTGACGCTTCCCACATGCCACCCTCATAGCGAACATGAAGAATGTCAGGTTCACCTGCAGAGACAAAAAGATATTGTATCACCTGCAGAATATTTCCCTCACCTCAGCTGTTTATTTGACCTTAAGATTAACCAGCGTAATGCCAAACCTAACATAATCTAATGTAACGTAATCTAACCTGCTTATTTCACCTTAAGATTAACCACTGTAATGCTATCTTTGACATACCTAATCTAACCTAACCTGAAGCCTCCCACACACACTCAAGGCTCACAATTTTCACCAGGTGAGGGGAAGAAATTGTGGATCACATAAAGATTAGCCCCCAGTTTATTTCACCTGGTGATTAATCATGCTAATGATACTTAGGTTAGGTTAATCAAATTAGGTTATGAAGTTTTAGGTTAGGTAAAGTTGCATAAGGTCAGTGTTACATTAGGTTAGGTCAAGTTGTACGGTATTAGGTTAGCATTAAGTTAGGTCAAGTTGGATCAAGTTAGGTTAAAATTAGGGTGGTTTACCTTCAGATACAATAAATTAGGAGCTAATCTTAAGGTGATGCCAAATCATACTTCAGTAACTTAGAAGATATAACCTACTAGCATTATGATAGCCACAGGTCCTGCGAAGGTCCAGATCAACCCTTTAGGTTCCAGCCAACACCTGAGAGAAGACAAAGCAACACAATACTTAGTCATCAAAGGATTGGCACCAACATAGGATGATCAAAAAGTCTCTGTGCAACTGTAAAAATGAAAACTATCATTGTTCCTTGTTATACCTATATTATTACACACCTTCCTCTACTTACAACAAACACTGAAAGTGGTAGCAGTTAATATAGGAAGTGGATAACATTTCCAACATTTACTCAGTAGAATAAGGCATCATAACAAAGTACAGTACACTGTACATATTAAAATGGAACAACTATATTGTTCATTTTCACAAGTGCACAGGGAATTTTTAATCACCTGTGAATTTACAAGAACACTTCAGCAAGAAGGAGTGTGTTGCTAGATACACGAGTCCGAGGAGAAAAAAGCCAGCTGATCCATCAAGGCATCAAAATACTCACGCTCTCTCAGTACCATAGCCATGTGTCTGTGTTGCTATAAGCGTGATGCCCACAAACAGGAGGGGGAAGCCATAGCCAACACACCAGAAGTACTTCACCGGTTCAAACGTTCGGAAAATCTGATGATATCAAGAGAAAACCATATGACGTCATAAGAAAGCAGGCGACTTCATAATAAAACATGTGACTTCATAAGAAAACACAAAATGTCAAAAGAAACCACATGATGTCATTAAGAACAATTCAAGATGTTATTAAAACATATATCGAAAAATATAATGTCACAAGCAATCACACAATGTCAAAAGAAAATATCTGAAGTCTTGCAGTACATGCAGGTCAGCTGACAAATGCATTTAAACTCTGTAAGGAGGACACATGTATCTATAGCCACCTTTAATATGTATCAATAAAACCACACAGGAAAAGGGAAACACTGTGTGGTTTTATCGAGATTTATCTTGTCCACATTTCCATTGTGGATCTACATGAAATATATATACAGTATATATAAAGACTACATATAACTACATCATGCTACTATTATACTCACTGCGCCAAGCATGAGGTACAAGTTGACACCTTCGATGGCAGACCAGGTGAAGGTGGCAAGGAAGAAGTAGTGGAGGAGGGCGGCCACTACTATGCAACCGATGGTGTCATGAGTAGCGTCCAGCCCCGACAGGAGTACCAGCTCGGCCACCAGTAGACACACACACAGGTGACGGTGGATCGAGATGATACAACTTCCACTTTGGTTCTTGTAAACAAAAGGTAAATAAATCGACAGTAAACAAAACAATCTCCAAGAGCAATAAACAACACACACACTGCAAGACAAAAAACAAACAAAAAAAGGGCATCAACATCTTTATCTCTTACCTTAATTGCCTTCACTGCCAGAGACAAACACGTAATACACATTGTCAGACACAACATGGATAAACTGCAGCCTATGATGGTCCACCACCTAAGGATTTCCTGTTGATACATGAATGATTATAACACCTGTTGATACATAACTATAACACCTGTCGATACATAGCTATAACATTTGATACATAACTATAACACCTGTTAATAAATAACTAAAACACCTGTTGATAAATAACTAAAACACCTGTTGATACATAACTAAAACACCTGTTGATACATAACTATAACACCTGCTAATACATAACTATAACACCTGCTGATACATAACTATAACACCTGCTAATACATAACTATAACACCTGTTGATACATAACTATAACACCTGTTGATACATAACTATAACACCTGTTGATACGTAGATGCAGATATCGACCTCATAACCTCAAACTCACCTGAATATTTTCGTCCAACACACCATGAATATCCATAATAACAGCTAAATTAGTCAGGTGGTCACAGGTGCATATGGTGTAGTTCTCTGTTTGGGATATGAGTGAACATCTCTCATTGGACCACCTATTAGTGTCTTCATTCCACCACACACAACTTGCTTTTCCAAGGTTGTATGAGTCGTCGTTCTTGTAGATATGATCAAAGTGGATTCTTACACCCTCTCCGTCGACTGAAGTTAGGTTAGATTTAGATTAGGTTAGGTTATGTATATTTTAGGTTAAATTAGGTTTAGATTAAGTTTGATTTGGTTAGGTTAAGTTTAGATTAGGATAGGTTAGTTTAAGTTTGTTTAGTTAGTTTAGATGAGGTTAGGTTTAGGTTAGATTAAGTTAAAGAAACACATAGAGAAAGAGAAGGAAAACAAAGAGAGAGGGAGACAAAGCACAGAGAAAAAGAGAGAGACCTGAGACTATAATTTCAAAGACTTTACTGATAATAATACACAAACCACAAAGATATCGTATAGTATAACCCAAGGGGCTACCAGCCAGTGAGTCATCCCATACTAAGTCTTTGGTACACAATGAGGTAGTATGGCCTGTACTGCACTGGACTCAAGGTAACCCCACTTCCCCAGACTCAAATCAGCGACTCTCAGGAAAGGAGGCGAGTGTTTTATGAAGACATCTTAGATAAACTTATCATCTTCAGCTCATGAACAGGGTGATCGAAAAGTCCCCTGTGCACCAACAATACTGTTGTCCATTGTCCTAAGGGCAAAACGTAAAGGGTATGTACATTTCTTTGCACAAGAGTAAAAATGTACCCTCCCCCCCGTCAGCAAATGATATTCGCGGATTTGTCTATTTGCGGCCATTTTGAGACCCAAACCCACGGGAATTTTAAGGATATGCTGTTGTAGTGGACGTCTCCCCTACAACTGCCTACAACTGCGTAGCCACAGCCACCACCTGCTACCGCCTTCCCTAGCAACCAACCAGATGTTACCGTATCTTAGCAACGGAACTAGGAACCGGCGACTTTCTGGGTTTTCCCAACATGACTCATAGCGGCTGCTGGGTATATAAGCTCTGTCTCTCCATTGAGATTCATTCTGACCATTCTTCTTGAACAAGCAACACCTCCTCCTCCTCCTCCGCCGCTGCCTGGCTGCCTTCGCTTCTCCTCGCCTGCCTGGCGGTCCTCGCTCCCGCCAGCGAGCATGGCGACCCAACAGCTGTCCTTCTCTGAGCTTCCTCACCAACCAACTCTCATTCTGCCCATCTTCCTGAACAAGCAACACCTCCAGCACCAGACTGTCTATCATATAACTTATATTATACAAGAAAACCACATTAGAGTTTCCTTCCATCCTGAGTGCTAGACAACATTAATATCTCGATACCCTACACTGTACCTGGTTCTACTTACAGCAAATATTGGAAACAGTCATAGTTAATGATGGAAGTAGACAACATATCCAATATTTACTGTAAGTAGAACAAGCTGTATAACAATATAGATATAACAAGGAAGAATAGTACACAGTATTGTCAATTACAGCAGGTGCACAGGGACTTTTCAGTCAGCTCATAAATCAAACCGTCACAAAATACTGTCAGCTGACCATAGGTAACAGTGAGGAAGAGGTAAACATAGACAGTGGATATTTACCTGCCGTCCAAGCACCACTCTCTGTCACTGTGGCACCAATTATCACGCTGTTGACCTGATTCGCCTTCGACACACGGGAGGGCACAGTTACATTGGGGTTACTGTAGAGAGGTCAGGTCGGGTCATTCATTGAAAATAATCAAAGACGTTCATCTGAATATGAATATTAACTACTGTACTCTGAATTTATCTAACCTAACACTAATCTAATCAAACCACACCTAACTTAATTTAACTTAACCTAACCAATAGCTACCACAATGCCTCTGTAAGCTAACACTCCACAATGCCTCTCTATCATATTTAATACTCCACATTGCTTGACTCACCAGGGAATGGAATTAGTAGCGCAGTGGAGGTCATTGTAGGAATAGAAAATGACAGTAAGAAGGCCATCTTCGTCTATGTAGTTTTCGTAGAAGTTCTCTGGCAGTTCAATAACCGTATTTGGTGAGTTCTGATGTCGATATGTGCGATTCTCGGGTGTGAAATAACTAGGATCTTGCCGTGATATTGTTGTATCTGTAAATACAAGAACAAGAACAACACAAATGCATTAACAATTATGTCTTTGTTTGTACATTATATCTGCACTGTCTAGGTACATTGTACAGTATACCTGCACTATCTAGGTATCAGTGGGGTATGCTATAAAGAACGGATCCTACTACGAATATTCCTATAACAAACGGTTTTACCTATAAAATTGAGAATGCTATAACGAACGAAACTCCTACAACGAACATTATTTAATTTTTTTTTTTTTTTTTTAACTAATTTATTGTTTTTTATTACAAGTATTACTGATATTCTTTATTTCAGGGGTTTAGATGCATATTTATGCACTTTTTTACAATTTTTACAATTTTATATTATATTTTTCAGTGTTAAGTGGTTGTATTTGGGGGCCTGGAACGGATTAATCCTATAACGAACGAATGCTATAACGAACAAGGTTCTAGAACCAATTAGATTAGTTATAGCATACTCCACTGTACAGTGTTTGTATACCTACACTGTCTAGGTTCTAGGCACATTGTTTGAACAGTATACCTGCACTGTCTAGGTACATTGTTTGTACAGTATACCTCCACTGCATAGGTACATTGTTTGCATATCTACACTGTCTAGGTACATTGTTTATATACTGTACCTGCACTGTCTAGGTACATTGTTTATATACTGTACCTGCACTGTCTAGGTACATTGTTTGTACAGTACTGCATACCTGCAGCATCTAGGCACATTGTTTGTATACATACACTGTCTAGGTACATTGTTTATAGTACAGTATACTGTTCCTGCACTGTCGAGGTACATTGTTTGTATAGTTTACCTGCACTGTCGAGGTACATTGTTTGTATAGTATACCTGCACTGTCGAGGTACATTGTTTGTATAGTATACCTGCACTGTCTAGGTACTTATACATTGTATGTATACCTGCACCAAACATAATCTATTCTTCTCATGAATCTTAGTAAAGGATGGGAGGGAGAGACTCACATGTAGATGATGAAGGAATGGTGATAGTGGAGTTCTGTAGGGTGGAGGCAATAGCGAGAGCAGCTCTAGTAACACTCTTCTGTAGCTTGGTGGAAGTATTGGCACATGTCTCCTCGTCAACCTTAACCCATGTCTCTGGCTCTGACCTGTCCACTACCTCTAAGACAGTCTTCATGTATGTCTGTGGAAATTAGGTTAGGCAAGGTGAGGTTAATGTGAGGTAAGGTTATGCTAGTGTTAGGTGAGGTTATGCTAGTGTTAGGTGAGGTTAGGAATATGTTAGCTTAGGTGAAGTGAGGTTCATGTTCGGGAAGGTTAGTGTTAGGTAGAGTTCGGTTTAGGTTAAGTGAGGTTAGAGTTATCTTAGTTCATAGTGAGGTTTGGTTGGCATTAGGTCAGGTTTGTGTTAGGCTAGATTAACCTGAGGTTATCATTAGGTTTCATTAGATTAAGTTAGGTTTGGTTAGGTTGTGTTGGGTTAGGTTAGTGTTAAGTTAGCATTAGGTTAGGTTCTGTGTATGTGTAGGTACATATTTATTCACAACTAAAATGGCCAAAGGTGTCAGTTATGCTTTAGAGGCGTATCATATGTCCCAACAGGACAAAGAAACTGCATTAATAAAAACAATGTGAAAAGGGCCAGGGTGTGTATGTTGACAATGAACTGAAGTTCTTGGGCCATTGTGAGAAGAAGGTGAATCAAGCAACCAAGTTATTAGGTCTATAAGAAGGTCGTTCAGATAACTAGACGGTCCATCCCTCGTAACGATGTTCAAGAGTGAGGTGCTTCCCTGCCTGAAGTACTGTCACCCCATCTGGTCCCCGAGATATGCTAGGGACTGTCGATTGAATGAAAAGTCCAATGGAGGGCCACCACACTGGTGCCTGCACTTTGGCACCTCGGCTATCAAGAGAGATTAGAGTGCCTGCAACTGCCTAGCTTTATACTATAGACAGGCAAGGGGGGACTTGGTTGAGGTGTATAAACATCTCAAAAGGCACTACTCAGTCGAGTGTCCATACCTGGAGCTGGTGGATGTCCGCCATACAAGGGGTCACAACTCAAGGTTGAAGAAGCCACAAGTCCAGAAAACTGTGAGGATAAACTTTTTCAGAGTGAATATTGTGAACTCTTGAAACAACATGCCAAAGAGTGTTGTTACGGCATTGAGTGTGAGCTGTTTCAAGACCAGGCTTGACCAGCACTGGAACAGATTCAGATACATTCAGGAGCCAGTGCATGCCCAGTACTTGCCAACAGTGCGTAACAGAGATGTGTCTGACCGCCCAAGGGGATAACGACCCAATCAGTTGCAAAGAGGATAAAAGTAAAAAAAAAAGTAAAAGTTTAGCTAAGGTCAGGAATCTGCAACTGGAATCCTAGAGGAAGAACCCTTTATGTAAACTATACTTAAATGTTAACTAACCATCTTGGTACCTGTGGTTTTTTCTATCTCTTCAACAATTATATTATATGTAAATCTTAATTAACTTATAATGCTACTTTTCTTTAACAATTTCAATATATTTACCTCTGCTATTGTTTGTCTCTTCTCAACGCTCCCAGCTGCTTCGAAATCATTCACAAACTCGCTCTCTAAATCATCCAGTTCCTCAGTAATATTAACCAATTTACTCTTGTCTTTCAGCTTCAAAGGCACCTGTTCCACACACCTCCTGTAAGACACATGAAAATTGTACCGGTATGATACATGTGACAGCTGTATGAAATCTAGCAGTTGTATGATACGTATAGCAGTTGTAACAGAATACTCTAAGTTTTCTAGAATTAGAAAAAAAATCACAAAACTGTAATTACACACAACAAAAATAATCCTATAAAAATCTGTATACTGTAGCTAAAAATTATAAAATAAATTGAGATCTCTTAAAAAAAATACCCTATAAAATTCTCTAAACAGTGCTGTAGTTATTATTTTTTATAATAATTTCACAACACTGGAACTCCCCCCAAATTATATACAGTATACAATACAGTACAGTATCTATAAATTCTTTAATATACGTACAATCTTTCCTCTGGTGGGCAATACTGACACCAAGATTGATCTGTAAGACATCAAGAATATTGTCAAAAGTCTTTAAAAGTATGAGCTTATTAATTATTATTTCACTATCTCAAAATACATCAATAATAGGTTAGGTTCAGTTAGGTTAGGGTTAGGTTTAGTTAGGTTTAAGTTAGGTAAGGCTAAGTTAGGTTTAAGTTAGGTAAGGCTAAGTTAGGTTTAGTTAGGTAAGGTTAAGTTAGGTAAGGTTTGGTTAGGCAAGATTAATTTTAATTAGCTTAGGTTAAGTTAGGTTAGGCTAGGTTTGGAACCAGCCAGGGTCAAAAGTCCAGCATTGTGCCACACATGTCACATCAAGACTTATAGATGTCACATATCTGGGCATACTATCATGTTATAAACCAAGTGTCATAGACCATTTCAATCTGTCACATCACGAACCTGCAGTGTAACAGACTAATGGGACAGTCCTCTGTTATATCAAGGATATGAACTTGACACACCTGGGACTTGTCAGAGAACCTGTCCTACTGTCATGTCAATAACCTAACGCAAAATTAATACATAACCAAACCTAATGCTAACCTAACATATTGAAATTGAAGCCTAATACAGTACTCCCTCTTTATCGACGGATTTTTTATCGACGGTTTCGATTATCGACGGATTATTTAGACGGATTTTTATTTTGGCTTTATTTGAACTCTGCCAAAAAACACCACCTCCATCATCCAGCCAATGGACCAGGGAGTCATTGTCGTGTTTAAGGCTAAATATGCAGAGAAGACTTTCAGCATGATTCGTGAGTGCCTTGATAAGGATGCTGATGTGACACCCAGAGAAATGTGTTAGAAATTTGATATTGCACAGTGCATAAACTTCATCGCTGAAAGCCACAATGAACTGTCGCAGAACTGTGTCCGATCATGTTGGAAAAAATTGTGGCCTGAAATTGTCCCAACATTCACAGGGTTCCCAACAGCCGAGCCTCAGTTACGCAACATAATAACTATGGCAAATGAAGTTGGAGGTGAAGGGTTCTCTGACTTAACAGCGGCAGAGGTGCAAGAAGAGTTATTGGGAAATGTTGGGGATCCATTTACAAGTGATGAACTAGAACAATTAGTGGAGCTGCAGGATGAAACAGAAGATGAAGTGAGTGATGATGAAAATAAGAACTTAACTTTAGATAATCTTGGTGAAGTAATAAGAATGAGTAAGGCCCTCTCTGCTCGTCTCTATGACATTGATCCCTCCCTTGATAGGTCCCTTAAAGCAAAGAGAGCTATTGAAAATGTTATGTTGCCATATATAGAACTGCAGAGGGAAATGAGAAGCAAGAAAGCACAGACCACCATCACCAACTTCTTCAGTCGCCGAGTGCCTGCCATCGCCGAACCTGCCGGCATCCTGCAACAGGAGGCAGAAGCTGCCGACACCTCACAACAACAAGACGTAGAAGCTGCCGGCACCTCACAACAACAAGACGCAGTACCTGCCCACACCCCTCAAGAAGATGCAGACCTTGACTCATCATACTCATCTGACTGGTCAGGCTTTTAATAAGCCTCAATCATCACACTTGTATATACTGTACACTGTATTGTTTACTGTAAGGACCGATGTTCACTTCAATAAATGAAATCGTAAGTTTGCTAGTATTTTTGTCCACTTATTATATTATTATTTATACACTATTATTTAAGGTTATGTGTAAAGGAAACGCATTAATGCTTAAAGGTACATTTATTCAACATATGCTAATAATAGTTAGAAAAATTACGTAACCATCACGGTATCGACGGTTTCTTTATCGACGGCCGTCTACAGAACGTAACCCCCGTCGATAAAGAGGGAGTACTGTACAGTATAACCTATCCAAATGCTAACTTAACCTAATCTGTACAAGCAACCATATGATCAAGACTTACCTTCAAGTATATCTGTCAAGTTTGTGTATTCTTCATTTTGAGCAATTGTTGTGGCATTCATTCCTGAGGAAGACACTGAAGGTTAGGAACTGACTGTGGGTACCACTTCAGGTAAGAGTAAATTGGGAGACCTATTAGGTTACATCAATCATCTGAAGATAAGGCATCTCAGCTTATTTAACCCTGACCTATCCTAACATTAACTTAGCTCCCATAGATAGCACTAGGGTGGTTAAACTTCAGGTGAAATGAACTGGGATGCCTAATCTTTAGGTGATCTGGTTACACCAAACAGGTATTCTTATTAAATAAGTACCTGTATATGTATATTTCAATTGTTTGTGAATGCATTCGTAGGTCAAGTGGGGATGTGTGTACAGATGTTAAGGTAAGAACACAAAGAAATCAGGTTACCTGCTAGCTAGTTACCAGTGTCGACCGCCACTGTTAAGTCATGAATGTGACCATGCTATCAAGCACGGCCGTACACAGTAGAAGCATGTCGAAGCCCGACGGCACTGGTTGCCCGCGCTGACAAGTTTACCGGAATGAACAAAACATTCTTTTCTCACTTGCCCGTGCAGTTGGACGTGTTGAGTCAGTGCTAGTTGTGTGAGGTGTTTATATTAATATCTTGTCATGGTGGAAGTAGAGGTTTTGACTGCCTGTGTATTGTATTGAAAAAACCTATTTGGGTCCCCTTTTAGCTCACTAAAAAGATGGTGATATTCACCGCAATTTTCTCGACTGCGATTGATTTCATGTATTCCAGTACTTTTTCTCCTGATTTTTGCATAAGCACTATCGAGCAGAAGAAAATCTTCATCAAATGACAAGCTAGACATCTTTACAGTACAACAGCTCAACCACAACTCGCATATAAACCTGCATCCTCTGTGTCCGCCTACCAGTGGTGACTGCTGGTGCTGGAAACCGGTAAGCGGGTAACCTGCTTTCTTTGTGGTCTCACCCTTAGTTAAGAGACCAGCCCCCTGGCAAATGGTAAAAGTATGGTTTGGTGTTGTTTGGCATTGCATGGTGTGGTGTTGTATGGTTTGGCATAGTATGGGATGGTGTGGTGTGGTGTGATGTGTGGCATATGGTTGTAGGCAAAGAGGCAGAACTAACCTGTGGTGACACTGAGAGAACGGTCCGGGCAGCGTGTGAGGAGAAGGTTCACTAAGGCAATCTGGTTCAGCTTTACTGCCAGCACGAGAGGAGTCATACCTGTAGTGACAACAATTATAGTACTGTACTCAGAAAACAACCCAATTCTCCTCTACTACCAACACCACATTACCAGCAATAGCCTGTACTGTACTTCTCATTATTTGAAAGTCTGTACCAACAGGAAGGAGTTTGAGAAAGGGGTTAAGGGGAAGTGATGTGTGAACAAGACAGAATTGGGTCTAATGCTATATATGTAACATCAAAAGATGAAGATCTAAAAAAGTTAAACAAAACTTAAAAGTATGAGGAGTGTCAAGCTGTGGGGTACTGTACCCTTGATGATGTTGTTGATGTTAACCCCCTCCTCCAGGAGATCTCTGACAGCGGATATGTTGTTAGTCTCGATGGCTTCAAAAAGTTTATCTATTTAGAAAGAGAGATACAGTACATTGAAAATTATATAAGGTTATATGTATATTTATTGGAATAGTCGTGTTATGTTTGAATTAATTAATTAACTTGTCAAGGCTAGTTTCAACCATATAAAAATGCTTCTCTTTATTTACATAGAAAGTACACAAGAAACACAGATGCTTTAAATATTACAAGTTTTAATTCTAGTTTTCCAAAGAAAAATAGCACTTGCCTAGACGGTAGTGTTTGTCTTTGCAATCATTCCAGGGCCCAGAACATTGTTTTGCTACGTCATAGCAAAGTTGTCTGCAGTTGTTGACCCTGGTGGCGTGTTGTTTTAACTCGTAGCACCTCATGCATGTTTCAATTAAAATTAAATTAGTGATACACTTGGATTCCTTAATGCACACCAATAACTGATTATCAGGACTTAAGGTAACAGCCAATCCATCATCACGACTTAAAGAGGTTTCAGTTGTATGGCTATAGGTGGATTCAGTTACAGAAACATTCTTCTTTTCACAGCCACTGTAGATTTAAAGTCAAAATAGCATTAGAGATCTGCAACATAGACAGCATTACCTAGGTACAGTTGTGAAGAATAAAAATAGGCAGGGAGGGAGTATAAGTTGTGTCTGCCTTATAATTAAAAAAAAATCAATTTGTGGTAATGAAATAAAATCTCAAGACTTTTAATTGCCATATTGTCAAGTCTCCACCTACCCCTATCTTCCCAAGCACCACTTCCCTGTCTCCAGAATTCTTTTAGATAACATTAGTAGTTACTCGTGTTAATGAGGTGAAGTGAGTGCAGTCGACAACATTACCCGAAACTGTTTTTTTTTTTTTACGGGGATTAGCCCACTCGGGCACAGGTCACTGACCAACAACGGGGCCTGGGGGGGCAAAAATGTAATAATAAAAATAGTACCGGTGGTAGTAATAGTAGTAGTAAATAAAATTTTTAATTAAATAATAAAAATATAATAATGATAATACAGTAATAATAATAATAATAATAATAATAATAATAATAAAGAACCATAAATCCAAATAATAAAAAAAGATCAATAGTGAGAAACAATATACAGTATGTATGTTGTGTTGTCAATAGTAAGAGAAACAATTGAGACCCTGCAATTGTGTGTAAATGAGGCAGAAAGTCAGATCAGCAACCTGGGACTTGGTCACAATTTTTGTGAAGCCATATGGCAGCAGGGTCTACCATTAAACAACACATTATGTTTCCAATATCTTCCCAGGCGGTAGTACCTCCCTGTTTGGTAGCTGCCTACTACCTGCTGTAATTAACAGATACTCCCTCTAGCTAATAATGTAGGTAAGCTAATATGTTTTGGGGGTATAAGGTGAAGTGAACCAACCTACCTGAGTTCCCACTTCTTCCCTCCAGGTATATAGGACAAAGGTCAAGGACAAAGTTGGGCCTTTAAAGTCATGGAGGGGAAAAGTGATAAATGGCAGTGAAGAAATAAGCAAAGCATTGAACAGCTACTTCTTATCAGTTTTCACGGAAGAAATTTGCGATGAAATTCCAGAGGTGGAACTGATATTTAAGGGAAAGGAAGAAGAGAAATTAAAGAATATCACTATCAGAAAAGAGGATGTTCTTAAGAAGATAAATAAACTAAAGAAAACAAAATCCCCAGGGCCGGATGAAATTTTCCCTCGAGTCTTGAAAGAGTGTAGGGAACAGATTAGCGGACCCCTCGTAAACTTATTTACAAAATCATTAGACACTGGAGTTGTGCCAGACTTGTGGAAACAGGCAGCATCAGCGTCAAATTACCGGCCGATCAGTTTGACGTCAGTAGTGGGGAAATTTCTTGAATCAATTATAGCAGATAGCATCCGATCGCATCTAGAGAAAAGCAAATTAATCTACGACTCTCAACATGGGTTTACAAAGGGAAAATCTTGTCTCACAAATCTGCTAACGTTTTTTTAGGAAAGTCTTCGAAGTAGTAGATAATGACGAAAATTACGATGTTATTTACTTAGACTTTAGCAAAGCATTTGACAGAGTACCGCATCAGAGGCTTCTGAGAAAAATTAAGGCTCATGGTATAAAGGGGAAAGTTTTAAATTGGATAAAATCATGGCTCACCGATAGAACGCAGAGGGTCAGCGTAGATGGTGTTAAATCTGAGTGGGGCCGTGTAACCAGTGGGGTTCCCCAGGAGTCAGTACTAGGCCCACTCTTGTTCATAATCTACATAAACGATCTAGATACTGGGATCAGCAGTGACATAAGCAAGTTTGCGGATGACACCAAAATAGGGCGGCAAATTAATTCAGGGCAGGATGCAAATGCATTACAGGAGGATCTAAATAAACTGCAGGGGTGGTCTGAAAAATGGCAAATGAAATTCAACACCAGCAAGTGTAGCGTACTTAATATTGGAAGAACAAATACTTATAATGTATACAGCCTTAACAACATCAACCTAGAGAAGTCGACTTGTGAAAGAGACCTAGGGGTACTTGTAAGCCCGGACCTACGGCCTAGAAAACAGTGCATTAATGTTCGAAATAAGGCAAACAGAGTATTGGGTTTTATATCTAGAAGTGTAAGTAACAAGAGTGCAGAGGTCTTATTGCAACTATATCTTGCGCTAGTCAGGCCGCACCTCGATTATGCGGTTCAGTTCTGGTGCCCCTATTATAGAATGGATATAAATTCACTAGAGTCGGTGCAGCGAAGAATGACAAAAATGATTCCGGGACTTAGAAACCTTCCATATCAGGATAGGTTAAAGAAACTTAACTTGCATTCCCTTGAAAGACGAAGAGTGCGGGGAGATATGATAGAAGTATTTAAGTGGGTGAAAGGAATCACTAAAGGGAATATAGATAAAGTTCTTATAATATCCGAGCAGGATAGGACTCGGAGCAACGAATTCAAGTTGGATAAGTTTAGGTTTAGGAGGGAGATAGGAAGAAACTGGTTCACAAATAGGGTGGTGGACGAGTGGAACAAGCTTAGCAACTTTGTAGTAAGTGCGGGAACTCTGGAAAGTTTCAAAAGGAGGCTAGATAGATTCATGGATGATAGAGAGTGGTAGTAACTCTCGACAGGAGCTGCCATGCACAGGCCAACCGGCCTATTGCAGACTCCTTATTTTCTTATGTTCTTATGTTTACCTAACCCAATCAAACCTAACATTGTCTAACCTTACCCAACCTAACATAGCCTAACCTAACACAGTCTAATGTAATCAGTAAACCTAACCTAATTGAACATAACCTAATACAACCTAGTTTAACATACTCTAACAGTCTAATCTAACCCAACCTAACTTAACACCACCTAATCTCTAACCAAATCTAAAACCTAACCTAACTCAACATAACCTAATCCCCATCCAAATCTAACCTAACACAGCCTAGCCTAAACCACCCTAACCTAACCAAGCCTAACATAAACAACCCTTGTACGACTAAGTTGTGGGGTAGGCTAGTTTTGTACCTGCATTATAAATTCTTATTAGTAATGAAATCATTTAACAATATCATACACTAGAAATATATTAAATAATGATTGTTTTCTAAGTACATACAGTACCACCATTTTTTTTTTTTTCATGGTTATATAAAATAATACATGTACACTCAGTTGATATACTACAACAATAATAATATGATGTCATGTGAAATTTAGTCTACATCCACCTGACAATGCCTCACCTGACCAATACCCAGTTACCACCCCTGGTACAGACCCAGGTGGAGCTGCTGCTGTCTTTAAGTGAACAGTTTATCTTCACTTCTTCACCAAGTTTTCCAAGCTTTAAGTAGGCTGTGTCAATGTATCCTTCTGGGTCCAAGAACTCCTCTGATGCACTTTGGCAATGACATTGAGAGTAGACATCTGGAAATGTGGTAATCACTATACAGTACAGTATAGCAGAATGAATGTGAAAGACAATCATGGTCTACTGCTTATATCGGGACAAAGCTTTTAAGGTTTGGTTAGTCCTTTAGTTCACATGTCCCATTTTTGCCTCGTCTCATAATGACCTGTATCCCTGGTTACATGACAAACACCCCCTACCTTACTGGAAATAAGCATCATATGGCTTTGTTGGCAATCCTTGGTCAATCGAATTAGTTTACCATTCTTCTTATACCTGCACTTTCTATGAATACTGTATACTAGAACTTTCTATGTATACTGTATAACTACACTTTCTATGTATATACTGTATGTCTGCACTTTCTATGTATACTGTATACCTATATACATTGGCTATATACAGTACTGTACTTGCTGAATCAATGTAAATTTTTATGATGATTTTACTGAATAATAAATATCTATCTATATATCCCAGGGTGGGAAAGTTTAGCAGCTCCACAGTGATGAGAGTTAGCCTAACCTAAATCTTAACCTAACTAATCCTAACCTTAACCTAATCAAAGCTAACCTTAACTTATCCCTGAACCTAACATTATTTTGACAATTTAAAAGATGTGTCTCTATGTTGCTATCTAGTGATCATTCCTAGCCAAACTTGTGACTTTTTCTGTAACTTCTTTTCTGGACACCAACAGACACAGTAATGCCACAGAACAAGGTAATTGGCACTGTCCACATAATAGGTATTCAAACAAACATTTAGGTCCTGTTCAACATTATCATATGTTAGGCTTCCATAGCACTTGCCCCTGTTTATTTCAATGTTTGTGTTGTGAGTTTAAAGTGTTGTATTGTCTATGTTCATATTGTGGTACAGATGGGCAAGCGGTGACCTAATTAAGGTTTAAAAACATCTCAAAGGGCACTACTCAGTTGAGTGTTCATACCTGGAGCTGGCGGACACCCGTCAGTGCCGGATTAACCATGAGGCATTTGAGGCACTGGCCTCAGGCCCCCGACTCTAAGGGGCCCCCAAATCCAAACATTCTCGAAGTTGAAGCGTAGAAGCGTATAAAACATGAACTTCGTTCAACGATGTCCTAGCAACATCTCAATTTTCTGTCTCTTATGAACATTAAATGTGTTATTTTGCAGAAGCTTAATATTGATGAAATCATTGATAAATTTGGGTATATTTTGTTCTTTTTATTTATATATACCTTGAGGGAAGGGGCCCCAAGTTGATCTGTGCCTCAGGCCCCTATTAAGCTTAATCCGGCCCTGACGCTCGTCCCATAAGGGGTCACAGCTCAAGGTTGAAAAAGCCACAAGTCCAGAAAACTGTGAGGGCAAACTTTTTCGGAATGAGAGTTGTGAACTCTTGGGACAGCCTGCCAGAGAATGTTGTGACCAGACTTGACCAACACTGGAGCAGGTTCAGATACATTCAGGAGCTAGTGCATTCCCATTACTTGCCAACAGTGCATAATAGAGATGTGACCGACAGACGCCCCCAAGTTTGCGAATGAGCCGATCAGTGGCGAAGACGATAAAAGTAAAAGTAATAAAAATTCCCGAAATGACCATAAGGAACCTTGCAATAGTAGACAGACTAAGGATGCTAGCTAAGCATTGCACAGAGTGCCACATCTCACAAAATGCACCAACCACTTTATCAGGTGTAAGTGTAGGGAACTGTATATCTTATTTCACTAGAGGAAAAAATACAGGTGGACCTCAACATTCACAAGAGGTAAAATTCCTGGAAAGGGAAAGTGACATGAATGTCAACACTGCATATGTTAATACTTAAACCTTATGAGGACAACAGGGATCTTAGTAGCCACATAAAGGTGTTTTCAACAGAATCATATTTTGTTTATCGCATTTTCAAAGAGCGCTCAAATGTTTTGTGAATATTTGGAGTGAATGTAGCTCAATAATATTAAACTAGTAGGTGTCACTTAGAAAATATGTACGGTACTGTAGTTCAGGACATGTGTTTCAAGCACTATACAGCATTAATAAATATTATACAGTATCACCTTGATGATTAAGCACCCAACACTACCTAGGGGGGGTGAGAGGTTAGATTACGTTTGGCTTAGACTAGGAATAGGTTAGATTAGGGTTAGATTAGGTTTTGGTTAAATTAGGTTTATGTTAGATTAAGATTAGGTTTAGGTTAGAATAGGTTTGGGTTAGATTACTGTTAGGGTGCTTAACCTTGAAGATATACTAGTGGGAGGGCTAATCTTCACATCACACGTACTGTATAACCATACCCACCTTGAAATTTTGCCTTTAGATAAGCGTATTCAGGCTTTTGAACCAATGTAGAGGCACTTCTTCCTGTGGATGTAAAGTAATAGATGGAGAATTGTCATGAAAATAAACACTATCAAATAAAACTAATACTTAATTATTTTTTCTTTATGAAAACTGATAATTTTTTATGTGAATTCTTTTCTTTTTTAATGGACACTTATTGAACGTGCAAGCAGACAGACAACCTTACCTAGTTTGTCAGTTTTTTCAGGGTCAGCACAATTTTTAAGCAACAAATCCACAATCTTATCACGTCCCAGGACAATGGCCTCCACAAGTAGCAGCTTTCCTGCAATCACAATACAGTATAATACTACAATACAGCCCAACACAGTGTTTAGCTTCAGCTAGTGTAGGTCATATAAGAAGGCTGTTAAGATATCTAGATAGTCCGTCCCACATAACGACCCTCAAGAGTGAGGTGCTTCCCCGTCTGGTCCCCAACACATGCTAGAGACTATCAGTTGATTGAAAATGTACAAGGGGGGGACAACAAACTGGTGCCTGCACAATGGCATCTCAGTTACCCAGAGAAATCAGAATGCCTGCAACTACTTAGCTTATACGTACCGTACTACATACAGTACAGGCATGGAGTGACATTAATTGAAGTTTATAATATCTCAGAGGACACTATTCAGTAGAGTGTCCAAACCTGGAGTTGGCAAATGCCTGCCCCAAAAAGGGTCACAGCTCAAAGTTGAAGAAGCCACAAGTTCAGAAAACTGTGAGGGCAAACTTTTTCAGTGATTATTGTGAACTCTTGAAGCAATCTGCCAGAGTGTTGTGATGGCACCAAGTGTGAACTCTTTCAAGACCAGACTTGACTAACACTGGAGTAAGTTCAGATACATTCAGGAGCCAGTGCATGCCCAAGGACGTGACCGACCGCCCAAGCTTCTAACAAACCGATCAGTGTCGAAGAGAATAAAGGTAAAAAAGAAAGTAAAAGTATGACAGGTATAATGAAGCTAACATACAGGTAAAATAACACACTAAACACAAGTAAACTAACACTAATCAAAGGTAAACTAACACACTGAACACAGGTAATCTAACACACTAAACACAGCTAAACTAACGCAATAATCAAAAGTACACTAACACAATAATCAAAGGCAAAACAAACACATTAAAAACAAGTAAACTAACACACGAAACACAGGTAAACTAACACACTAAACACAAGTAAACTAACACACTAAACACAAGTAAACTAACACACTAAACACAAGTAAACTAACACACTAAACACAAGTAAACTAACACACAGTAAACTAACACACGAAACACAGGTAAACTAACACACTAAACACAAGTAAACTAACACACTAAACACAAGTAAACTAACACACTAATCAAAGGTAAACTAACACACTAAACATATGTAAACTAACACACTAATCACAGGTAAACTAACACACTAATCACAGGTAAATTAGCACACTAGACACAAGTAAACACACTAAACACAAGTAAACTAACACACTAATCACAGGTAAACTAGCAGTAGCACACTAGACACAAGTAAACTAACACACTAAACACAGGTATACTAACAGTCTGCACTTCACAACAACAACCATGAGTTTGATATGTGATTACTGCAGGGAGACGTCGGATATGGAGGATACAGGCCTAACTAATGCAACGTTTAGGAAGTTACTAACTGCCGTAAAGCATGATGGCTGTTGCTGGTATTGCTCTGGCTGCATAGTCAAGGTGAATGAAGCGATTGCAATCCATAAGGGAACGAGTTCTCTAGGGACGAAAATAGATGAAGCAGGAGCCCTGCTGGTTGACAAACTGGAGCAAGTTGGGAAAGAGATCCTTGCTAAGACTGAGGAAGTAGCTAATAGAATGGAGGTGGTTGCTAAGAGGAGTTATGCTGACGTATTAGGAGGGCCACGGGGGGGGGGGCGGAGAGTAATGCAGAATCAGTACAGGTTCTACAGCAGATTGGGACTTTGAAAAAGTGTGTCGAAGAAATGAAAATTAACGGACCTACTGTTAGGGGAGAGGAGGAACACCAGGAACGGCTCCAGCGCAGGAACAATGTAATAGTTTTTGGAGTCACCGAGAGCCAGGCGGAGGGAACTGTGAGTAAGGAAACACACGACAAGGTGCTGTTTCAAAATATTTGCACAGAGGTTCTGAAGATTCCAGCAACCCCTCAGGATGTGAGGAGGCTGGGACAAAAGCAGGGGGCTAAGCCTCGCCCCCTCAGGATCACACTAGGGAGTGAGGAGGAGAAATGGCAAGTTATTCGGCAGGCAAAAAACTTAGCAAGGAGCGAGGCATTTCGGGATGTATTTATTCACCCAGACCGCACGGTAATGCAGAGGGAACAGCACAAGAAGCTCCTGCAGGACTTGAAGCAGAAGAGGGAGGAGTCGAGGAGGAACGGGGACAGGTGCACATGGGTTATACTCAGGGGGAGGGTAGTGGAAACAAGTGTGCCGACACAGGGCCAGGGGGCAGCAGTGCACCCTCCACCCACTCAACCCCCCACCCGGGAGGCGGCACCAGCTCAGCCTACCGGACAGGAGGGAACGAGCGCCGTGTAAACAATGACATTTTTAACCACACCCTGCAAAATACAGTGTACTTAGCAAATGCTGCAGCTTCTGAGAATGTGGGTGGAGCGGGTTTATTACTAAGAGCAGAGACGTTACCGAGAACAAATTCTGGCTTGAATGTCATGTACACTAATACTGACACGTTCCTTGATAAGAGAGAGGAGTTTGAAACACTACTAAGAGTACACCAACCAGATATTGTAGGAGTTGTAGAACTGTTGTACAAGAACAGGAGAATCGACCCAGAGGAATGTGAGTTCAGTATTGCTGGATATGACTCATTTACGAACCTAACTCAAGAATCCTGCAGGAGGGGTGTGGTTATCTACGCTAGGCAAGACCTTAGAGCCAGCCAGGCGAGGGTACAGGGAGAGGATGTTTTTGAAGAGTCCAAGTGGTGTAAAATTAAATTAAAGGGAGGGGACTTACTTATCGTCGGGTGTATCTACAGATCCCCAAACTGTGGCCCACTAAATCAAAGGAACTTAAGAACCTTAATAAACAATGCGGCGATGCTCAACCCCAGCCACCTCCTTATCATGGGGGACTTTAACTATGGCGACATCGACTGGAGAAACGAGTCCACCCCGAATGACTTGAATAATCCTGCTACTCTTTTTGTAGAAACTCTGAGAGATAATTTTCTGTTCCAACATGTGAGAGACCCGACACATTACAGAGGGGAGCAAACACCCAAGCCACTTGACCTCATCATAACAAACGAGGAGGGTATGGTGGCCAAACTGGAACACCTTGCCCCAGTTGGCACCAGTCACCATACAGTGTTGTCATTCAGATTTAACTGTTACCTAGTTCAAGATAAGGCCAGGCCAAGGTGCAAATATTACAAGGGAAATTACAATGGGATGAGGGAAGAGATGAGGGGTATCAACTGGCCTGACTTATTAAGGTACAAGAACGCAGACACTACGCTGAATATCATAACTAGTAAAATGACCCATTTGATCGATAAATATATACCCAAGACCAAACCCAGTGCTTCTAGGAATACGAGGGGATCCCTACACATGAACCATGCGGCGGTCGACAAAATTAAGAAGAAAACCCAGAAATTCAAGACGTGGGTTGGGTCAAACGATGAGCAAGACAGGAGGATGTATGCAAGAGCCAGAAACCAAGCAAAGATAGAGTGTAGGAGGGCTGAAAAGGAGTTCCAGAGGCTGGTTGCACGCGAGGTCAAGTCAAACCCAAAGGCGTTTTACCGCTATGCAAAGTCGAAATTGAAAACGCGAGTAGGAGTATCAGACCTGAGGCTTGAAGATGGTAGTTACGCAGATTCTGACCAGGATAAAGCTGAGGCATTGAACAGCTTCTTTTCCTCAGTGTTCACAAGAGAGGATGCAACTAACCTTCCTGCGTTTGAGGACAGACGGTTCGACACAGCACTGACCCACATTGTGTTCACAGAAGAGGGTATTAGAAATAAACTGTCCAGGCTAAAGGTCCATAAGAGTCCCGGACCTGACATGGTGCATCCTAGAGTGCTAAGAGAGTTGTGCAACGAGCTTGCAGAGCCCCTCAAGATTCTGTTTTGTAAATGCCTGGATGAACAAATGGTCCCCAGTGCATGGAAAGTGGCTTATGTGAGTCCTATCTTCAAGAAGGGCGATAGTCACTCCACGAACAACTATAGACCGGTGAGCCTGACCAGCATAATATGTAAAGTACTTGAGAGTATTATCAGAGATGCCGCGATGGAACATCTACTACGAAACAACCTTGTAAAAGATTGCCAACACAGTTTTATGCCGGGGCGCTCTTGCTTAACACAATTGCTCAAGGTATTGGATATTTGGACCCATATTCTAGAACGGGGTGGTAATATCGACAATATTTACCTAGATTTTGCCAAGGCTTTCGACAGTGTACCCCACGAAAGGCTGAAAATCAAACTGGAAGGGTACGGAATTCGGGGAAATGTCCTAGCGTGGATAGAAGACTTTCTACATGACCGCAAACAGTGTGTGGTGATTAATGGCACGAAATCGTCATCTGTACCTGAAACAAGTGGGGTACCGCAGGGTAGTGTATTGGGCCCGCTGTTGATTGTTTGTTTCATAAATGACATGCCTGACGTTGTACACTCCTCCATACAAATGTTTGCCGATGATGGCAAGTTATTTCGGGAAATTAAGAACCAAGCGGACTGTGAAGAGCTGCAGAAGGACCTCTGTGGGCTCCAGGAATGGTCGAAGAAATGGCTGCTGAGATTCAATGTCACGAAGTGTAAGAGGATGCACCTGGGGCGTACCAACGGTAAGGAGGCGTATCATATGTCCCAACGGGATGAAGAAAATGCACTAGTTGAGACTGTGTGTGAGAAGGACCTAGGTGTGTATGTTGACAATGAGCTGAAGTTCTCGGGCCATTGTGAGAAGAAGGTAAATCAGGCAAATAAATTATTGGGTCTTATAAGAAGGTCGTTCAGATATCCAGACGGTCCGTCCCTCGTGACGATCTTCAGGAGTGAAGTGCTTCCCCATCTGGAGTACTGTCACCCCATCTGGTTCCCGAGATATGCTAGGGACTGTCAGTTGGTTGAAAATGTTCAAAGGAGGGCCACCAAACTGGTGCCTGCACTTCGGCACCTCAGCTACCCTGAGAGATTGGAGCGCCTGAACTTGCCTAGCTTATACTACAGACGGGCAAGGGGGGACCTAGTTGAGGTGTATAAGCATCTCAGGGGGCACTACTCAGTTGAGTGTCCTTACTTGGAGCTGGCGGACGCTCGCCCCACAAGGGGTCACAGCTCAAGATTGAAGAAGCCGCAAGTCCAGAAAACCGTGAGGGCAAACTTTTTCGGAGTGAGGGTTGTAAACTCTTGGAACAATCTACCAGAGAGTGTTGTGACGGCACCGAGTGTGAGCTCTTTCAAGAGAAGACTTGACCAACACTGGAGCGGGTTCAGGTACATTCAGGAGCCGGTGCATGCCCAGTATTTGCCAACAGTGCGTGACAGAGACGTGACCGATCGCCCGGGCGGCTAGCGAGCCGATCTTTTGGTGAAGAATATAAATGAAAAGAGACGTGACCGATCGCCCAAGCGGCTAACAAGCCGATCAGTGGCGAAGAGGATAAAAGTAAAAAAAGTAAAGTAACACTAGCCAGGTAAACTAGCATACTAAACACAAGTAAACTAACGCACTAAACACAAGTAAACTAACACACGAAACAAGTAAATTAACACAAAACATAAGTAATTTAATACACTAAACTTAAGTAAACTAACACTAAATACAGGTAAACTAACATACTAAACATAAACTAACACTAAACTTAACACAGGTAAACTAACAAATTAAACACAAGTAAACTAACACTAAACAAAGGTAAACTAACACATTAAACACAATTAAACTAACACTAAACACAAGTAAACTTCCACTAAACACAAGTAAACTAACACACTAGACACAAGAGAGTATACCCATTTCGTCACCATTGTTTTTAACCTGTTTCAACACCACTGCTTTTCCCGCTTCGTCACCGCGTTCATTCCCATCAATATATACTGTACAGTACAGTACATGAAAATAACTGTTTGGGATAGAAAATATAAAAAAACACTTAAGACAATTAATTAAAGACGAAAATATAAAATAATAACATTGTTAACACGCCTGCAATCAGTTCACTAAAACAATAATTATTATATACACGAACATAACTGTTGCTTAGGATAGAAAAAAAAAATACTAAGACAATATGTGAGACTAAAATAAAATATAAATAAAAAATAAAAACATTGTTAATACGCCTGCAATCATCTCACTTAAATGTGTGAACTTTTACTTTTTTACTTTTATCCTCTTCATCACTGATCGGCTCGTTAGCCGCTTGGGCGATCGGTCACGTCTCTGTTACGCACTGTTGGCAAGTACTGGGCATGCTTTGTGGCCCGGTAATATTTAACAATGTTTAATCGAAACACCTCATTTACAAAATTATATTACGAAATTATGCCTCGACATAACAGTACATTGGATCATGCAAGCATCTCACTAAGACAATTTATTAAAGACGAAAATAAGAAAATAATAACGATATTACTCATACAAGCATCTCACTTAAACAATTTATTAAAGACTAAAACGAAAAAAAATACAAAAACATTGTTAATACGCCTGCAATCATTTCACTCAAACAATATGTGAGACTAAAATTTACTCATGTAAGCTTGGCAGAAGACAATGACAATTTTTTTTAGGTAATTAGAAGTGGTGATATTTTTTCTTCATATTCATCCCAGAGCTTCCAGAGATGGACAGAGATGGACTTGTTGGTCATGATTTGCTTTTCTTGTGCACGATTTTAGCTTGTGCTCAGCAACAAGTTGTGATTGCAAATCAACAATGTGAAGAAGAGGGTAGAGCGAGATTGTTCTTTGCTGCTCGGTGGTTTATGTGCTGGTGCCACATCACCTTCATTTGTACTGTATTTTGTTTATTCACCCAATTTGAATCGTTGTCTTTATTAAAAAATTAATATTCGTGTATAATAATAACAATAATTTTTCATTTGTTCTGTATTTTGTTTATTTACCAATGTTTTAATCGTTTTCTTTATTAAATAATTAATATTCGTGTATAACAATAACACAATACTTCTCGAGTAGTCTGTATACATGTGTAATTTATATTCGTGTAAAATAATACCTTACAATTTGTCACTAATACCAGCGACTGTTTGTGGTGACGAGATGGATTTGATATTGGTGACGAAATGGGTGGGGTTTTGGTGACGAACCGGGGTAGTGACGAAACGGATTGGTGACGAAATGGGGTGTGTCCGACACAAGTAAACTAACACTAAACATAGTAAACTAATAATAGACAGGTAAACTAACATACTAAAGACAGGTAAATAGGTAAACTAACATACTAAAGACAGGTAAATACAAGAAAATATCGTACCTGATCTCTCGGTGTTGGGTTTCAGTCCTCGCAAGAAAAGATTGCTTAGCTTGAAATTGTTATTGTTCTTGATAGCTGCCATGGCTGCATCAAGTAGGTGCCAGTCTGCCAATCACAAGAGTTAATAAATCACTAAATCCTACATCTCTAGCAGGAATCTAACATAACTTTCTTTACCTAATCTAACAAAACCTAGCTCTTATAAATTAACCTAACCTAGCTCTTTACGTAAACTAACCTACCTCATATAAGTTAACCGAACCTAAACTAGCTTTAACATAAACTATTCTATCTCAAGATTAACCTTACCTACCCTACCTACTAATAGCAAAATATTAAGCTCAGGGTTATAGGTAAGTGTAAAGACGCAATAGCATAAATATAAATGTATTCATTATCACTTCAGATTCTGAATACCGGATTTCCTTTACAATATCATCCCCAAACACATAACCAAAAATCATTGGTGACTATCAAACTAGTAGAAAATTTTGTTCCAAGAATAATGCAAGAACTGTATACTGTACGTATATAACCTTGTATTTACAACCTTCAGCAGTTGATGCTTATTTGTACGAGAGAGAGACTTCAAGCAGTGTCGCCACCTGTGGTACAATTGTACCAAATTGTACGATTTGAGGATAACGATACTGCTGTCCTACATTTCGATAAAAATGCCATTTTCAGTACAATTTGCTCTTAAGCGGTACAATTTCCCTGTTTAACGGAACAATTTGAATTTTCACCTATTATAAAAAAGGTGGAAAATTTTGCACTTAGTTTCTATTAGCTTAAGTATGTATTTACAGTATTTGTGGTTTTCAACACAACATTTTTAACAAAACAATTTCTTCACAACTGACACAAGATGACCGGAAGTTATTTTATCGAATTGCACAATCTACAGCGTAATAACTCATAAACCTTTCAAGTTTTTCTTTTTATGCACAAGAAAAACATTGATATTTGAAGAAAAATTACATTAAGTTTGCATTCTGTGTTAACTTGAAGAGTAGGTAATACGTTCCTTGTAACAGGGTTCTTGTTTCATTCCAATCCGTTCTGCTGCTGCTTGTGCATTTATGATAACATGATAACGGTTTCAGCAGAGAAATAGCCTATCGTTGTTTTATATGGGCTTAGGGCTTGGTTATCCCATAATGGTGTATGGGTGAAGAGGTGTGAGTTCTGACAACTTTCTTGAAAAACTTGTTTCCCGTTCTGAAAACCAAAAATGTCTTTACGTGAGTGGCTTATAAAAGGGAAAAGTAAGTACAAGAGTATAAGTTTTAATTGTGATTTTTTAACTATGAAATATTGAGAATTTTGTTGATGTTAAGATCACTCCGGCTGTATAGTCCCGTAAGCTTACAGTTGATCAGTTGGTGTCCTGCTGTAGTGAATTAGAAAAACGAGGTAAGGGGTGAAGCGGGTACATGTATTGAATCCAGGAAAAAAGTCACAGGAAAGAAATTCACAGAAAAAAGGCACGGAAAAACCTAACTTACGTGCAATGCCATCATATAAATATTGTGTTGTCAATGTGTACAAGTCATGTGACTTTATTTCTGTTCACCCATAAATTACCGGTTATGTTAATTTTCAGTACATGAGATTAAAGGTATTGATTGGTAAAAATATGAAACATCAACCTTACGTGTTGATGGTGAAAATTACAATATACGGTATAAGCAATGCGTAATAGTGAATTACTGCAATGGCGAACAATGATATATTGAGTGTTAGTCTCAGTTCTTATATCGCCATTGTTGTGGAATACTACTGGTAATTGGAGTAAATAAGTTTAAAATTGTTCTTCAGTACGGTTGCAATAAACATTCGGTTGTAGGCCTAGTAGCAATCTTATTTGTATTGCCGTTTTGAATCATAATATTTTCACAATCTAAATTGTAGAAAGAACACCGTTATATATATATATATATATATATATATATATATATATATATATATATATATATATATATATATATATATATATATATATATATTTTTTTTTTTTTTTTTAATTGGGGTAAGAGAAAAAAGGATTCCATTTAGGTAAAGACTGTGACACTACAACAATGGATGTAGATGACCCTATCCCTGTTAACATTCAAAAACTATATAAGACTATATATAGTCTTTGCTTAGCATTGAAGATAGACACAATATTCAAGATGTTCCGAGCACGAGTAGAGATAGAAGTGCAACTGCAATGAAAGCAGGTTAGCCTCCACAGACTGAATGGGTTTGAAATTCGTTCTCACTGATATATGTGTAAAATAACAGTGTATGAGAGGGAGACCATTATCGTTGCTGGAAATTTATCTAAGCTGTATGTGAGTGATGATTAAATTTATTCTGTTTATGATTTCAGTAAAATATCCTATTGCATTCGGCATATTTTAATGTGTCTGAATGAAGAATAAACTTCAACAGATATGCAGACATACAGTAATAAGATAGTAAAGGTATATAAACGGTGTACATGGCAGTGTAGGTATACAAATACATAGACAGTGAAGATATACAAAAACATAGACAGTGAAGGTATACAAATACATGACAGTGCAGGTATTCAAACAACATACAGTACACAGTGTAGCCATACAAACAACGTACATACAGTAGAGGTTTACAAACAACGTACATACAGTAGAGGTTTACAAACAACGTGCATAGACAGTAGAGGTATACAAACAATGATAAACAAAAAGTAATTCCACCAAGGACAGCCCAACAAAACCTTTACAGTTTATACGTATGCTTATTGCCGAACAAGGTGTATATACTGTACCGTACAATATTTCTGCACTCCATTGCTTCAGTTCGTTAAGCAGGTTAAAGTGAGTTCATTTGCTTAATACCAATTATTAAACACCACAGAAAATAAAGCTATGTTTTTTTTATTATGAGGAAGTTTTATACGCGTACAAAATCTACCACAGAAAGCTACCATTCTCCGCCCTACTACTGTAACACTTTACCACACGTTTCCCCGAGTGAGTTTAGATTAGGTTGGGTTAGGGTAGGACTGGGGAGGTTAGGTTAAGACTGGGTTATATTAAGTCTAGGTTAGTTAGCGTAGGACTGATGTATTATGGCTAGGGTAGATTAAGTGTAGTAGGCTAACATTAGTCGTTTGCTAAAACTCGCCAGTGAGACAAACAACTGCTGAAGGATAGAAGTTGGTGATACTTATTATAATCATACCGGTACCTTCAACACATCCTGTCGGTATCTTCAACACATCCTGTCGTCCCCCTAACTTAACCAAACCTAGCCTCATCTTACCTTGCCAACAGTGCGTGACAGAGACGTGACCGATCGCCCGGGCGGCGAGCGAGCCGATCTTTTGGTGAAGAATATAAATGAAAAGAGACGTGACCGATCGCCCAAGCGGCTAACAAGCCGATCAGTGGCGAAGAGGATAAAACGAAAAAAAATTAACATCACTTGACTTAACCTAACCAAACCTAGCCTCATCTTACCTAGCAACCCATACTTAACATCACCTGACTTAACCTAACCAAACCTAGCCTCATCTTACCTAGCAACCCATACTTAACATCACCTGACTTATCCTAACCAAACTTAGCGTTATCTTACCTCGCAAACCATACTTAATATCACCACAACTAACCTAACTTAACCAAACCTAAAGCTAAGCTAACCTGGATCTCGTGAAGGTTAGGAACACCAGCATATTTCACCTAATGATTAAACACCCTCTAATGTTAAATGGGGATCAGGTTAGTGTAGATTAAATTATAAAAGGTTAGATTTTATTAGTTGAGGTTAGATTAAGTTAGGTTAGGTTAGATTAGACTATATTTGGTTAGGTTCATTAATCATCTGGTGAAATAAGCTGGGGGCTCATAATCTTTAAGAGATCCGCTAACCTAACATACAAAAATAATTTAACAGTCACAACTTGGTACAATACAGAGACCGAGAATATCACTTTGTTTTTCTGTTTTACCTTGACCTTCGGCTACAAAATTCTGTTGGATGACAGCCACCACCACCACTATGCATATCCTCTGCGTCATTTTTCTTCACTTTCCGCTACGAATACACAATTCTGGAAAACCAAACACACACAAACATAACAGAACGGCACCTTCTTATTAATTCATTAATTTCCCCACTTCAAAAATAAAGTCTTCTCTGAAACACATGACAGTAATGGTGTGTCAAAACGTTCCCGCATACTTTAGTATCCAAAAATTCCCCTTCTTCCACTATATATATATATATATATATATATATATATATATATATATATATATATATATATATACGAGAGGGTGTAGCTTTCGCTGGTTAGTTTATGTGATGTTTTTAAGATACATTAACAGTTCCAGAATTGTAAACATGAGGAAAGAGCTCGGACTGCCCTCCCTATCTGAGAGGATAGCTCTACTTAATTACGATGTTTTGCGTCAAAGTTTTGAAGAACAATGGTCCCCAAACTACAGCTCAAACTGAGTTGATGTTCTATCTAAGTAATCCCGACTATCTCGCTAACCTTCCACAAAAGACTCTCTTTGGGGCGTGGCTTCATAAAAGTGTTGCAGATCTCTTGAAACTGAATGTCCTAATCACCCCAGACGAACTCATTAATGCCACTCCTCCTTGGCTGGATATACCAGTTCCTATTAATTATACCCCTGTTGGTAGTAAGCAGATGTTAAACACCGATGTGATGAGATGTGTCGCACTAGAAAATATTAACACACACACAGAGAGTATTAAATCAAGTGAATGTTATGCTTTTACTGATGGTTCTGTGAAGACAAACACAGGTAGAACAGGCTGTGCAATTGTAATATATAAAGAAAAAGAGATGATAGTGTCAAACAAGCAAAGGCTGAACAACTTGGGCCAGCACAACACAAACTGAACTAAATGGAATCTACTTAGCTATCTTAAAGAAAATGGAGGTGGGGTGATATTCTATGACTCTCAAAGTGCTTTGAAATAAATGAAGAGCCCATCAGGTTCTATGTCTGAAGCTGTATATAATATTAAAATAAATGTGATAACTGCCAATGAGAACAACTCTAGTGTCGAAATTGTGTGGATTCCGTCCCATGTTGGAATTAGGTTTCATGACTGCTGATAGACTCGCGAAGCATGTTCGAAAGAAAATGTTGACCGTGACCTTGGCCTGTCCATTGCTGTACTTAAAAACATTCGTCAGAATTATGAACTATGATCTAGAAGAACTGAGAAATGCAGAGTCCTGGCAGTTGTAGCATTAGTAAATACGACAAATTTTGTGACAGGAGATACCGTTATGGCCAGCATAAGGACAGAACTAGACAATGTGATATAGTAGTGGCCAGAATTAGGCTAGGATACAGACACATCTGGCAAATTAGTAACGCTGTACCCATACCGGAACACTCAGCATGTAAATTTTGTGATAAACCTTTAAAGCATACACTTGAACACTATATTATTGAATGTGACACTGTCAAAGACTTCAGGCCACCTAGCTTATTGTATCTTTTCTTTTTCTGTTATCCTCTTCACCACTGATCGGCTCGTTGGCCGCTTGGGCGATTGGTCACGTCTCTGATTCAATTTCAATTGTTTATTCCTTGATAGAGGAAGCGGGATCCTAGTGCTGTCACTCGGTACAATAACACCAGAAGCATCTGGCAAGTGTGACAAGTATATTCAGTATATTATAAAGGGGCTTACTAAAGCCTAAGGCAGGGGTTATTTACATAGGAGTGGTGGTCCAGCAGGCGTCACGGAAGCGTTGTGTGTGGGGACATCTTAGGAGGTAGTGGACAAGGGTGCGGCTGTCGGGTCTTCTGCATATTGCACAAGAGCGTTGCTCAGGGGATGCGGGGATACCAATCTCCCAAGCAAAGTCATACCCAATGATGATACGGGCAGCAATCACGTCCCCTTTCCGCGACTCTTTCCCATAGACATACGAGAGGTCAGGAAGTTTACAGAGGACATCGTACTAGGGGAATGGCTGCTTCCCGAGCTTCTCTCTGTTTGCGGCGAATTTGGGTTCTAAGCTGTAAAAGTGTTCGAGGAACAACGTAGTCAGGTGTGGCCTTGTTGCAGCCAGTCTTGGCAAGGCCATCTGCTGCCTCATTCCCCAAGTCTCTGATTACTTTTCCTTTACTTTTATCCTCTTCACCGCTAATCGGCTCGTTAGCCGCTTGGGCGATCGGCCACATCTTTGTTACTTTTCTTATTCTTTTATCCTCTTCACCAATTGATCGGCTCGTTAGCCTCTTGGGCGATCGGTCACTTTTGCTTTTTATTTTTATCCTCTTCACCACTGATCGGCTCGTTAGCCGCTTGGGCGATCAGTCACGTCTCTGATTACTTTTCCTTTTCTTTTATCTTCACCAAAAGTTCGGCTCGCTAGCCGCCCGGGCGATCGGTCACATCTCTGTCACGCACTGTTGGCAAGTACTGGGCATGCACCGGCTCCTGGATGTACCTGAACCCGCTCCAGTATGGGTCAAGCCTTGTCTTGAAAGAGCTCACACTCGGTGCCGTCACAACACTTTCTGGTAGATTGTTCCAAGAGTTTACAACCCTCACTCCGAAAAAGTTTACCCTCACAGTTTTCTCGACTTGCGGCTTCTTCAATCTTGAGCTGTGATCCCTTGTGGGACGAGCGTCCGCCAGTTCCAAGTAAGGACACTCGACTGTGTAGTGCCCCCTGAGATGCTTATACACCTCAACTAGGTCACCCTTTGCCCGTCTGTAGTATAAGCTAGGCAAGTTCAGGCGCTCCAATCTCTCAGAGTAGCCGAGGTGCCGAAGTGCAGGCACCAGTCTGGTGGCCCTCTCTGTTACTCACTGTTGGCAAGTACTGGGCATGCACCTGGCTCCTGAATGTCATGAACTTTGTAATTACAACATTGAATCGGGAGTGCTTGAGGACATTCTTGCTGTTTATCCAAAATTTGCTAGCCCACACTGATTAGTCTTCAATTAGAATATGACGTCCAATGTATATGAACCACTGTCCTGCATGGCAGTGAACAGTGACATCACCCACATGACTCTGACCTATATATACTGTTCTGAATATGAACTGTTATGAACCTTTGTCCTGCGTGGCAGAGAAGTGATACCACCCTCAGTGTCAAGACCTGACTGAATTACTCAGAATAGGCAAACTGTACTCCAAGCTGTCAATAAATTTGTTAAACTTAAAAAAAAAAAAAAAAAGCATCTATGACGGGATCTTGAGGACGCTATTTTCTTGTTTGTTGTCGTGCGTGCGTGTTTGATAGATGCGCCCTGAGCCGCCCTCATGGAGGGAACAAGTGGCTTCACGTAACACATCAACTCATGTATCATGTACAAAAGTACACATCACCAAGATTTATGTACACATTACCTCAGGGCTCAAGTATCACGTACACATGACTAAGGTGTCATATACACACCCGTATCATGTATACACGTGTCTTCAAGTATTAAAACATTCCACAAAATCAAAATATATTCGTGTTCACAAAACAAAAACATTATCAAAATAAACATACAACTTGGTTATCTAACTTGGTTATCTAACAGAAATGAAGCACACCATATTAAAGCAATAACCAGTGTGTATGGATGAGAGGAACTTGCTTTTGTCTTAGCTTGGAGTCGAGGACTTAAGGCGCAGGATAACACACCTCTACCCTCGCCTGTGTTCTTGGCTACACTGTCCGAGACGTCCACTCGAGTGATCGAGTCTACTATTGAGTCTCGACTCTCGTGGTGCTGACTCACGCACTCACTCAGGACTCGAGCGTCTCTGCATAGACGCGGCTGGAAAGTATAAAACACATCGAGCCCATTGTGCCGAACATGATATAAATAAACTACCGTTTTAGTAGTAATATAAAGAACATCTCAGTATTTAAAAGTTGTTAACAGAGTTGGCAGTGGTCACCACTTTTTCACATCTTTTACTGAGCTCGCAAGTTTATTGATGACCAACGATTTAAAAAAATATACAATACCGCATAGCTTCAAAACTACACAACTATCATTGTATTGCTGTAAATTAAAGACTAGGTTTTAATATTGCGCTCCCACAGAGGAAAAAGTTTGAAGATCAGGCGACATTATTCCAAGTTGGAATAATAGTAACAATAATAATATTTATTCAATGAAATTGCCATGCACTGTATAAAATTATAAACTATGCAGGTACTGTATACGGGTGTGCAGGCTAAAAAATTTCCAGCGACGGATCTAGACATTTACATAAAAAAATTACCTAACCAGTGTAGGTTAGTATTTAACTACATTAGTTTATTAACTAACTACAAGAAAATCCACTCATCCATATAAATGTTTTCAGATTATTTAGGGAAATTAAGAACCAAACAGACTGTGAAGAGCTACAGAAAGATTTCTGAGCTTCAAGAATTTTCGAAGAAATGGCAGCTAAAATTCAATATAACGAAGTGCAAAAGGATGCACCTGGGTCGCACCAACAGTAAAGAGGCGTATCACATATCCCAGCAAGACGAAGAAACTACATTAATTGAGACCGAATGTGAAAAGGACCCTGAGTGTGTATGTCAACAATGAACTTAGAGTTCTCGGGCCATTGTGAGAAGGTGAATCGGGCAACGAAACTATTGTCTTTTAAGTTTAATTAGTTTAACACATTTGACAAAGCTCGGAGTACAGTCAGGTTCTTGACACCGAGGGTGGTATCACTTCTCACTGCCACGCAGGACAGACGTTTGTAGTGGATTTCTCCCCTACAAACGCTGTTTGTCGCTGAGTAGCCGACCCCACCAATTCCCCAGTGTATGCCTCGTGGTCTAGGTCAACCAGCGCCGCCATACATCACGGAGCGAGGGTCAACTACTAAGCCACGCCTACCCCCGCTATTTAAGACCTGACCTCGTGGTGACCTGTCTCTTTCTACCTCCACCAACAGCTAGCAACACCTCCTCCTCCTCCGCCGCTGCCTGGCGGCCCTCGCTCCTCCTCCGCCTGCCTGGCGGTCCTCTCTCTCCCGCCGGCGAGCATGGCGACCCACAAGCTGTCCTTCTCTGAGCGTCCTCACCAACCAGCTCTCTCTACATCACGCTTGTAACCATGCTGCCTTCCCAGCACCAAGCTGCATTGTACATCCAATACAACATGTATATAGAGAGCACATTGTGAGTTTCCTTTCTCCATTCCATCCCGAGTGTGAACCAAACAATCCTGAACCCCACACGTTCATGCACAAAGGAATAGATCATATTCATTAGCAGTATATATAGGTCAGATTCGTGTGGGTTGATGTCGCTGTTCACTGTCATGCAGGACAGAAAGTTCGTACACAAAGAAATACATCATATTCATTAGCAGTATATATTTAGGTCCTTTAGATATCTGGGTGGTCCGTCGCTCGTCACGATCTTCATGAGTGAGGCGCTTCCTCGTCTGGTCCCCAAGGTATGCTAGAGACTGTCAATTGATTGAAATGTCCAAAGGAGGGCCACCAGACTGGTGTCTGCAATCTACGGAACCTCAGTTACCAAAAGAGATTAGAACGCCTACAACTACCTCGCTTATACTTCAGACGGGCGAGGGGGCGACCTAATCTAAGTGTATAGACATCTCAGAAGGCACTACGCGGTCGAATGTACATACCTGGAGCTGGCGGACGTCACAGTTCAAGGTTGAAGAAGCCACAAGTCCAGAAAACTCTCTGGGCAAACTTTTTCGAAGTGAAAATTTTGGACTCTTGGAAGAACAATCTGCCAGTGTTGTGACGGCACCGATTGACCGATTGTGAGCTCATTCAAGGCCAGACTTGTCCAGCACTGGAGCAAGTTCCGATATTATATCGGCGATATATTCATGAGCCAGTACATGCCCAGTACTTGCGAACGGTGCGTATGAGAAGTGACCGACCGCCCAACATGCCGATCAGTGGCGCAAAAAAAAAAATAATAATAATTTGAGACGAAATCACTTAACTTTCGGAAATCGAGACAGGTTTCTGCTCCTTACAGAGTTGCAAGAGCAATTAATAGCTGCACAGTAACGGGGCCTCATTGCAGTTGCAATAAAATATGAAAACAATAGAAGAAACGAGATTTTGCCGAATTCTTGGTCTTCCTCCATTTATTCCTTGTCTGGTAATTATTATGTTTACGTTGGTGGTGGTGGTGGTGGTGGGGGGGGGGACTATGTCTGCGGCCCATTGGAGTGAGCCATCTTTCTACTGTCTCAGAATTCATAGGATATGTATATCTTGACGGACGTGACGGTCGTGACCTTCGTAGTTGTAGCACTAATCTCTACCCGCCGCCCGCTCCCTACTCTCCACGTACTTACTCCTTATCCCTTTATCTTTTTTTTTTTTTCTTTTTTTACACTTATGTTACTGCGCGTTCGGGGCAGTCAGATGGTCGGGGGTTAGTTAATTGTCGACAATTACTTCATTACTACCAAGGTTAGAACGCCTCCAGCTGCCTGGTTTAGATGATAGACCGGACAGGGGACGATTTAATACAAGTTTAAAAACACCTCAAAGGTCATTTCTCTGTCGACATCTGAAGCTAACGGATCCCCGCCCCACTACAGGTCACATCCTTAAGTTAAAGCGAATTTCTTTGCAGTGAGAGTAACTGATGTAATAACGGGGTTAGATTCTGTTGTGGTAGCACCAAGTGTGAGCTCAGTTACTGAAGGCACACTGGCAGTTTCTGGTACATTTTACTATCTTCTTCGCCACTGATCGGTTCGTTAGCCGCCAGTGCATACCTAATATTTGTAACAAAGAAGAGACTTACTGCCCAAGAGGCTGGCGAGAGATTCAATGGCAAAGTGATATGATACGGTACGATACGAAACATTTACAAAACAAACGAAGAACATTGGTCCCAGCACACTACCACCACTCAATGTGGGTACACTCGGCAAGTGGTGCACCTCATGTCTGTGCCTGGGAATGTTGTTTGTTGCTTTCATAATTGATGTCAGATAATTTTTTTTTTAATTTATCATTTCCTCCAACTATCAATTCACACTTCACCGGCTGTTAGTTTACTTATTTTATATGTTGGGCATTGATATTACAAATAAGCTTTAGTAGGGACTTCCCTTTAGATAACCCATCTCCTCCCTGCGGTAACGCGCATAACTCCCACTAATATGTCAAGGGTTCCAGCCTCGGCCCGAACGAGTGTTTTTTTTTTTATCCCGAGGGCTTCAGTTATTTTTAACAAACGGCGCCGTCACTGTGTTTTGAAGCGCGGCACCACTGTACACTCCGTAAGAAAGAGAGAATAAGAGACGATCAGTCATGCTTGGCTTAATATTGCATATCCTAACGTAATAGATACTAATACTGTACAAACAAATAACCTAACCTAACCTTGTCAGCACGGCCAAGATGGAACGAATTCTTGCTGCCTCCAGCTGATTGTACAGTGGTGCCGCGCTTCAAGAATTGCGAACCGTTTGTTCAAAATGACGGAAGCCCTCAGGAAAATAAAAATCGCGGCCCCGGACACACGTGAGAAGGGTGTTATCCAGTGTGACCCCTCAAAGAACAGAGTCGCCCTTCACACCCCAGCTGGAATATATGTTCACAGAATGTCATGAATATAACGAAAATACCAATATTAAGCAACCAACATCAACATAACTAAAAAAATATTCTATAATTATAAGACTTAGATTAAGAGTATGTTAGATTAATCTCATGTATTTAGAAGAGCATTGTAAGAGAGTAATAAGATAATATTCAAAGTTTCGTCCGTGGTAGTAAACTAACACTGGTTACCTCAAGTTGACAACACACGATAATAAATTTTAAGTTTTAGATCTAAATAGCAAGTATTATAAGAACATAAGGAGTCTGCAATAGGCCGGTTGGCCTGTGCATGGCAGCTCGTCGAGAGCTACTACCACTCTATCGTCCATAAATCTATCTAGCCTCCTTTTAAAACTTTCCAGCGTTCCAGCACTTACTACAATGTTGCTAAGCTTGTTCCACTCGTCTACCACCCTATTTGTGAACCAGTTCCTTCCTATCTCCCTCCTAAACCTAAACTTATCCAACTTAAATCTGTTGCTACGAGTCCTATCCTGAAAATTAGCAGACCTACTGTTAGGGGAGACGAGGAACAACGGGAATGTTTCCAGCGCAGGAACAATGTAATAGATTTTTGGAGTCCCTGAGAACCAGCCGGAGGGAACTGAGAGTAGGATAACACACGATAAGATGCAGTTTAAGAATATTTGTACAAAGGTTCTCAAGATGCCATCAACCCCTCAGGATGTGAGGAGGCTGGGACAAAAGCAGGGGGATAAGCCTCGCCCCCTCAGGATCACACTAGTTAGTTAGTGAGGAGAAATGGGAGGTTATTGGGCAGGCAAAAAACTTAGGGAACAGTTATGTGGTCATTCAGACACGCCACATTCCTGGTAGATTGAATTTGCTATTGGGATCGTTGGAACATATCACCAGGAAGGGGTAACTGCCCTTTTAAGTCCTCATGAATATAAAAACCATTTTCGCCCTCCAAATTTTGATATAACGAGATGAAATTTATTCAGAGCTAATAGAAAGTGTTAGTTGGCGACAAACCTTTGTTTCCATATACACTCAAATATTGTCAGTTTATTTACCAGTTATTCCTGGCTGATCCAGATTGTGCATCTGTGCATAAACACCCAGCGTGTTCTTGTCGGCCGACACTCTACACCAACCGTTGGCCATCCCAGTGCGGCCAATATCCAGTGAAATAGAACCTTCAAAAACAGCTGTAAAGTGCGAAAATCTCACATACATTAGGGTTCGAGCCTCGGCCCGGACACACGTGAGGTGGTTATCCAGTGTGACCCTACCAAACATCACGAGCTCAATTGGCTGGCAAGTGGCAAAAATGATATGTACTATATATATTTTCTTGAGGGAAATATTATTGGGGTACTTGGTGTCTGGGTTGTGGTAACAGTAGGCCATACAGCCGATTGGGAAACATTGGTACCCCTGTTTGGTATATCACAATCCCGACCCATCATATTGCCCAACGGATGTACTTAAATGACCTCGCCCCACAAAAGTGTATAGTGCTCGAAGGTTAGGCACACCATCGGGAATGACAACTGAAAATATAGCCCCAGAACTCAAGGTATACCTGGATACAGTATAGTATATCATAATGAAAGAAAAAAATAAAGCAAGCTGTTGTAGTGGACGTCTCCCCTACAAACTGCGTAGCTGCACACCACCTGCTACCGTCTTCCCTAGCAACCAAGCGTATCCGCATTCCAATGCCCGCCGTATCCTAGCAACCGAGCCAAAAGGCCGGCGACTTCTCGGGTTTTCCCAACATGACTCATAGCGGCTGCTGGGTATATAAGCTCTGTCTCTCCATTGAGATTCATTCTGACCATTCTTCTTGAACAAGCAACACCTCCTCCGCCGCTGCCTGGCTCCCTCGCATCTCCTCGCCTGCCTGGCGGTCCTCGCTCCAGCCAGCGAGCATGGCGACCCACCAGCTGTCCTCTGAGCTTCCTCACCAACCAACTCTCATTCTGCCCATCTTCCTGAACAAGCAACACCTCCAGCACCAGACTGTCTATAATATAACTTATATTATATAAGAAAACCACATTAGAGTTTCCTTCCATCCTGAGTGCTAGACAACATTAATATCTCGATACCCCTACACTGTGTAAGGAAAGGTCTATTCAGGTGAGTTTTCATTTCTAAACAGGACTGGAGTGAATTTTTTTTGCTGCCTTAAAGAAGTCAATTTTTGCTTGGGACTTGTCATACAGGTACACCACTGTAGTGGAATTCTCCCCTACAAACGCTGTTTGTCGCTGCCTAGCCGACCCCACCAATTCCCCAGTGTATGCCTCGTGGTCTGGGTCAACCAGCGCCGCCATACATCACGGAGCGGGGGTCAACTACTAAGCCACGCCTACCCCCGCTATTTAAGACCTGACCTCGTGGTGACCTGTCTCTTTCTACCTCCACCAACAGCTAGCAACACCACCACTTCCGCCGCTGCCTGGCGGCCCTCGTTCCTCCTCCGCCTGCCTGGCGGTCCTCTCTCCCGCTGGCGAGCATGGAGACCCACAAGCTGTCCTTCTCCGAGCGTCCTCACCAACCAGCTCTCTCTACATCACGCTTGTAACCATGCTGCCTTCCCAGCACCAAGCTGCATTGTACATCCAATACAACATGTATATAGAGAGCACATTGTGAGTTTCCTTTCTCCACCCCATCCCGAGTGTGAACCAAACATCCTGAACCCCACACCACCGATTACACAGGAACCGATGGTCCGGCACCTCCTTTAGCCTCCAGCTGCTACCCAGTCACCTCCCTCTTCTGGTTTGACACAAGCTGGTACCCCCGGTTAACGAGCACAATTCCGTCTAGAAGGTTGCTCGTTAACCGAAACCATTGTTTCACTCGGTTTTTGGGTAATTGATTCCAGCTCACCGAAAATTGCCTAAAGTCAACAAAAAAAGGTAGTAAAGTACAGTTACTTTGAGGTGTGTATGTAGAAGACTCCTGGATGATGATGATGGGAATTAGAATGGGGGTGGAGGAGAAGGGAAGGAATTTGGGTGGAAGAGAAGTCACCCCATGGCACCATTTCACCCATAAAATTTTAGTTCACTTGGTATAATTCAAGATTATTTTCTTTAAATCAACACTACACTGCACTGCATTAAATATTGTCAATATGTAAAATAAATTTCAAAATGACCAATAGTTTGACTGGAAACAGAAAAAAGCGTTGAAGTGAGTCTGAAGCAAGATGTTACCTCCACTGAAAAGACACAGACTGACGCCTGTATGGTGTGTTGACAGACTGTTTGGTGCGCTAAAAACTAGTTTCCCTGTACTTAAATTATGTTAAATAATTGTTAAAATGACTAAAAATTTTAATAGAAGACTTAAAATTACTGAATAGTACAAACTTCTTGATATGTACTAAAATAGTAAGGAATTTAAGCCCTAGAATCGATTACTGTATTGGTGGACTAATACTACAGCTGGCAGGCAGCCAAATGCAGGCGAAAACATGTTGGGAAAAATTCGTAAGGAATTTGTTAATCGAGGGAATGCTCGTTAACCGAAGTTAAGAATCTTATGGAAGGTAATTCGTTAACAGAAATTTCGTTAACCGAGGGATCACTGTATTGTTGAATTATTATTACCCGACCTCAGTTGGTCCGGCAAAACGGATAATCCAGCAAGGCTTTGGAACCAAGGGTTCCGGAAAATCGGTGGTTTCAGGTCCAGTTTAATTTTGTTAAGGTTACTAAGTAATACACTGCACATATTTTGTTTAATAAAAAAGACAACAATATTGATACTTATTATACAAAATCACGATTGATATGACTCCAGGACTTGCAACAAAAAGGACAGAATTATCATAAAGTAGACCCACATATATCTTCATGATTGCAGTTTTATGGAACAAAATAATGAAGCTCAAAGAAATAACAAAAGATAACCACTTATAACAGCATCATCACTGTCAAGAAAGCAAAAGTGATGGTTCTTTTGTAAAACATTTTACATCCCCAATTGTTTTTTGACATTCAACAATCCTTCAAAATGTTTTTCTTAAGATGACCAAATCCTATTCCTCTAAATCAGCGGTTCCCAACTTCAGGTGGCGACCCAAGTCAGGGTCGCGTGGGGCCCCCAGACAATTTAAAAAATATAGTACTTATCATAAAGTAATAAACAAATTTTTGCTTAACATTCAAGCTATATAATATATTATATGCCTGAGGTTCACGACACTGTATTGTTGGGAATTTAGGGTCACAGCCAAAAAAGGTTGGGAACCACTGCTCTAAATGTTTCCAGTTTACTCTCTAATATCTGTGTTTCAATGTCTATTTTAATTTTAATAAAAACCACCTTCTTATAAATTAATCTCAAGGAGGCAAGAGCTGGCAGCTATTCTATAAGTGCAGAAGATTCAAAAGGAAACTTTGCAAATAGATATACACAAATTTCTTGCTGATCTGACAATCAGATAAGTTAAGTTGTTGCAACTTGCTTGCATGCTTGTATTCACAAAAGAAGCCTGGGTATTACCGAAAGATGACATAGTAAGAACATAAAAAAGATATATTACAAGATAAAAGGAAAGGGGAGGCAAAATACCAAGTGGTTATGGTTTGACTGTGCGGTACTCCTAAAAGTAATTACAATAAACAATACACTGCAATAAAAAAAAAGTTAACCATATTACTGAAATGTACACAAATGAATACAGGGTAACTTCTCTCAATTGTCGAGCAATAATAAATTTACCGACAGTAGTAAATATTGAAGAAATGCAGCTTTAAGGGGATCGTGCCGCTGCGAACGATTGAAAAATGACAAAATCAGATTTTCAAAAAAAAAATAAAAATCCTCAGAACTCTGGCAGCCTATGGCTATATTCCTGCCTAGTATGAACGATATACAATAATATTTTTGACCCTAAAACAAATTATAAAGAACCCCCCTACCCCTTGTTATACAGTACCATACATTGTATTTTTTATTGAAACTAAGAAAGCCTCGTCTGGCAATTGTTTCCTCAGGTGGAATGATGCTGCTGGTCTGTAAAACAAGAGGAGTTCAGACCTTCACTGTGCAAGCCCTCAACCTGTGTAAAGCTGCATAACTCAAACATTTTGCACATAAAATTGGAAGTACAGTATTGTATATCTCCAAAAGTTTTTAGACAATTTTCAAACAGTATTAGATTCACCAATGATAGGAGAATATTCCATCCTAGAAAGAGAATTTTTCTTTTTCTTTTCTTTGAATGGATATAATGGTTTGGGTTCTAGTATGGAAATATCATCAGTCCATGCCTTTTATACCATTAAAAGCACACATAATTTTCATTAAAAAAATTTGCTGTACTGTATTTTGATTATAAAAAACAAACAAAAAAAACAGGGTTCCTGCATGACAATCCCCTTAAACACCATTAAAAATTTTTCTTTAATGGGCAAGCAGTAATTCATTGACTGCTATCATATACATACTATAATGTATAAAAGCAGTGCAGGTACAGTATATATTTTGCAATGATGAAAAAAAAGACATTTGTGATTGTATTAACAATGGTAAATGTAAAACTTAGGATTATTCCCATCTGTGCACAGATTCCAGAAAACAGCACACACAGATACTGTTTGTGAACAAACAAATTTACTGTAAATACTTTACATAATAATAGACATGACTTCCTTTTATTAAACAGGCAACTCATTGCTCACTTAATAAAAGGAAGGAAATTAAACACAGCTTCCTTTTATTAAACAGGCAACTCATTGGTCATTTAATAAAAGGAAGGAAATTAAACACAGCTTCCTTTTATTAAACAGGCAACTCATTGGTCATTTAATAAAAGGAAGGAAATTAAACACAGCTTCCTTTTATTAAACAGGCAACTCATTGGTCATTTAATAAAAGGAAGGAAATTAAACACAGCTTCCTTTTATTAAACAGGCAACTCATTGGTCATTTAATAAAAGGAAGGAAATTAAACAGGCAACTCATTGGTCATTTAATAAAAGGAAGGAAATTAAACACAGCTTCCTTTTATTAAACAGGCAACTCATTGGTCACTTAATAAAATGAAGAAAATTAAACACAGCTTCCTTTTGTTAAACAGGCAACTCATTGGCCACTTAATAAAAGGAAGGAAATTAAACACAGCTTCCTTTTGTTAAACAGGCAACTCATTGGTCATTTAATAAAAGGAAGGAAATTAAACACAGCTTCCTTTTGTTAAACAGGCTACTCATCGGCCACTTAATAAAAGGAAGGAAATTAAACACAGCTTCCGTTTGTTACATATACCCTAGGTACCAGACTGGCCACTTAATAAAAGGAAGGAAATTAAACACAGCTTCCTTTTATTAAACAGGCAACTCATTGGTCACTTAATAAAAGGAAGGAAATTAAACACAGCTTCCTTCTATTAAACAAGCAACTCTTTGGCCACTTAGTAAAATGAAGAAAATTAAACACAACTTCCTTTTGTTAAACAGGCAATGCATTGGCCACTTAATAAAAGGAAGAAATTAAACAACTTTCTTTCATTAAACAGTGAACTGACTGGCTATTCAATTAAAGGGAGAAAATATTCAGTATGCTGCTCCATTTTATAAAACAGTAAGCTGACAAGGGGAGAAATAACAATAAACACCGCTCCCTTTCACTGAACTGGCAGCCAACTAGTTATTCAGCTGTATTGAAGAAGCTGAGAAATTATTTTGTAAAAGGAAGCAAGAACTCCAGAGCTTCATTTCATTAAGCAGCAATACAAGGAAAGGAGGCAAGTCAGATATCATTTCTTCTTACAAATAGGGGGAGCACTTGTTGAAAGGGGTAAATATTATGGTCAAATACTGTAAACTCATCCATTCAATGAAATGTAAAGGAACATCTCAAGGAGCATCCTCCTATGTGATCAAACTTGATGATCAAAACATACATAATGGGATTAAATATAAATATTCAACAAAATGGGTGAATGGGAAAGACTGAAGGAGGAGAAAAGACATAATGAGGGAAAGAGATAAGAAATTGAGAAAGATGAACTTTATAGAAGTGAAACCGGAGAACTATTTTTAAAGTTTGATTTTCAATGGCCTCAATACAGTATTACAATACAATAATGTCTATTATAAACTTGCTATAGAACAACTAAAAGGAAAGTAAAACTATGGGATTAAGTGGAGAGAACCAACACAACAAAATTGACACAATCCTAACACTAACATTAAAACTTATTTTTTAATTGATACTGTAATCACTAGTTAATGACAGGGATTAAATATTATTCCTCTAAGTCCCTGCCAATCACCACCATGGGATACTGTAGTTTGTGCAGAATTTATTGTACTTAAAAAGAAGAAAATTTAAGTACCGGTATGTCTAGGAATGCCAAGTATTTTTTACTTTTATTGAACTCGGGAGCTACTCCATTTGACATTTCTTTGATATGTTGATATTTCAAGTGAAGGCACTATAATTAGACTTGGTTGATTGTGACAGCGAGAAAAAAATGGAACCAACAATACTGGTGGTTCTCTCATTTTAGAGTATCATCTTTTTGACACCATTGGTATCAAAGAGTTATAAAACAATGATAATTACCTGTCCTTCACAAACAGCTTGAAGCCTAACACACACTAATATATATGGAGGACAGGTAAATGGATAATTGTTTTAAAAGAAGAAAAGATGGAGAAAAAAAATCTGGGTATGTTTTCAAGGCATACTGAAAAGCAAATATTTCTTCTTGTTAAGATAATACGAACTGGGTAATATAAGAAAAGTCCTTTAAATGCCAATTAGTCAACATAAGTTTAAGGCCATGCTAGCTGCAGTCCATATATCCATCTTCACATCTTGCAAACCTAATATTAGTAGAATTAAAATTCACATTAAAGGATAAAAAATGTTTACAAGTTCGTATTTTCTAAAGTAATTATTAGATGTTTTAATTGCCTGTATGTTGGCATGGTGAATTGGCTAGGAATTAAAATACCTCGATAGCATTTGCTGACGTCGCATTCGAGCTATATCACACAAACTGGTTTTTAGAAAAAAACTGCTTTTTTTGCAAGAGGTTATAATGTACAAAGTAATGCAGCAAAACTAACTTAAAAACTAAACAACTACATGGTTAATATAAAAATAACAACCAGTATATCAATGAAATCTCTTCCATCACTTTTTTCCAATCATAAAAGTGATAAAGTATGTACAGTATGTATAGGTAACTGGCTAAGACTTAACTGGTTGATATAAAAATGTGTAAGTAGAAGTATCAAATTTCTTGTACTATAGTTTGTTTTTAAATCAACATTATTACTGTAGTATGAATACTTTACTTCTCTAGCATTCTTATTATCAGCATAAAATACAAATGTACACAAATGAGTTAAAAACTAAAATCGATTACACTAAAACATAAAAATTTGAAAGAAAAGGATAATTATTTGTTTAAAGCTTTTACATAACTATACTGAGAGTTCTACACACAAATACTCTCTATATTCTTAAAGCTTATACTGTACAATACTGTACAGTAGTATATTTTACTGTGATCTAACGCAATCTTTTTTCTCCTATTACTGAAGTTTGGGTTATCTATCTGCCATGAACAATATTGATATCTTTTTCTAAATCTTGTAAATCATGATAAAAAATTTGCATTAATTATGTCACTTACTGTGCTTATATTGTAAAAGGATTGATGATTACTTTTCCCAACTGGAAACCTGTCACCTGTTAGAAACAATAAACCAATAGTTAAAGATACAATTTAGTATGTTTCACTTAAATCCCACGACAGAAGAAGGGAAAATACAAAAAAAAAAGAGCATTGTATATTCTGACCATAACCGACAGCCCCATCAGCACTGCATAAGAAAACTGTAGGTTACAGTCGAACTATACAGTGCTCTCAATTTTGCATTTTATCTTCTATAGTGTGATTTCAGTGTTATGATATATCATACAGTATGATATTACATAGTTTTTTTTCAGTTATACAGTACATGATATAGGTAGAGGGCAGCTATCAAACAGGGAGGTACTACTTCCTGGGAAGATAATGGAAGTTCAGTGCACAATGGTCCATCGATTAACCAACAGTCCAATTAACGAAATTTCGGTTAACTAATTAGCTCCCATAAGGATTTTCAATTCCATTAACAAACAAAACTTCGATTAATGAAAGCCTTACGAGAAACACGCTTTGTTGTGCGCATCAGCTGATCGGCTAGTCCGCCAATACAGTAATTGGTTCTAGGTTTACATTCGTTTCCAGTGGAGTAAATATCAAGTAAGTTGTGCTCTTGAATATTTTTGCATTTTCTATATTAAATTATTGGTCATTCTAATTTAGTTAACATATTGATAATATATACAGTACAGGGAACAGTTTTTGTGTGCCAATCAGCTGATCGAATCACCCACCAACGCTTCTCAGTTTAACTTTGTTTACAGTGGAGTGAACATCTAGTTTGTTGGTCTCTTGAATATTTTAGCATTTTCACATTAAAATTATAGGTCATTCTGAAATTTAGTTCAAATATTGATAATGTAGATCCACAATGAAAATGTGGATAAGATAAATCTTGATAAAATCACACATGTTTAGTAAGGTCACCCTGAGTACTTAAGCCTCTCTCGGTCCATGTAATTCAGTTGCCTCTGAAGATGTCTTGAATAAAGACGAAAGCTAAGGTGCTCCATTGTTTCCCTTTTTCCTGTGTGATTTTATCAAGATATTGATAATATACAGTATTACCCCGCCTAACGCGGTTTCACTTAACGTGTTTTTTCATATACGCGGTGCCTCGCCAGAGCTGAACTTTCACTTAACACGGATTTTTTCCACATATATGCGGTGAGTGTCCGGCTCGAGACGCTATTTTTAGATTTGCCCCTCCCGCCACCCTGCCTGACTGCCTGTTTTAGCTCATAAAATTCATACAAATTACCTGGCCAGAATATAATTTACATTGCTGGAATTCTTATAATTTGGTGATCATTTTGAATATAATATATTTTGCATTAGACATACAAATTTTAGATAAAATGTTTTCTCTGAGTAAATATGTTATCTTTTGTGCAAAATATATGACATTTATATTCAAAATATTCCTGGTCTTACAAGGAATCCAGCAATGTCAATTATATTATCCTAACTTTAGTTTGAGGTATTATTTATTACTAAAAAGTTAAATATTCTGGTTTTCCCACACATCTCCTTGGGTTGGTGGGGGGTGGGGGGGAGGGTTGGGACTGACCGCGCGGTTGGAAGAGGGGGGGGAGGCAAGGTGGGGTACTTTGATTGACAGATAGTGTCGTGAAGAATATTTTTTTTTTTATTAACTGAAGATATTTGTTTTAGCTCATAAAATTCATACAAATTACCCGGCAGAATATAATTTACATTGCTGGAATTCTTATAATTTGATGATCATTTTGAATATAAACATCATATATTTTGCATTAGACATACAAATTTTAGATAAAATGTTTTCTCTGAGTAAATATGTTATCTTTTGTGCAAAATATATGACATTTATATTCAAAATATTCCTGGTCTTACAAGGAATCCAGCAATGTCAATTGTATTATCCTAACTTTAGTTTGAGGTATTATTTATTAAAATCTAGTGGTTTCCCCCCCAAAATTTCTCAGAGAGGGAAGAGCCAGCGAGTGTAGTGTGAGAAGAGGGGGAGGGAGTTGAGTCCATTATTTGAATGGACATTAACTTGGCGACTGTATTTCTCTATCTCTTAAGTATTAATTGTGTGCATGTACCATCATAAAATTAAGATGTTATTTTTACTACAACATAGTTATGTGTCTTCAAAAAGTGGAGTTTGGGGGTCGGGCCGGTTTCTATTGGAATTAATCCCATATGTTCTGTTGTTCACTTAACCGGTTATCACTTAACACGGTACCCTCTGGGTTTTATTGACCGCGTTAAGTGGGGTACAACTGTACAGTGCAGAAATTATTATGAAACATGAAGAAGGCATTAGAACCAATGCACTCTGTAAAGAATATGTCATGTCATCATCAACTGCCTCTACAATCAGCTGTTTGATATGTAAACAAAGCTGCCGCGAATACGACATACACACCTCAACGTAAGTTAAAGTACAGTATTTTATTGTTTTTTATTTATTATTATACAGTATACTGTACAGTACTGTATTTAGTTTATATTTGATGTTTTGTTAATTCTATTACTGGTATACAGTACTTTGTACTTTTTCTGTGAGCTAGAACCAATTACCCAATATCCCATTGAAATAATAGATTCAGTTAACGAACTTTTCGGTTAACAAACGACTCTGTGGAGCCAATTGTGTTCGTTAATTGAGGGATCACTGTATAATGTATGTCTTATGGTAGATCCTGCTGCCATATGGCTTCACAAAGAATTTTGACCAAGCCCCAGGTTGCTGATCTGACTGACTTTCTGCCTCATTTACATACAATTCTGAATGTAAAGGGATACCTGTACATTCAGAATGGAAAATAAATTCTAAATGGAGTACCACAAGGATCTACCACTGGACCCACTCTGTGATCTACACTTCACATCGATGAAAATATATCGAGCCATCTTGTCAAGTTTGCACACAAGATGAGGATATCTGGGCAGGTGTAAGTAAACACAATATCCAAACCATCCAAAAAAGATCTGCACAAGCTGTTCAAATGGTCAAAGAGTGGCAAATGTTTTTTTAACGAATTATAATACAGTACACTATATATCAAAATTCTAAATGGAATTAAACTCCAGATGGAACCCTGTTAGTTGCACAATCAGTGCAGGCACAACCACAGATACCTACAGCCAAAAAAGACTAAAGAGAGTGGCAGTGTCCTTGCTTCATTGGCACCTTGACTTCAATATTTGAGCACCTTACTAGTCTCAAAATACATACTGTATCCTAATCCTACTTTGTCAGCTATGGAAGAGAAAAGATTAAAACTCGTGGCTGCAATGTAGTGTGGGCTAATAATCCTTTTTTCCATTTATCTACTTTATGATCCAATTTGACACCCACTTCTACTTGCTGACATAACCACTCCAAGGTGCTATATTTTTCTCCATTAAGTCTCAACTCAATTCAATAAGAGTAAATAAAAAAACTAAACACAATAGTAAGTACCTACCAACAAGAACAGTAGTATGACGATGACCATATTTCAAGCAACGATGGAGGATCTTAAGACTTGCCAAGTAGTCCAGAGTTGGTGATGCAGGACTTAAAGTATCTAAGTAACTTTTTCCGGGGATGACTTGAGCAACACCGGCTTTTATACACCTGATCACGAAACAAACCGAAATGCTTAAAATAAAAAAAATAAAAAATGGCAAAATACAGCCATTCTGTGGTGTCACTTTCAATTCAATTTGTTGATTTTTGGTTGTAAGTGTGAGCTTGACAATTTTGGGGGCAAAAAGATAGCAATCATACTGACAAATTACAAACACAAAAAGTAACAGTATGTAAAAGTGATCAGAGATAATTCAATGAGATTAACTTTGGTCTATCTGTGTTTAATAAAAGAAACAATGTACTGCTGTGGAGAGCGGTACCTGCTGGTACTGTACAAAAAAAAAGATTAAAAGAAAAAAGAAGAGATTATAAGGAGAAAATAAAAATAGGAGAGATAATAGAAAAATAAAATAGAAGAGAAAGAAAAAGAAAATAGAAGGGAAAGAAAAAGAAAATAGAAGGGAAAGAAAAAGAAAACAAAAGAAAAAGAAGATAGAAGAGAAAGAAAGAAAAAGAAAATAGAGAAAGAGAAGGGCAAAAGAAAAGAGAGGAAAAAGAAAAGAACTACAGTACTTTGCTAAATAATTGTAAAAAGTGTATAAAATAAAGTAAAATAAACATATACAGTGTTGTCCTTGAGTCCAGTAAATAATGAACTTAAACTCCTAATGAGGATATGTGACCCATATCAAACAAATCCAAATGACCTTAACAAAGATACTGGACAGAAAAATTAATGTAACAAAAGGTGTGATTTGGTTGGTGGTTTGGACTCTCATATTAAATGGTTCAAGCTTGACTTCTTTAGAATTTTAAATAATTTTTGTTTATGTCTATTTCACCTTATTTTTCAATGATTTCACTTAATACAGTTCGAACCTTTTTTAACGTATAGCAAATACACTGAGTGATATGAGGCGTCTTGTGTAACAAGGGCGAAGTCGCCAATCTAGCATTTTCCTGCTCTTGGTGGACTCAGATATTTGAGTCCTTGTTCTACCTGGTAGTAAAAGCAGTCAAGGCAAAAATAACCATATTGTGGTGCTAACAAGAGGTTGAAATTACGATAGAAAAGATGGCACCCACCCACTACTCATGCCAGACATCTTCACCCTGTGTAATGACTATTATATCTCCTAATTATCTGAAAATAAATCCTTTCCATTGATTGAGTTACCAAAAAAAAACATTTATAATTTTGGTTCCCTGTGAATTTAATAATGTTCCAAATAGTAGAGGATTACTAATTTCTTATTTATATTCACATGCCTCATTTACACAAATTTCTTAAAGAATCAATGTCAATAATTTTTGACAGGTAATTACCGTAGTGTAGTTTAATTGGGGAAACACATAAAAATGCACTTTTTTTTTCATTTCGACTTAAGCCAAACAAAATGATATATAAAACACGAACATTGAATTGTTTTTACTGTGGTAAAAATTAAAACTTTAAATGCGATTACCTCTAAACTTAATTTTGACAACCTTGCCCTTGTTGTACGAGATGCATCATACTGTACAGTATATGTATGAAAATTTTGCTTAACAGATGTGCATCATTAACATGAGCTGTAATTTAACTTGTCAAACACAACTGAGCTATGCTTCACACTTTCAAGGGAAGGAGCAGAGGGAAAGTGATCTTGTTCAGAAAACTCTATTTCCAAGGTTATTCTGAATGTATACAAAACTTATGAAGTTTGTCGCAATGACTTTGTTTTCTGAAAATTATGCTAATAAAACTTGGTGACCATTGTTACACTATTGTAAGATAATTTATCAAAAGAAAAAGTTACAATGGACGAGTTGACGGTCGGAATTTTTCGTAAGATGGCCGGTCAATGGGTAAAGAAAACGCTTAAATGCACTATGGTAATGATATTTTAAATTAAATTGAGCCAAAAAGAGTAAAAAATAAGGGTTAAAGTTGCTAAAAAGTCACGTGACTGCGAAAAGCTCTGCAATTGGTTGTGACGTCACTGGCTGGGGTAAGTTTTCCAGCGGGAGGCAGCCAGCTGTAGTTGTCCAACCTTCTCAACTGATCGGCTCAGTAAATAAATATTATTAGATAATTAATTGTGTTTTACTGTGCAACACAGTAATACTATTTTGAATATATAAATACAGCTACTCCTCGACCTACGACCACCTCAGTCATACCAAAATTTTGTCAAATTACGTATTTTCGAGTCCTAACGTTAGTGATTGCGCTGTGTACTGACAAAATTTTTGCTTGCAATTCACTTTAAAATGGCTGGCAAGCTTAAAAGTGAGAGTTTTGTGGTGCTTTGAAGAAAAAGAGACACCCATTTTAGATTTTCTATGTATTATATAAGCATTTTCAACTTACAACCAATTCGACTTACGACCTGGATTTGGATCCCTAACCCCATCGTAAGTCGAGGAGCAGCTGTATTACTAAGCACAAACTAATTCAATTGATATTAACTTCCCATACAATAAATTTCATAGTATAAACATTCTAAACAATATTGGTATTATTTTAGTTTTGGTCATTTGAGGAACCTTAAGATTCTAACTATGGGATTAAGTACTGTAAACAATAAGACACATTATCTATCTCTTCAGGATTTCTGTCACAAAAATTTTTTCAATCGCACAAAAAAATACAGATCATATGTTAGGTTAGGTTAGGGTATGACGAGTTATAAGGTTAGCTTAACATACATTGGTAAAAGGGGTGGAGGGTAGTAACTCAAAACTAGTGATTTCCGATAGAAATGAAGGGATAAATCGTTCATAAAACATAGCAAACCATCAGAAAAAACGTAGCCTGCATGTCTAAGTATAGGGATGACCAAAACTTAGAATTTACCCAATATAGCCTATCTCGAAGCTAAGCATCCAAATACTTATGGTAGTTTATGTAAAATTCTACTCATTAATTTAAATAAATGATGATATATCCCAGTGGTTCATTAGTGAATCATCAAAACAATAACAGCACTATGTTGTCATGTTACCTAGCACCAGGCATTCTCAAAACAAAGTCCAGACAATGTCATTACTTCTAAATTTACTCGTATCTCCATCTAGTACTGACATACTCTGTAAATGCACTGAACAAAAAAAGAGAAAGTCTACCAGGTAAGAATACATGACAGCTGAGCTGAAGTGAACATGGGAGTTTTTTATGTCCAAAAGAACATAAGAATGGAGGAAACTGCAGCAGGTCTATTGGCCCATACTGGGCAGTCCCATTTACACCCAACCCCTATCGCTCATATATTCATCCAACCTATGTTTGAAGCTGCTCTTCACGGCACGTTTCTTCACTTACGAAATGTCCATGACTTAGACCATAAAAAAACACCCTTAAAACTTATCTGAACATGGCGTTTGGGGTCTGAAGAGGCCATCTCTCTCTACTACCTCCGACTGCAGCGACGAGTTTGAAACTAGTGACATCATTGCAAATGGCGTCCCTGTTTCTAGAGAAATAAACTTCTCGACCATTATAGCAGGACTTTAAACTTTTATTACAAATTATATACCCTGTATACCGTATCACTCGACAAACGTGGCAGTGTGTATTTCTTGTGTTTACCCAGAACCGTCAACTCGTCCATTATCAAAGCTAAAAATAAAACTGAACAATAACAGTTATGTCAATTATGGCTGAGGTATGACTAAAGCTCTCCTGGACTTAATGCAGGTACTATACTAAAAAGATTTATGCCCACTTTGGCAACTCCAATTTGGTGTACCACTAAATTTCCACTTTGCCTACAGACTACACCAGGGTTTCTATTTCATTTATTCCCATTATGTCTACTCTGAAAATGTCACATATTACAAGAATGTCTACAATCTGGTAATGATCTCTGAAAGTTACTTTACCGAATCTAGACCAAATGGGGGTTGACCAAATGGAAATACAGAACTGTAATAGCCATTTCGAGAGTAAACACAACGAGAAGTAGGCAAAATGAGAGATGAAATGAAATAGGATGTTACTGCTACAAATAACAAGACTGCCACCTCGGTAAAATACTCAAAATCACTTACTGTTCAACTAAGGACATATTTGTCTTTAAAACCTTATGTAGTTGCTGCTCTCTTGTAGAATTTTTCTGACGATTTGACAACCTAAAAGAAAGAAAATACTGTACATATATTTATTGACATAAGAGTTAATATATTTCAGAAAGTAAATTCTATTATGAATAAATCCCGAGAACTAATGTTCTTAACCCAATCAGCATCAATCGTAGATATACTGTATTCGTGATAAACAATACGTATCAGCTGGCTCCGAACATGGACATACAGTATCAGTGATGAAATGTTACCAGTACATCATGGCATTACATGCAGTACAAGTAGCTTGATTTTTATAAAGTATTTCAAGGCAAGACAACAGATACAAGGCCTGCTGTATCTGACATCAAAGGATGTAGTATAAGGTTGCGCGACATTGAAATAATAATATAAAATACTAAAATTTATTCACTGAATTTAATATTCTCTTATTAACTGCTATGACAATAGCAATTTTTTTTTTTAAATTAGATGTAACCATTTTGTAAATATCTTAGTCTAACGAAATTTTACTTAGAAAACACAAGTATAGAAATAACATAGAAAAATCTAGAAAAGAAAATAATACTGTATAACTAAGAAAATTAACGAAGGTTATATACGAAAGAAATAACATTGTGATTTTGCTCGTAATACGTACTATCCGGACCAACACGGACTAGATTAAGGTTAGTTCTGGAAGTTGTCCTCCGAGTGCAACAAAGACAAGCCGTACTCGAAGTTCCGTGATTGAAAAGATGGAAAAGAAGATGCTGGCTATGTGGATGGAGAACCAGAATCAGTGCAATGCCCCTGTGAGCCTTATGGTTATCCAGTATAAAGCTAAATCCTTGTTTGACGACTTAAAGGCAGCAGGGGGCAAGACGACGACGACGATGAAGAAATAACACAACGAACGCAAACTACCAAGAGGATGGCATAAGCGTTTAACATAAACCAGCAAGGAATGCAAAAACGTATCTCGAAGATTCAAAGCAACATTGATGACAGTCTTGGTTGTTACAATGAGATCTACACGAAGAAGAAGAAGAGGAGCACTAAGCAGTCAACGCTGGATTCCTTTTTTTGTCGCCGGAAGACAGCAGCACTTCACAACAGCCTGCAAGCAAGGAGGAGCAAACAGCAGCCGAGGAACCCCAGTCAGAGCGGGAGGAGGAGGCACCCTCCGAGTCTCAGTGACTCGCCATCCTCCTCCTCCGCTCCACTACCCACCACACACTCCGCCCATCAGCAAGTACAATACAAAATGACTGTAAATACAGTACAGTAAAGCCTCCGATAACAACGGTTCTATTAACGACGATTCATATTTAAGACTGGTTTATTTAGGACCCAATTCAATTTATGCCATTATTTTCTTTGTATTTACGACGAAATTAGAAGAAAAAAATTACATTTTCATATAAATAATAACTAAATCCCGGTATTTATTATAAAAAAAATAAGTTCTAAAAAAGTTTTTGTGATATACTGTAGAGCAGAATAAGACGCCTAGCTTATAGCTAGGAATGTAAATGCCTAGCATTTACTTGCCAGGCCAACATAAAGGCAATTAAAACATCTAATAACTACTAACAAATTTATAATATTAGGAGAAAACGTCACTACCTGGCATTTAATTGCAATTCTCAAAACCCCACATCACACGCACTGCCACCGTCATCTTGCCTGGTGAATCAGCTGTAAATACGCACAAAGAAGGCTCCGCAAAAAAACAGTCCTTGTGCACGGAGGCTGCAGGGCCTGTTAGTGGTGACGCCAGCATCACTAGTATAAACAATCACAGCTGGCGGGCCCTTTGTTTTCACGCATCTGAACAGAAACAGGAGAAAATTTTCACAGGTTTCTTACAGCATTTTTGCATCCCTCTTCAACATGAGCAAGAGAGCAAGTGATGGTAGTGTTGTTTCAAAAGCTAATAGAAAGTGTATAAGCTTAGCCGAGAAACTAGATGTGTTAAAACGATATGAAAAAGGTGAGAGGATTGTGGATATTATATGGAACAAGCAATGAACATATTTTCTGAAGTGGATCCATTAACAGAACAAAGCATTAAAATTAAAATAAATACAAATGACCTCTACATAATGATGTATAATGAGAAAAGAAAGCAGCTGTGCAAGGTTCTTTTGACAGCTTTATTATTCGAAGGCCTAAACCATCAACTTCAGCTACACCATCAAAAACAGCTTCATCAAGTTCAGATTCAATAACAGTTTCAGCAACAGCTTTATGGAAAGCTACAGCTTCAGCAAAGAGTTGAACCAATAGCTTCAGCCAGAAGTTGAACCTGATGACTCCGCCATCTGGATATTGGTCTAATACATAAATCGGTGTCCTATGTTTAATTTTACCACCATTGGCGTAGTAGAATTTTTTGTTTTTACATTCAAATATATATTTAAATCATATGATGAACAGTAAATATGTGTTAGTTTATATTCATATGTAGAGAAATGACAATATGTTTAATGACTTACATTTCCCCATATAATTTGGCGTCTCACTGTCTCGCTACAGTGGTCCTCGGGTTAACGAGCCGTTAACGAACTGCCTCATATAAGATTCTAAATTCGGGTTAATGAGCAACCCCGGGTTAACGAGTTTCTACTTGAGCCGACCTCACACAGCCATAGCACTGGCCGGCCAACCAGCTAGTATTGGTCCGCCAATACACAAATCGGCTCCTAGGGCTTAAATTCCTTACTATTTTAGTATATATCAAGAAGTTTATACTATTCAATAATTTTAAAAGTTTAATATTAAATTTTTTAGTCATTTTAACAATTATTGAACATAATTGAAGGTAAAGTGACTAGTTTAATGCGCGGCATCCAGCGTCTTAACACAGCAAACAGGCGTTAGTCTCTCTCTGTTTTCACTGGAGGTAACATCTTGCTTGAGACTCTTTTCAACTAAATGCTTTTTTCTGTGTTTCCAAGCAAATTAATTGGTCATTTTGAAATTTATTTTACATATTGACAATATATAGCGCAGTGCAGTGTTATTTTAAAGAAAATATTCTTTATTTACAACAAGTTTAACTTTGAAAAACATGTGTTGACATTGTTTGAATCCAGCATGGGGCCTAAGAGATCAAGAAAAGCTATTTCAATCCAAACCAAGCAGGAAATCATAAAAAAAACATGAACAAGGCATTAGAACAAATGTGCTTAGCAAAGAATGTGGCATGTCGACATCAACTGTGTCGACAATTCTTGCACAGAAAGACAAATTTAAAGAAGTGAAAGTGAGTGACAAATCTACAAGAGTGTTTAAAAGTAGATCCCTAATCGCAGAAACTGAGAGGTTACTTATCATCTGTGAAAGAGCCAGGGAGATTTACGAACATTTAAAGGCAGATCAACCTGGTTCTTCAGGCACAGAATTTGAAGATTTTCGGGCCAGCAAAGGCTGGTTCGAAAAATTTAAGAAAAGAAGTGACATTTTCAGTGTTGTTAGGCATGGTGAAGCTGCTAGTGCTGATAAAGAAGGGGCAGCAAAGTTTTTAGATGAATTTAAAAAACTGATGGAAGAAGAAAATTATCTTCCACAGCAAGTGTTCAATGTGGGCGAAACTGGGCTGTTTTGGAAAAAGATGCCCAAAAGAACATTCATCACCAAAGATGAAGCCTCTTTACCTGGGCATAAACCCCATGAAAGACCGTCTCACTCTATTGCTTGGTGCCAATGCTTCAGGGGATTTCCGACTGAAGCCTATGCTTGTCTACCACTCTGAAAACCCCAGGGTGTTCAAGCAACAGAAAGTGGTAAGAACAAAGCTTGGAGTTTATTGGAAGTCCAACCGTAAGGCATGGGTGACAAGACAGCTCTTTAATGAATGGGCTGTTGATGTGTTTTGCCCTTCTGTCAAGAGCTACCTAACCACCAATAAACTCCCTTTAAAGGCTCTTCTCCTCATGGATAATGCTCCTGGTCATGACCCTGACCTTGCCAGCAATTTGGAGTATCAATTTGACTTTGTGAAAGTGTTGTTTTTGCCTCCAAACACTACATCAATCATACAGCCAATGGACCAGAATGTGATCAGCAACTTCAAGAAGTTGTACATGAAGAAAATGTTTAGGAGGTGTCATCAGGCAACTTCCAATGATCCTGAACTAACACTGAAACAGTTCTGGAAGACACAATTCAACATCCTGGAGGCTGTAAAATTGATTGTGTCATCATGGCAAGAAGTCTCCACTAGATCCCTCAATTCTTCATGGAAAGCACTGTGGCCATCAGTAGTCCATGATTTTGAGGGATTTGAGGAAGAAACAGAGTTGGACCAGGAGATTGTGTCCATTGGTCAGTCATTGGGCCTTGAAGTGGAGGAGGAGGATGTGGAAGAGCTTGTGATGTCTCATGAGGAGGAACTTACTCCTGATGACTTGAAGCAACTGGATGAGATGTTACGGGTAGAGGCTGACAGTGGTGAGGAGGAAATTGAAAGTGATGACCATATGTCAGCTAAACAGTTGAAAGATGTGATTTACTACTGGGAGAAGTTCAGGGAACTGGCTTCAAAGCACCCAGAAGTGGAAAAAACTGAACTAACTTTGTGTCATGTTGAGGACTCAGTGGTCTCCTTCTTTAAACATAAGTTAATGGTGAGGAGGACAGATGCCCCACAGACCACAATTGACACTTTCTTCAGTAAAAGGCAGAGGGAACAAGGTTATTCCTCAGCCTTCCACTTCAAGAAGGAGAGAGGATGTTCATGGTGGAGAATCTGTCAGTCCAGAGGTTCCTGACATTTTCATGGAAGGTGACTCACCTTCCAAGAAGCACTAAAATGCTTCTCCTCCACCACCACTTCCTTCTCTTCTCCTTCTCCTCCACCTCCCACTTCAAATGCACATCATCATCATCATCCAGGAGCCTTCTACATACACACCTCAAAGTAAGTGAACTTTTCTACCATTTTTGTTGAATTTAGGCAATTTTCGGTGAGCTGGAACCAATTACCCAAAACCCATTGAAACAATGGTTTCGGTTAACGAGATTTTCGGTTAACGAGCAACCTGCTGGAAAGGATTGTGCTCGTTAACCGAGGGACCACTGTATTTCTTTACCATTAGTGGTTAGCTACTTCTAGTGTTCCCTTTATTAACATTAAATAAAATTAATAAAACATACATACAGGTATTCATTCTTTTTACATTAAGTTCACTACAGCTACAACCAGGATCTTATTTTCTTCAGTTTCTTATGTAGAACCATCATCACTCACGAAAGCAATGCCATCTTGTCTCCTCTTGTGTGTTTTAATATTCCACGTATTATTAATGAATTGCATTATTCATTTCGCATACACGTATAAGCATTAATTCAATCCATAAATATTCAGTAATAAACAAAATTTAATCTTTTGTACATACTGTATTCTTAAGATAAATGATGCTATGTTTCCTTGAGTGCGCACGTATATATTGGTGTTCCACTATCACTTTTTTCTTTACTATCAGTGGTTACTTTTACTGTACATTAAATAACTAATTAAAAAAAATTACATTAATTTTACTACAACAACAACCAGGGTCTTATTTTCTTCAGTTACAGGTGGATAACTGACAACAAGGCCTTCTCTTATCCTCTTGTGTGTTTTAATATTCTAAGTATTATTAATGAATTGCATTGTTCATTTCGCGTACATAAAGATTAATTCAATCAAATACATATTCAGTAATAAACAATAATGAATCTTTTGTACATATTCTTAAAAAGCTAAATGACAGTTTCCTTAAATGCGCACGTACAGTATATGTTGGCATTCCCAATCGTCTCGCTTTATTTCTTTACCATTTGTGGTTAGCTACTTCTATTGTTCCATTTATTAACATTAAATAACATTACTTAAAACATATATATTAATTTTTTTTACATTAAGTTTACTACAGTTACAACCAGGGTCTTATTTTCTCGTGTAGAACTATCGTCCCGGACTCCCGGCTGTAAACACAAACGAAAACAATGGCGTCCCATTTCCTCTTGTGTGACCATATTATTATTCATTTATATTGTATAAGGTGCATTCAAAAACATTATTTAAAGAATATAGTTTGCAATTTTCATTAATTGTATTGTTTTAGGGGGAAAAGAGGGTAAAAAGCCACACAAAAGATATGAAAAGGTCACACTTAGGAATGCATCTCATTATTATTGTTTTATTTTAATGGTAATTAATGATTCACGATACGATGATTCACCTTACACTGCAATATTGGAGGACACATTATCGTCGTTGTTCGAGGCTTTAATGTACTTTTAATTCAGTTTGATGGAAGATAGCACTGAAAATATAGTGGGAAAATTTAAAATGAAAGGATGGTATGGAGTTAAATGGTATGACAGTGAACTTGGAGAAAACAAAAGTAATGATTAATGGTGTGGGTGATGGCCTGTGTTGGAATGTTGAAAATGATCATGTGCTGTATTCAAGAAGGGGGATGGCAGAAACACAATACTGTGCTGTGAGCATGGAAGGTGAATACACAAGAGGAGCCCAAAGTGCAGTGGTGTAAGTTGCAGAGAGCAAGATGTTGCTGGCTTTAAGTATACCGTATGTACAGTTAATAGTAGGCCCTCGGCAAGACTGTAAATGTTCAACATTGGGTGTACAGTATAGTATATCCTTGGATTGTGTTGCCGAGTTCTACTAGCTGGGTAACATAATCGGTGATGGAGGAAGTACTGAAGCTAACTCCGTTGTAAGAGTTTGAAGTGGCTGAATTAAGTTTTGGAAGCTGTCACCTTTATTGATGGGAAGAGGACCTTCTCTTTGCTTGAAAGAAAAGATGTGTTGACTACATAAGAAGTGTGTTGTTGTTTGGCAGTGAAACATGGGCAGTTAAAGAGGATGACATACTGTACATAGACTTGAGCGAGTTATAATGAGAATGGTGAGAAGGATATGTTAATGTGACGTTAAGAGACAGAAGAACCATGTTCAAAGCTAAGAATGGCATCTTGGCTCACCTCTGCACAAAACCTCACCAATATTCTCATTACTGTACGAAGCTGCCCTCTTAGCTTTAACTGGGCTTTCTTATCTTTCAGTGTCACATTACACCCATAGTTGGGATTACTGCAGATACATACACGACATAGCAGGTCTTGAGGGTAAGGAGAGGCACAAATACATGATGGTGATGTTGGTTATTTATGTTTCCATCTTTCAGCACTTCCTCTAGTATTCTCCCTGAAACACAAAAATACACTTATACTAAAACTGTTAAAATATAAAATATATGAATATCAATGAAAAATACAACACATTAACAATGTACTGTACTGAAATCTACATATAAAATATTATTCCTATGAAAAAACACAACAATCATAACCCCCCCCAAAAGAGTTGGGCTCCAAAAACCAGCTATGCCCAGTGACAAATTACTTAAAATGAGAGCCTATAGTAGTTACATAAACACTCAATCTTACATACAGAAAAGGAAGAAAAAATTATCATAAGGAATAAAGTATTTTTCAAATTGTAATTTGGGGGAAGATACACATAATTTTCTAACATTCTTTAAACAGTTTCATGCACACACAATCCCACATATAAAAATTGCAAAAATAAATAATTATCATAAGGTATAAAGTTTTACGTATACAGTATTAGGGTTTACAACCGTGAAGCTGCGTGGGGAGTGTGCGGAGAGGTCGTAGGGTCCGTGGCAGAGCACCACTGCTAAGGATGCTGGTGCGTTGCTAAAGCGAGTATCGGATAACTGCAACGCAGTTTAAACACCAACTTGTATCATTTTTTCTTTTTTTTTCTTTCTTTCATAATTATTGTACAATATATATACAGTATGCCTACAATTTTAAGTTTTAGTGTTACAGTGTACAGTACAGTTAATTTTACTGTACTTTTACAGATGAATCTAGTGGTTGAACAGAGGCTTCACAGCCAGTTACAGAGAGTTTACTGTACATTATAGGCCTAGCACTCCAAATTCCTGGAAAAAACCCTATCCAGCAAACCGCCTGTGGTATGGATACTAAGTAGGGTGCCCCTAGTTGACTAAAATGCAGAAAGGTTGTCTAACTTTACATTTAGGGAGCTGACAGGCAGTTTACTGCACACATCATGGTTATCCTTAATAGCTCTTCAATTCATATTGCGCTACATAACATTCAAATCCAACGCGCTTGTAGTGTCATAGAAAAGGTAGAAAATGGGAAACTTTTGTAAGGGATAACTCACCTACTGTATGTTGTTTTATACGAATTGTACCAATGTACGGGCATATAATATTAAGCGTATGTACTTATAGTATTAAGGAGAACTCATGATATCTATATGATGATTGGGAAGGTCCAATTGATATGGACTAGTGTACTATAAGGGATAAGTGTAACCGTGTGTAGAACGTGTCTGGAGGTCATAATATTTACATCTGTGAACGATTAGTGAACATAGCTACCTCAGGTATCAGATGAAAATATACGAGAACAATGATCTGGAAAAAGGATAAATGTATCAAACCTATGTGAAGTGTTGGAAGTGATCCAGAAACTATGTTTCAAAAGAAATATCTTGTATACCTCGGTGTGAGCTTAATACTTCTCGTTACCCCATGTGACGAATAACCACGAACAGTGCAATGATCAGAGAATCTTATGAAGGTGTTCAACGATTGCAATGTGTAAGGGGAGGATCCCTAAATACAGATTGAAGTGAAGTGGATATACCCACGCCAAGAAAACACAAACTAAGACTTTTCTTTGTTTGTTGGCGCCCAAGACACCCCGGGCTACGGTTCTGGGTGAATGATATAGCCCAATTAATTTCCCCGGAAACTAGCAAACCAGACTTTTACTTTAGTATGTAATTTAGAATTAAAATATTTAATTATAAGGCATCAAGTCACAATAGATGAGAAAGTGTATAGGTGAGAACCAGAATAATGTCAAAGTTAAATTTAAAGTTTGGAAACTGTAGGCCTGTTTCAGGGCGAGATGCCATGCCATAGTATGTCGGGCGTCTCTTCTCACCCACGCAGGTCAGTACCCCACCATACTTATAGAGGTCTATCTAGCAGTTTATGTACATACTGAAACCTTACCTAATGTTATAAAGTGAATTAATAGTTGTAATAGTGTGTGTGGTGATATAAAAGCCCCTCAGGCATTATTATCAGTTGGGCGTCTCTTCTCACCCACGCAGGTGTATGCCGAGAGTGTAGGTTGTACTGCGCACCTCATTGTCATTCCTAAAAACCCGTTTTAATTCATATTACGCTACATAATATTCAAATCCACCGCGCTTGTAGAATCTCAGGAGCGTGTTTATCCTCGCGATCCCTCCCAGTAAGCCCCGCCTTTGTGAAGACAGTTATCAATACGTTGTTTATTCCACTTTCTCCTGGGAAGCTCAATCTTGAATTAGTCTGTGTAAATCAACCCAAGTAATTCGCCAGACCTTTGTCAACTGAGGGTCATCTTTGAATGAGTAACAGTTAGTTTGTTTGTAATTATTGTCATTGTGTGAGTAGCGATCACTGGCAACTCAGGGGTATATAAACTCGAGATAGCGAGGAATCAGCGTTCCCTGACGCTGATTCCCGTTTGTCTCCAGGTATGTTCTGTGTTTCCTAGCCATTCAGTTAATTCAGTCAATTGTAGTGATTATCAGTGTTCACCAGTGTTCATGATTTAACAGTTGAATTGTCATTCACCCAGTGTAGAAGTAATATAACGTAAATACGTCTGTCGTCTAGACAAGAGAGTTTGTTGGTGTTGTCATGTTTCTGGTTCCCTGACGCTGATTCCCGTTTGTCTCCAGATCAAGGGTGGGCTTAATTGAACCCACCGGTCGCTCGGAGCCGGTGGATACCCAGCAGTGGTCAATATAGGAGTGATGGCGCTGATTCGTCATGATTAATCGGCTCTACTCTACCTCGTGGGTCGAGGACCCCAAACCCATCTCGGGTCGGAGTGTAACCGACCACAACAACAGTTGTTAGAGGCGCCAGTGCTATACCCTGGGACAGGCCTTGGAATTAGGGTCCACAGTGTAATTGTATGTGTTTTTTTTACCAGTGTGTTTTATAAGAAATAAATCAATGAAGACATGTTATTGTTTCACCCTTCTTTACCCTTATCGATCTGATCAATGGAAAACCTAACCCAATGCCTAGTCCACTCTGCCCGCTACCTAACGAGCTACATGCTGTCCAGTGGGGGTCTGGTGGCAGCGACCCTTAGAAATTAAGATTAGAGTTAAGTTATCTCCTTAGATTTAGTGACCCCAGTCTGGCAGTATAAGGTAGTCCCGAGGGAGTCGGAGAAATGCATGGCCCAGCCATCATCGCGGTCGCCACGTAAGTGAACCCATGATACTGGACGCTGGAATAGTCCTGGTATGACTATCCTGAGAAGTATCCCATCTACCGCGCAAGAGTAAAATGTGGGCGGGGTACCTATCATGTGTACCTGGATAATACCGAGGAGTTCCATACTTGTAGAGGTAGAGTGTACCTGATATGTGGTGCTATATAACTGTGGGTCCTATCTGATGTGTTGGGTGCTATGGTAAGAAATAATGACCGAGGTAAGGAGGTTAATGATTTGTTACGGAGAATGAAGATTTTAATTAGTTCATTTGGAAAAGTTGTGTATTGGTGTGAGGTGTAATGACCTCAATAGTAGTTATTTTGAGGAAGGTAAACTATTTTTGTATCGTGACTGAAGGCACTATTTTTTTATCAGGAAATAAACTATTTAAGTCATGATTGATGTTTCACCCTTACTCTCACTTTTGGTTTGATGAATGCAAACATACACCTGTGCCTGGCTTGCTCTGCCAGCTACCTAACAAGCTACATACTGTCCAGGGGGTATGGTGGCAGCAACCTTAAAAATAAGAGTAGATTTAAGTGAATCCCTTATGATTAGTGACCCCAGAATGGGCAGTATAGCAGTTGAGAGCAGTCACAATCTCATTCTCTTTGTATATTTTACTTTGTAGACACCTCGACAGGTTCAGTACTTTCATTTTCAAAAAGATGATAAAACAGTAAAACAAGGAGTTACTAACCAAAGGATTTCTCCAACATGGTCGTATGGTGCACAAGGAACACCCACTTTGACTTCAGTATAGGTATTGCATCTCCATTCAGTACAGCTAGTAATGAGTTATATACACCAAATCTGTATGAATAAAAATGGAAGATTAAAGCTTTAAACCCCATTTTATAGTCAAGGGGAAGAGTTAAGGGGCTTATGATATATTGTATCTCCACAACAACACCATGTGAATGTCTCCTTTCAACAGTGGCCTTGACCTGTTCTACAGTAGAGTCCGATATAGCAACTTTATATAACAATTTTTTTATATCGCGGCTACCAAATTATCAACATTTTCCTATACAGTATATAGCGATATTTTTTTTTTTATTCCGCAAGGGAAATTGGGCAGGGAATATTTCAAATTTACCACGACTACCAAAATTATCAACATTATCCAACATACAGTATAGTGATAAATTTATTTACAGTATTCACAACTTACATGGGATTATGTTCCTGGGACCTCACAAAGCCAAACACCATATCAAGTCAGAAACACTCCTAAAAATTCCCTAAATCGACCCAAAAATACGAGTTGAAAAACTGTACAGTACTGTACTTAAATGTACGTACTCTAAAAGACTAAAAATTTTATCTCTTGTGCAAAATAAATAATATCTACATTCAAATTATTTGCGGTCTTGCAAGGATTCCAGAAATGCAATTTATATTCTGCTAACTTTAGACTGTGCCATTTATGTCAAGTTTTGTCACTTACCTGTACATTGGCCTCCAGAGCCTAACCCTATTTTCCCCATTGACTACATGAAATTATATATCGCGATTTAGTATAAAGCGAACATCCTTGGACCCTACCTCGCGATATATCCCGACCCTACTATATTACATTTGACCATGCATACTGTACTATAATACCATAAGAGCCTAATACAGTGGTCCCTCAATTAACAAACACAATTGGTTCCACAGAGTCGTTCATTAACTGAAAATTTTGTTTACCGAAACTATAATTATTTCAATGGGATATTGGGTAATTGGTTCCAACTCACAGAAAAAATACATACAAAGTACTGTACCGTATACCGGTAATAGAATTAACAAAACATTAAATATAAACTAAATGCAATACTGTACTGTACAGTATACTGTAAAATAAATAAAAAAACAATAAAATACTGTACTTTAACTTACTTTGAGGAGTGTATGTTGTATTCTCGGCAGCTTTGTTTACATATCAAACAGCTGATTGTAGAGGCAGTCGATGATGATATGCCAAATTCTTTACAGAGTGCATTGGTTCTAATACCTTCCTCATGTTTCATTATAATTTCTGCACTGTGTATTATCAATATGTGAACTAAATGTCAGAATGTAAAAATGCAAAAATATTCAAGAGACCAATAAACTGGAACTTCACTCCACTGTAAACAAAGTTAAACTGAGAAGAGTTGGTGGGTGATTTGATCTGATTGGCACAAACTGTTCCCTGTACTGTCCATATTAATAATCAATATGTTAACTAAATTAGAATGACCAATAATTTTAATATAAAAATGCAAAAATAATCAAGAGCACAACTTTCTTGATACAGTATTTATTCCAGTGGAAACGAATGTAAACATAGAACCAATTACTGTGTTGGCGGACTAGCCGATCAGCTGATGAGCACAACAAAGCGTGTTTCTCGTAAGACTTTCGTTCATCAAAGTTTTGTTCGTTAATGAAATTGAAAATCCTTATGGGAGCTAATTCGTTAACCGAAATTTCGTTACTCGAGGGACCACTATATATACTGTATATATATTAGTGGATGTCAGGTTTTTGACCTGACCTCATGTTTTGTAAGGTGCTCCATTGTTTCCCTTTTTCTAGGGTTTATTTTATATACGTAAATTGTTTTACTACAATATGTGATCACTAAGGAGTCTTTAAATAGAAACATGTACATGATACTTACTGGATTTGAGGTCGACTGCACATTGTTCTAAGATGTGGATGTGCAAAGAGATGATCAAGGGCAGAAGACTTGATATATATGTCACCTCCATTTCTCTGAACGTCCTCAAGAGTAGCATAAGACATATCACGCCTAACTAAGAGACACTGAAATAGTTAAAATGCCAGTGTTAAATATTTAGTTATACCTGTATGCTGAATTTCTTGTTAAATTTTCTGCTGACACAATACTAGAGGAACTCGAGCACCTCATGATCACTTGCACTCACTATTACAGTATACTATGTTTAACCTTAACTGACCTCCCACTTCGCTAAATGCCTGCAGTAGTGCAACAAGTAGGACTCAAAACTAGCTGGTATCCTAATAATTCTCTGATTAACAAGGTGTCTGCATCAGCTGGACACATCTTATTGGAAATAGTGATAAAATTATTTGGAATTGAAGAAAACTCTCCCAATCATGAGATAATCAAGTTATTGAGTTTCCATACTTCAAGGTTCCATTTTATAGTTTAGTTTTAGCTGAAAGCTAAGAGCAGAAGCTCACTTTTATCGTCTTCGCCACTGATCGGCTCGTTAGCCGCTTGGGCGATCGGTCACGTCTCCGATTACTTTTCCTTTTCATTTATCTTCTTCACCAAAAGATCGGCTCGCTAGCCGCCCGGGCGATCGGTCACGTCTCTGCCATGCACTGTGGGCAAATACTGGGCATGCACAGGCTCCTGAATGTACCTGAACCCGCTCCAGTGTTGGTCAAGTCTTGTCCTGAAAGAGCTCACACTCGGTGCCGTCACAACACTCTTAAGTATTGACTAAAGATCATGTACTTTTACCTTGTTATTTCTGAATAATGTTACTTTTTACTTTTACACAAGTACATTCTTAATAAAATTTTGGTTTTTGATAATGTCATAAAGAACTTATTCTTTACATATGAAGAAAAGAAAAGAGGAATCAAAGGGTAGCATGGAAGCAGGGATTGGATACCATTACTGTACCACAAAGTAAGACCCTACAAACACATCTTGAGGAATGTTGGATGGGCCAGCACTTAGTGAATTAAAGACAGAATATCAGCATGCTTAAGAACGTCAAAGGAATTACATGAATGGTAATATCACGAGATATAAAAAAAATGATAGAAGTGAGAGACCTGGGAAAAAAATTGACTCCAGAATGCACTAAGAAAATCATACTATAGGCAGACAATTCTTAATGAATTTACCTCAGTAAGGGAACATTGCTGATGAATGAGTCAAAATAATGTATTGCATGAATAATTTGTTTACCTTAAATGTATGGTGATTTTATTCGCTGAACTTTTTTTTTTCCCCCACTTATCAGCTTACTAGCTGTTCAGATGGTTGGACTATCCAGTGTTAGTATACGAGGAAACCGGGAACCGAAAAACGTGTGATGTTTGGTAGGATCACACTGGAAAACACCCTCCTCGTGTGTGTCCGAGCCAAGGCTCGAACCCTTGACATATTGGTGCAAGATGTGTGTGTTACCGCTGTACCACCAACACCCCTTTACACCCTTTTGTTTCAAGGCAAATTATATTAAAAACAGTAAAGGCTTGGATGAGCAGAATAACATCCTCATATAGGGCTTTTAAAGTTGGTTCTAGGACGATTTGTTACTGGACAACTCGTCACCGGTCAACTTATCACCAAGTCTTTTCATCACCGGTATATAAATTCCGGGTTGGTGTTGGTTACCATAAAGGCTTAAACTATTAGTGCATGAAAGTTCCAACCTTCAATTGCATTGTTATTACTTTGTCTTTAATGACACTTACTATCAGTATAAACTGAACCTAACCTAACCAAATCATGGCTTCATTGCCCCAAAAGAAAAGCATTATCATCTCAATTTAAGAAATATAACATGGCAGTCAATAAAATTAAATATTTGTCATGGGATAGGAAATCACCTGGTGATGAATAAACCAGTGACAAATTGTCCGGTGCCGACATGTCCACCCATCCTTAACTTTAACCGGTATCAAGTACTTTTCTTACTTGCCTAACTTGGCACCGACACCAGCTGAAATGAGAGGTCTTGGTGAATTAGGAACCCCATGATTGCTACCACACAGCTATTGAAATAAAATATTTTGAGTCTTATACAAAGTATTCAAGCATATAATTTTATACTATTAATATAGTTTCAACTAAGAACTAACCTTTATTTTCACAATTTCCTGGTGATCAGCAGTAAGCAAATGAATGTATTTTTGCATTTTCAACCTCTCCGATTTAAATGCACAGCCATCTTTCCAGTTTGGCTGATGGAGTTCACTTGGTATAAACAAAGCTGTCTGTGGTGTTATCTCCTGACAAAAATCTACTTTACTTGATATGTTACTAGTTTCACAAGAGTATGGATTTTTCAACTGCACCTGAGGATCACTAAAAGAGGTTCTATCAGATAGAACACAATTTTTTGGTACTGTATCTTCTGTAGAATATCTGTACTCCGTGGAAAACTCAAACTGGTTTTGACCAATCTCATTTCCAACTTTCTGATAATTTTGTTGTATACAATGGGGATTCATTTGTTCAGGGGTCTGAAAATTTTGATAGCTCAACAATTCTGCAAGACCTTTTAAATTTTTTACTTTGTATGGGCCATGTAATTTTTCCAACTGTTGCACAATTAGTAATTTCAACTGATGATTTAAGAAAGAAAAACTCTCATGCCAACTTTCTGGTACATTCCCCTTGGTACTTGGGACTATGGGCATTGGATTCTTAATAAAGTTGGTTAAAGTCTTTATGTTATTATCACAGGACTGTGCCTCATGATTAAATAAAGCTATACGGTGAGTTTGGATTTTGGTTTTCATCTCTTGGAGAAGTGATTCCAATTGCTTTTCTGTGGGAGGTCTGGTAATAAATCCTTCTCTGCCTAACTGATCATGAACACTGTTATAGGTGATGCCTTTCTGGCTGATCATGTTCTTGGCTATATTAATACTTTCTATATGATCAATTTCACATCTTTGTATTCTTTGAGATTCTTCACTAGATTCATGATGTTTGACACAAGCTTTTAATTTCCCATCATTATCCTTTTGGTTTACATGTGGCTTTAGTATACTTTGAGAAAGAACACTTTCATCGCTGTTTAAATTATTTGTCGATTTATTTGCTTGTGAGAAATTTACATCTTGTGAACCAAATCTAGAATAGGAAAAAAGTTGTACACTTTTGCATGACTTTTGAGACAGGTCTTCATTTACATAAGCAAGTAGCACAGGAATACCTGAACTATCTGAATGCACTGTATCAATGACTTCCAAATCTTCATTTTCAAATTTATGCTTACCACAAAGTTTTGAGCTGCATTCACACAATGTGACTTTACCCAAGGCAGAAGAAGTCTTAGAGTTATTATTGGCTTGATAATTTAGTTTATAAGCAGGTACATCTAATGGAAATACCGAGCAATTATGGGAAAACACAGAGGACTCTAAATTTTGAGGATAGTTTGAGATATGACATGCTCCAAATGGTCTAAGGGATGAGTTACCTTGCGATATTTGTACAGGATAAGATGGTGAAAGAAGCACAGATGACTGCTGATTAATGGAATGAGGTGGTATGGTCTTATTGTCATCTAAAGAATCTACTACAGCAAATTTTCCTGTTGTTTGAACATCTGTATCATCAACTGCCTCTGTTTCAAGAACCAAATCAAGTAAGTATTGATTTTCTGCTTTTGAGGTTGGTACATTATGTTTAAGCATTTCAATTCCCAGTTCTTCCGTTTCGTAATCAGTTCCCTGTTGTGGTGTATTTATCAACCGATTGTTTTCATAATATTCTTGGCTAAAAAGCTGCGAGTCATGATCTCCGATGCTAGAAAGATCAATTGGGTAATTTTGAGAATCATGTTCTATCAGATCTTCCTGGGTTTTATTAATTTCAGGCACACAATTCTCTTCAAAAAAAGCAAAGTTCTTCACTTTAATTCTTCTTTCACTTGTTAAATTATCTTTGTTTTTCTCTAACTTACAATCAAAAACACACTCTTGTGAGACACGAGACACTTTAATACTATTTGTGGAACAATCCATATCTTGGTCAATAATGATGCATTCTAACTGATCAGCACTATGTTGCGAGTCGTTTTCTCTACAGTTTTTGTGACATTCGGTAACTTTATCTTTTCCAGATTTTGCAGCCTTATCTCTCTTCACAATTTTAGGGTAACAGGAGAGTTCCAAGGTATCCACAATTGGAGGACTTGAAACTTCAGTACAATTAACATCAGAATAATTATCTTTTTGGACGTCTTGAATCTCGGATATATGAATTTTGTTTGAATCTTTCATATCATCATCATTTGTCAGAGCTTTTCTTCTTGGTTTCACCATGCAAGCTTTCTTTTGTATTACAGGTACTTCTGTTTTGCCATTATGGTCAACATGCACATCTAAATGCTTACCTTTATCACTTGCATGGTTTTGTCCATCATATAATTTGGAAATATTCTTGTTTAAATCTTTCGCGATGTCCTTGACAACTGACTTTTTTTTCTTTCTGAAGTTCCACTTGCAGTCTCTTTTCTTATTGGAGCTTCCTCTGCCATTTGTTAGCTTTCTATCTTCTTCTGTTTTATTCTTCAGATTCAGTTTGGTGTCTAGATGATGTAAGTTAGCAGCTGTATGTTTTTGTACAGCTTGTGTCCAAGAAATACTTAGCTTTTCTGAATCTCTAATGGCATCTTTTACATCAATTCCGCGAGCTTTCTTTCTGGGAAGGTACATGCTTTCCATTATTCCCTCTCGGTAGTCTATATTTCTCTTCAAACAAGCAGTTCTTATCGAATGCTGAACTTTATTACAGCTTTTCTTCTTTATCTTCTTCTTTTTACTTAATTTATCACTATCTTTGCTTATCCTACTTGGGCTACTGCTCAATTGTTTTTTAAAGTGAACTGAACTTACTGACTCAACTAGTGTTACAGTTTGTTTCTTATCCTCTGGCTCTCCTATTTCATTTGTCCCCAGAGGAAAAACATTTGAAGACTTGCGAGATTTTCCCTTTCCTTTATAAATCCTTCTATCTTTAGGTAATTCTACGATGTCAGGAACAGTTTTGTTCGGTAAGATAATATTATCAGTCTTTATCACTTTGTTATTATAACTTTTCATATCTGTCGTTGCTTTCTCCAACTCAATATTCTTTTTCACTTTCTTTTCCTTCTTTCTTGATGGATATGATCGTTTTTTCAAAACATCAACAAACACACATTCCATTGGTTCCTTGGAATCTTTTGGTGCCTCTTTTCCATCATCTTTCTTCCAGACAGCTAAAGATGGTTTATTGGTTTCTTGAATGCAATTACAGTCTGTCTGAGTTCTCTTTATAGTTTTTTGCTTAATGATCCTTTTTAGCATGCTTGGCTTAATCAAGTCCGGTTTACTTTCCTCTTTTGAGCAAAACACTTGATTAAGCATCGTGGAATCCAACAGGCTGGTTCCGTTGGATTCACTATGGTGGTTCCCTTTACATGGTTCCTTATGTGTAGCAGTGGCTGATACAGAAGCATTCTCATCCTTTCTCTCAGAAACTGAAGTCTTATAACCAGAAATATTGGTTACCTTGCTTACAGAATCTAAACTGTTCAAATTCTTTCCAACCTTCTTGGATTTATCTACCTCTTGGGAGCACCGACTGGTTACCTCTGAATTCTCGTAAGAATGTATAGATGTACTAATATTATTCAAGTTGTATTTTTTCAATCTTTTAAAATCCTTTGGGCGCTTCTTTTCATACATGATGACGACTTCGTCTCCATTCTGTTTCTCAGCAATTTTTGGGGTTCTCTTTCGCAATGAGTTCTTGATCGTCTTTGGATTATCCGTTACCACATTATTATCTATATTTTCCTGGAGTTCCTTTTGTTTATCTTTGGAAGAATTCTTACCCTTACTATGATGCTGACCAATAATTTCCTGGGTTGTGTTGCAACTTTCCTCCACATTCTTCGGTTTAGACTGACTAGACGAAGAAGAGGAATCACTAACCTGAAATGATACAGTACCACAATTAATATTTATGCCAGGAGTTATTCTAAAAAGAGTGAACTGTTGATTGCAGATACACAATTAAGATGGCATAGTTTCCCCATTCACCCAGTTATATCATCTGCCCTAATGCAGTACAGTATCAATTTAATGATATATTAGTACAAGTACTATACATTATCATACACGGTATATAATTATATAATCATCAACAACTTACCAATTACACTACATCATTATCAGCACTTTATTCCCATTTTCTACACTTGCCTGGGATACCTATGATTTAAGGATAGCCACTCTCCAGGATGCATGTTCTCAAGCAAACACTTTAGTCAGATGCTTATCCCTGTCATTCTTGGCCTAACCAGAGCTCTTCTCCCCTCCACATTCAGCCTCATATATCTCTTGATCCATTTGTTCTCCTCCATTCTCTTTTCATGTCCAAACCATCTCAGCTTGCATCTATACAAAACCTTGCCAATAAAGTAAGTCTTCGCTTAACGTCAGGGTTATGTTCCTAAAAATGCGACGTTATACGAAAACATTAAGCAGATCAATTTTCCCCACAAGAAATAGATAAAATACGGGAGTTACGTTCCTTAGCCTCCCTTTGCCCCATGAAAAACATTACATATAAAGAAAATCATTGCCATTTCTATAGAAAATAGTACAATACAGTACTGTACTGTATTAAGTTTGTATTGGTATTCAACGATGGGCGGAGGTGGTGGAGCGAGTGTGTGGGGGAGGAGGCAGATGGCGGGGGAGGAGGCAGATGGCGGGAGCGGAGCAGGAGGGAGGGAGCAGAGGAGGAGGGCGGGAGCAGAGGAGGAGGGCGGGAGCGGAGAAGGAGGGCTAGGGCGGGAGCGGAGGAGGAGGGCGGGACCGGAGGAGGGTGGGAGCGGAGGAGGGGGGCGAGTCACTGAGACTCTGCGGCTACCTTTTCCTGCGCTGACTGGGGTTCTTCCGCCGTTGTTTGCTCCTCCTCGGCTACTAGCTGTTGTGAAGAAGCTGCTTCTGCCGTCCTGTGACAAACAAATGAATCCAGTTTTGACTGCTTGATGCAACTCCTCTTCTTCTCCTTATAGATCTCAGTGCAACAACCAAGACTGTCACCTTTGAGCTACGTTCTCTGTTTGGATCGTCATCTATAAGGATTTGCATTGCTTGCTGGAACATGTTGAACGATTCTGCCATCCTCTTGGAAGATAGTGTTCGTTGAGGTTCTTCTTCGTCATCATCGTCTTCAACGGGACTGTGTTCTGTTAGTTGTTGCAGATCTTCGTTGGTGAGCTCGTCTGTATGGGATGCCAGGATGTCCTCAATATCCTCTGATTCCAGCTCATCAAAGCCTACCTGTCTAGCCAAACTGAGGATATCCCTATTCACAGCTGGGAATAAGTCCGTGAATCCCGTAGAACTTTTGACGCACTCGGGCCACAATTTACGCCACACACCATTCAGACAACTTTCTGGAACCTTTTCCCATGCCTTGCCAAGGTTGTCAACTGCACGAAGAATGTTGAAGCCACGCCAATATTCTCGGATCGTGGGTTTGTTTTCTTCGTCTGTAGCCTTTAGCAGCTGGGCCATAGAGCGTAAATAATACGCCTTGAATGCTGCGATGACGCCTTGGTCCATAGGTTGCATCAGTGCTGTCGTATTGGGAGGCAGGAATACAACTTTTACACTGTCATGCAAGTCGTCGAGATTGAGAGGATGAGCTGGAGCATTGTCAACAATCAGAAGAATTTTGAAGTCAAGGTTCTCATTGGCAAAGTATTCATCGCAGGGACGGCGTACACGTTCAACCACTGGTTAAATATGGCGCCGGTTATCCATGCCATCTTATTTGCCTTGTAGATCACAGGAAGGTGATCCTTAAGAGTAACCTTTCAGGGCCCGTGGGTTAGCAGAGCGAGAAATCAACATCGGCTTTAGCTTGACATCGCCGGCAGCGTTCGAACCAAGCAGCAGCGTCAAGCGCTCTTTTGCCGCCTTAAAACCTGGTGTTCTTTTCTCCTCCTTGGAGATAAAGGTCCCCTCTGGAATCCTCTTCCAAAAGAGACCAGTCTCATCCACATTGAAGACTTGCTTCGATGAGTATCCTCCTTCCTGGATAATCCGTTTGAATTCTGGCGGGAATGTCTCGGCAGCAACCGTATCTGAACTGGCAGCTTCACCAGTCATCTTAATATTGTGGAAGTTATACCTGTGCTTAAATTGTTGAAACCATCCTCGGCTGGCCGTAAAGGTCTCTTCCTTCGATCCTTCACCCTCTTCTGCCTTTATGTCGTCAAACAAGGATCTGGCCTTATGCTGGTTAACCATAAGGCACACAGGCGCATTGCGTTGATTTTGGTCCTCCATCCACATAGCCAGCATCTTTTCCACTTTTCTATCACAGTACTTTTAGTACGAGTTGTTTTAGTTGCACCGCCGAGAGTAGTACCACTTCCAGCACTAACCTTAATCTTGTCAGCGTTGGTAGGGATAGTACGCACGGTTGTGGGGGTTAGACCAAGCACAGCGGTTATGTCCACAGCGCGTTCCCCTTTTCCAAATCGGTTTAATACATCCATTATCGTAGCACAGGTAATGGTCTTACATTGCCTCTTCACTGCACTACCATCAGTAGCACTTGATGGGTGCTTGGAAGCCAATTTGAATGGTTAAACTGTAATACAGTTTTAGAGCAAAAGCACTTGAGCACACACGAATGATGTGAAGTAGTAACAGAGACTGGCTTGGCGTCGCTTGGGGACGCTGTGATGTTCCGCGAGTGAGCGCAGCACACCGAGCTGAGAGAGCGTAGCGCGGCCAGACAGGAGCGGGTGATGTGCCGCAGAAAGTAGTCCGTGAAAACGCAAAATGATGTAGTATCGGATCCCCGGGATGTTAAACAAATTTTTGGTCTCTAAAGTTTAGCGAAGTAGTACCGAAACAACGTTAAGCTGGACGACTTTATACTAGGATGCACTGTACTCTCAATACCCAGCTACCCTCTATCTTTTAACAGGAATTCCTATCCCTCAATGTCACATTACACATCCAACTCCTCATTCTCATTTCAGCTCAAGTTTGTGTCACCCTTTTTAACACACTGCATGTAACTTTCTTTTTAAGTGAATGAAGGCAGTCCTTTCGACATCAATAACGGCAACCATTCCATTAACTTCTCCCAGCTACTTCTCGACTTTTGCAACTGAGCTAGCTTCAGCACTTCATCCAGCAATGATTAAATCATCCAGGTGACAGAATTCATTGACATAAATCCAAGGATATATCCCCAATATTAAGCTTTGCCATACTATAGGAGGCCAAATGATTACCTACACATACAACACACTTAAAATTAGAAAAGTCCTGCAGTCTGTCATTTGCAACATTTCTCCTTCCACATTCACTGCACATTATTGAATCACTCCCAACACTTTTCCTAAAGACAGCACCTGATCATTTTACACTCTCCATAACAGGGCCTTCACCTACACTACTAATCTTAACTTTTGTTGTTGTCACATTCTCTATAAAAGTTCCCATCTTTTCAATACTACAGTATCTGCTATCAACACTAAGCCATCAGCATACAACAAGAGCATATCAGTCATAAACCTCTCAATACTGCCTCAAACACTATGATAAACAGAAGGGGGGGCTCAAGACAAGATTTTTTGTTCCCCTACATTCATCTATACATACAGTATCTCCTTACTTTCCTCACCATCTACTCTGTGTTCTCAAGCCACTCAAGTAATGTAATTAATTTCTAATCAAAGCAGACAATCTTCAACTCCTCTCTTCTTGGCTACTGTACTACCTCAGGAGTCATATTGTCAAATGCCTACTCTAAGTCTACATACTCAAAGTACATTTTTCTCTTCTTCCCTATTTATTTCTTTTATTGTTACCTGGATAAAATATTGCCTCTGTTGCCCTCCTGCCTAGTATAAACCCAAAGTACTTATCATTAATATCCATTCTCTCCCTTGTCAATTTCTCTTGCTCAACTTTCAACTCCTGACCTGATAGCTTGAGGCTCCTCTAGTTTAGATATTCAAGTGCATCACCTTTTCTCATATACTGTACTCATAAATATTCTGAATGAAGCTCTTCAACCAATCAACTGGAGCAATGCATTCCATCATATATCATTGTCAAATTCATAAACACTAATAATTCATACCAAAATTTTAGCTTTACCCACAATAAACTCCACACTTCCTCCCGTAACTGTGCAGCAACATTTGTATTTCACTCTTATGCTTTCAGACACTCCTAACTTGTCCTTTATTTCATTTTTGCTTCTGGTAAGAACTGGAGATCCTGGAACTCTTTACTCAATGTACCCAAAAATGATGAAATACACACCATCCATTTGGTTATTCACCTCAAGATAAGGGTTACCAACTTCATGCTTCTGGACTGGAAAGGGAAAGGTTTATGGAGCCTGAGGAGGAAGGCTATTGATCACCAAATAAATCATATTAAAACTCACCTCTGACAGCCTCAAACCACGAAGATCTTTGTAAATATTGATAGCATTGTTTAGAGTGGCATTGACTATGAATATGATGTTGAGCAAGGGTTTCATGGTGGCAGGAAGAGGATTGAGCCCCAGTTGCTTCAGCTCTGTACACTGAGGCACTATAACAACTTGAATCTGTAGCATTGGGTTCACTATTTCACATGTCAATATCTGAGGCTGAAAAAAAAATACATTGAAAGACATTACACGCAGCTCCCACAAATTTTATAAATACATACATCATACGATTCCTTTAAGGAACATTACTTACAGAATTTTTAGCCTCAATAGGACAAGCGGACAAGAAAAGCATCACTCCTGCGAATTTGGACTTCACTAATCCAGAAATCTAGATACAGGTAGTTCTGCTATAACGCGATAATTGTGTTCTTGTAAAATATCGTGTTATAGAAAATCGCGTAATAGAAATAACAGGGCATATGGAGAAAATAGGGTTAGGTGCAGATTACTCGAAATCGAAAAAATTTAGTAGTTAGCCTAACACAAAGGATAGCAGTCTAAATAAATGTTACATTCATATCTAATAATGAAATCATACAGTAAATGTAACACTTTACTTGATGGGGGAGAAGGGTGATTTTGAGGTTGATAAAATCGAGCTTCTCTTCAAGTGTTATATCCTTTCTTTTACGACCATCACCGGGAATTCTATCACCAGAACGCTTCTTGATAGTAAGCAAAAATCGCGTTATAGCAAACAAGCGTTCGCGTTATACAAATATCGTTCCTAATTCATAAATCGCGTTAGAGCAAATTCGCGTTATCAAAACACGCGTTATAGCAGAACTCACTGTACTGAAGTATGAACACTTCCAGGAAAAGTCTAAAATACTGAAAACTGTAATCTAATTTATAGTAATATATAATTATTCTGGTCTACTTAGTTCCCACTGAACCCGTGTGTTCCATCTGAGTAAAAGGAGTCCGGGAACACTGGATTAACAAGGATGGTGGAAATTAGCGAAGAAACTTAAAATCATTAATAAAAACAAACGCTACTCAATCTTAGGTAGAACATAAAACAAATATTTCACTTGAAAATTTAAATGGTCATGTCTCATAATAAACAAAGGGTCAATTCACATTGTAATTTTGAGATATGTTCCAACTGCAACACTATACATTCACTACTTCACTTCCACACAGAATACAATTGATCTAATTTGTTAAAGAAGTTTGTTATTACATTTGTCTTGGGCTTATGAGAAGCAAGGATGAACTTGTGGTTAACTTGAATTTCACTGAATACAAGTAAACCTCGATATACGATATCCCGTTCAGCGATATTGTGCTCTAACGATTGACATAAATTAAGACTATCTCGCTATATACGATAACAAAAAAAAAATTGCTTTAACAATATCCATCGATATCCATTGGTTGGAATTTTATTTTATCTCTAGTGCAAATTATGGGCTGTATATACTGAAATTAACTGCTGCCTCGCAAGGATTCCAGCAATGCAAATTATATTTTTCTAAGTCATGTCAAGTGACATTTTATGAGGAAACCATTTTTAACCCTGTGCACTACACACCTCTACGTTCACTTGTCAACCTACCCACACGCCACCACACGGCCAACCCGCTTACTAAAGCCCTCCCCTTCGTTCTTTGTCGATGGTAAACCTGCCATCACATTGTTTCATGATTATCGGCCAGTATCGAACTTTGTACTTATCATCAGTGGGTTTTTTCTTATAGTGAGAGGACAGCAATAACGTTTAGATTGAAATGTGTTATGGTGACTGTGGAGTGATATTTTCTGTGTTTTTGTGACTAAGGTGCATTGACTCTGCTGCTTTGAAAATGTGAGCAGTGTCAGCCACTATCATTGTTTTTGTTATCATTGTTTGCTCTGTTTTTGTGACAAGTGCTCTGTTTTTGCGACTGTAAAGTTAGTGTAACTTTGAAAATGTTTGGGAATGCCAAAGCATCCAAGACAACCATGTCTCCGAGGTGAAGCTCGCCATTGTTAAGCAGCACGAGACTCCCCCAGAGGCTGTGTGGGAGTCAGAGTGACAGTCTCCACTCCACCCACAAGAGTCCCCTTAACCTCAAAGGGGACATGTGATGATGACCAGGCTTATTCTTCAGGATGTGGTGAGTGTTGTTTAATTGTTTTGTACTGATAATAGTACAGTATTGTTGGAATTTTTTTTAGACGGTGATACATTGTTTGGGGACTGACTGGGAACGTATCCCATTGAACCCCATGTTATAATGCTCCCTACCTAAGATAATTCACTTAGCGATGGATTTTTTCAGGAACCTAACCCCGTCATTTATCAAGGTCTACCTGTACTAAGATATCAAGCTAATTCATATAAAGAGCTTTAGCCATCAGATTCATTATGAATTGTATTCTACAAAAAACATTCCCAATTTCTTTGGTATATAACTAAACTCAACATATGGCAGGACTGTACCTGAATGAAGTCCGTGTCAACAGAAACAAAACTGAAAGATGAACATGTACTGTAAAATATAAAGGAGGGTGCATGTGAAGCATGTGCAAGGGGAGAACACTTGTGGAAATAGGTTTATATCATTAAATGTGTCAGTTTTTACACAAACTACTAAGTCTTTTGTATGAACAAATATTAGTTTTTTTCATTTGAATAAATATTAGATACTGTACACAGTTTCCATGCCTAGTGGAAGAAAAATTACCAATACCTGTACTTCATATCCTGTGCTCATGCTAAGACTTACACTACCAGTCACAACTAAAAATTTACATCACAATACACCTAGCAGTAACTCTCAACAATAATCAAGCAACGTATAAGCAAATTCTTAAAAACATTTGCTGTTTTTGTCTTTTCACTGTTCAAACTACTTTCATGATGCATAGATTAAAAGATCAGAAAAATACAGTTTTAGGGATACCTTTTCAGTTTCTGTCAATTCCTCAGCGAGTTGGGCGAATTCCGGTGAATCCGAGGCAGAGGTCATACCAAACACTGATACAGTTTTGCCTTGGATGTATTGAGGACATTCTCGAAACATAGTAACTGGATTGCATTTTAAAATTTTAGTCCAAAGATGACCATATTCTGCTATGCTTGTCATCTTTAGACTCCCACCACTGTTGAGAAAAAAGATGCATTAGATATAACACAATCTTAAACAGAGAGATTTATCATACCTAGTCAAATTTAGGGGAAAATGTATGTGGGCCCACATGGCCCAGCAGAATTTTTAGGGGGGTAATTCAAATTCAAAGGAAGATGGACACGTCTTCAAATATATGCCATTACTTGCGATAAGATGAAGAATTAATTTATTCTTTGCCTCTTTATAGAAGTACAGGTATTTATTGTAGAAGGTTAGAGATAGATTGTTCTTTTTTTTTATTTTAAATGAGGGATGTAATGGACTTGTTTACACAGTCATATTGTTCTTAATATGATTTTGACCCATGTGATAAGGAGATCCAGAGGCTGGTTGTAAGGTCAAGTCAAACCCAAAGGCATTTTACCGCTATGCAAAGTCAAAATTAAAAACTCGAGTAGGAGTATCAGACCTGAGGCTTGAAGATGGTAGCTACGCAGATTCTGACCAGGAAAAAGCGCTGAGGCATTGAACAGCTTCTTTTCCTCGGTGTTCACAAGAGAGGATGCGATTAACCTAACTGCGTTTGAGGACAGACAGTTCAACACAGCACTGCCCCACATTGTGTTCACAGAAGAAGTTATACGAAATGAACTCAAAGCTAAAGGTTCATAAGAGACCCAGCCCTGACATGGTGCATCCCAGTGCCAAGAGAGTTGTGCAGTGAGCTTGCCAAGCCCCTGAAGACCCTGTTCTGTAAATGCCTGGATGAGCAAACATTGCCAGTGATTTGAAAATGGCTTATGAGAGTCCTATCTTCAAGAAGGGCGATCGTCACTCCATGAACAACTATAGACTGGTGAGCCTGACCAGCATAGTAGTAAAGTATACTTCAGTGCATTATAAGAGATGTCATGATGGAACATCTACTAGGAAACTAACCTTGCAAAGGATTGCCAACACGGTTTTATGCAGGGGCACTCCTGCTTAACACAATACCTCAAGGTACTGGATATTTGGACCCATATTCTGGAACAGGGTATTAATATCGACAATATATACCTAGATTTTGCCAAGGCTTTCAACAGAGTACCCCATGAAAGGTTGAAAATTAAACTGGAAGGTTGCGGTATTCGGGGAAATGTCCTAGCGTGGATCAAAGACTTTCTACATGACCGCAAGCAGTGTGTGGTGATTAATAGCACGAAATCATCTTGTGTACCCGTCACAAGCGGGATACCACAGGGCAGTGTATTGGGCCGCTGTTGTTTGTTTGCTTCATAAATGACATGCCTGACGTTGTACATTCCTCCATACAAATGTTTGCTGACGAAGCCAAGTTATTTCGGGAAATCAAGAACCATGCGGACTGTGAAGAGCTGCAGAAGGATCTCTGTGAGCTCCAAGAATGGTCAAAGAAATGGCGTATCATATGTCCAAACAAGACGAAAAAACTGCATTAATTGAGATAGAATGTGAAAAGGACCTAAGTGTGTATGTTGACAATGAGCTGAAGTTCTCATGCCATTGTGAGAAGAAGGCAAATCAGGCAACTAAATTATTAGATCATATAAGAAGGTCGTTCAAATATCTAGACGGTCTGTCACTTGTAACGATTTCAAGAGTGAAGTGCTTCCCCATCTGGAATATTGTCACACCGTCTGAACCCCGAGATTTGCTAAAAACTGTCAGTTGATTGAAAATGTCCAAAGGAGGGCCACCAGACTGGTGCCTGCACTACGGCACCTCAGCTACCCTGAGTGATTGGAGCACCTGAACTTGCCTAGTTTATACTACAGATGGGCAAGGGGGGACCTAATTGAGGTGCATAAGCATCTCAAATGGCACTACTCAGTCGAGCTGGCAGATGCTCGCCCCACAAGGAGTCATAGCTCAAGGTTGAAGAAACCGCAAGCCCAGAAAACCGTGAGGGTGAACTTTTTCAGATTGAGATTTGTGAACTCTTGGAACAATCTGCCAGTGTGTGTTGTGACGGCACCGAGCGTGAGCTCTTTTAATACCAGACTTGACAAGCACTGGCGCAGGTTCAGATACATTCAGGAGCCAGTGCATGCTCAGTACTTACCAACAGTGGGTAACAGAGACGTGACCGATCGCCCAAGCAGCTAACGAGCCGATCAGTGGTGAAGAGGATAAAAGCAAAAGTAAGACAGAGAAGGACGCTAGAGTTTGTAGTAAGAGTGGTTATTTTTCAACGCCTATTTTCGGGTAGACATACGTAGAATATTTTACATTTACACTGGAATGATAATAAAGTTAAATTAAACAACAAGAAAATACTTACATTCCAGGGATAAAAGAGTTGTGATAGGACCATATTGTAGTTGATCCAAGATTTCTTGTGCCAACCCACAGTTGGCCATGCCAGATAGACCAAACTTCTTCCATTGCTTGAGTCAATTCACTGGAATCTTTGAATTATGAAAATTAGATGCAATGGTAACCGCATTATTATATACAGTAGTATTTAGTATTACATATTTTTTTTCAGTCTTGATAGGCTTTGCCTGCTAATGATGTTGTAGGGTGATGGCAGGACCCAAGCACATTGCACATTACAGTACTGTACAGTACTCTTATTAGCTGTCATCCACTTGCTATCTGTACTGTAATGTAATATCTCCATTAGCCTTTCAACACCATGATGTAAATTCACTTTCATTTCTACTTTCTCTCCAGTGATATTTTTATTTTATTAATAAAAATAAATGTATCCATAAATATGATGTTAAAAATAAATATGGAACAAAGTGGTGACCTTAACTTTTACTTTTTTCATTAAGAAAGAATGTCGAAGGTTCAATTTATTTGTTGCATTGTATACAATCACGAATGATTTATGCCGTATCCTCCCAGGTATTCATTCAATTTAAGTTTGGGGTAATGTGTTGTACAACACAACACTGAGTCTTCTAAGCTGTAAAATTTAACTTGTTAAGAAATAGATGTATGAATAATCCAGCAATTGCTCATGAATCCTAACCTAATCAAACTATTCACACACCTGTTTCATATTACAGTAATTGAGCTACATATTTCCTTGTGTACCTGCTCCCAGGTGTAGTAAATAACTAGTGTCCAGGACTCATGGGAGAGTGCCTGATGAATATCACCCGAGTTATATATTTGTCTGAGTGCTATATTGGACAAATATTCACTACCTAAAAAAAATACAAAATTGCAAAGCTTGTTGGTAAAAAATAAAGGTAACAGTCAAGACAAGTTATACATCTTAACTACTGTACTTCCGTACTGTTTTAAATTTCACCATAAAATGTAAATGCTTTCTTACCTCATGAATATTATGAAAGGTCACAGAGGAAACCGTTTATCTTAACATAATTTTTACAAAATTTTTCCGCATGAGCTTGTCATCTATCCTCACTACAGGTACTCCTCGACTTACGACCACTCGGACATACGACTGCCGCAGTCGTATAAAATGTTTTTCAAATTACGTATTTTCGAGTCCCGACGCTAGTGATCACGCTGTGTACTGACAAAATTTTCTTTTGTAATTCCCTTTAAAATGGCTGGCAAGCTTAAAAGTGAGAGTTCTTGTGGTGCTGAGAAGAAAAAGAGTCACCCAATTTAGATTTTCTATGTATTATTTTTGCATTTTCAACATACGACCTGGTCGTCGGTCCCTAACCCCGTCGTAAGTCGAGGACTGACTGTATTCATATCTGGAGTGTGTCCGTCACAAGTCTGGGAATATAGATTAATAAAATTTACCAGTTTAACCCTTTAGGTGCGTAATTAAATTTCGCGCCGGTTCCTGAAAAGTGTCAATTATCCTGCCAAAAATGAATTTCATATAATCACATTTTCTATATGTTTTTCCTAGAGAACTTTTAGTATATTTTCCAAATCTGGAACAAAAATTCACATGTGTGTGCAAATTTTAGAGAAAAAATGACATTTATACCCAAAAATGCAGGAAATTGGTATACATCAATGTCTGGTATATGGCAAATATATTTAATCAATTTGGTTACTAAACAGCAAATTTAGATATGTATTACATATTCAGATAATATCAAACAAAATAGTACAAAAATAAGCTATATTGCATTCAGGAAATACTCCTATACCTCAATACATAATATGTCCGCATGTCGTCTCATTTGGGGAAGTTTTTTCAAGGCCGTGGGATATCCCCGCTTGTCGCATTTAATTAATATAATATTTTGGGCGGGTTTACCCGCATGCCGCATCCAAAGGGTTAAGCTACCAGACTCAACCTAACCAAGCAGTTATCTATGACACCTATAAAAAGAAATTCCTGTCTCTTAGAGGAAACATTCACAGTTTTTACTTTTACCTTTTTACTTTTATCCTCTTCACCACTGATTGGCTAGTTAGCCGCTTGGGCAGTCTGTCAAGTCTCTTACGCACTGTTGGTAAGTACTGGGCATGCACCGGCTCCTGAATGCATCTGAACCTGCTCCAGTGCTGGTCAAGTCTGCCTTGAAACAGCTCACACTCGGTGCCGTCACAACACACTCTGGCAGGTTGTTCCAAGAGTTTACAACTCTCACTCCGAAAAAGTTTGCCTTCGCAGTTTTCTGGGCTTGTGGCTTTTTCAACCTTGAGCTGTGACCCTTTGGGGGCAGGTGTCCACCATCTTCAGGTAAGGACACTTGAATGAGTAGTGCCCTTTGAGTTGTTTATACACCTCAATTAGGTGTATATGTTCAAAGGAAGGCCACCAGACTGGTGCCTGCACTTCGGCATCTCAGCTACCCTGAGAGATTGGAGCGCCTGAACTTGCCTAGCTTACGGTATATTACAGACAGGCAAGGGGTGACCTAATGGAGGTGTATAAGCATCTCAAGGGGCACTACTCAGTCGAGCGTCCTTACCCGAAGATGGTGGACACTTGCCCCACAAGGGGTCACAGCTCATGGTTGAAGATGCTGCAAGCCCAGAAAACTGCGAAGGCGAACTTTTCCGGAGTGAGAGCTGTGAACTCTTGGAACAACCTGCCAGAGTATGTTGTGATGGCACCGAGTGTGAGCTCTTTCAAGACCAGACTTGACAAGCACTGGAGCAGATTTAGATATATTCAGGAGCGAATGCATGCCCAGTACTTGCCAACAGTGCGTAACAGAGATGTGACCGATTGCCCAAGCTGCTAACGAGCCGAAGAGTGGTGAAGAGGATATAAGTAAAAGTAGAAAGTAATAACCTACAAAAAGCTAAAGTAACCTATCCTTTATTATCAGTTAATACTGTAGTGGAGCAAACAGTTAGCATCCGAAGGGCTTTATAGAAATCATTCACATTTTGCACACACATTGTTTAGATGATAGTGAGTAATGAAAATGATACAATTTTTTTTTTAAATAATATTTTTTTCTATATCCAAGATCATAAATCGCCTCTAGTGGGCAGAGCATGAAAGATGCACATTACAGGGTAAAACACAGCAAAAAACTGACCATATGGCAGTAATTTCATGTCTGTACGTGCTATGTTGACGCTCAATTAAATATTTTCCCGTAAATATTACACCAAGAATTCTCCAATGACAACACTTGTTATCAACCACTCTTAAAATTAAAATATTTTAATTCTGCAGTTTTAGTGCCATAAATATTGATTTGATTAATTATCTTTTGTTTTCAATGTCCTGGTTTTCTTGCTTATGGCTGCGCAAACAGAGATGGGATCAATTATGAATTGAACTGGAATTGATTGGGGAAATGCATGAATTGGAACTGAAGGAAACATTTTTTAATTGAAGTGAATTAGAACTGATGCAATGAATTGATGTAAATTAATGTTTATCAAAATAATAGATGCATTTTTTGATGTGGTAAACTTATTACAGTACTGGTATTGATATTTTTTCAATTTTTGTTCAACATGTCTAACTTGAATGTTTTTAAGTAACAAGATACAGAATATTATTCAATGTGGAAATCCAGTATGACACATTTAATATCTTGCCAACTAAATTCAGACTATTGGTCAACTTGCCAAATATTAGAAAGGGAATTAATATAAAAACTAAAGTTGAAAAGCGATTCGCAATTGTTAGCGCACTGCATGGCAGCCGTGCTAGACATACGATAATTATTCAACAAATATGATAATTGAGCTCTGTGTACAACGTAGTTACCAAAATGTATTCAGACTATTCTTATGCTTTAAATGTGTGATTTAACGGAGAAATAAAATGGTTATGAAGCCTTTTTTTATGAAAATTAAATAACTTAATTGAATTGTAATTAAAAAGTACATTGGAAGATATCTTTTTTTTTTGTCAAATGGATTTGAATTTGAATTTAGAAAATGGAATTGACCCCATCCCTGTTTGTAAATCCTTTTTTTTTCCTTTTCTTTTTGTGCAACTGGTTCTTGAAATTATTCTACTCATACGTATAAAGAATGAGATTCACATAGTGTAGTTGATTTGAAACCCATACTATGGGTTTGGATACATTTCCAGTTTTTTTCAAGTAGCATTGGATTCTAAGAGAATTGTATGTTCGTATACTTATTGCTCTTCCTCCAATGAGATAATGTCATAGAAGAAAAGTAGATTAATATATAAGACTAACCAGTGAGCAAGTTATTCTTATTGTTGTTTATTTTCTTACAATATTTTCATCAGTGAGTTCTGATATGATAATCATTTATTGTGGAAATTGTTCATTTCATAGATAATTAGGCACCTAGGCTCGCACTAGGTTATCTTGTGGGCGGTATTGAGGCTGCGTTCTGCTGTGGGGCTTTTCCCGCGCCCAGGTCAGAGTGTTTTTCAGCATGTCGTGTGAATGTTGTCGCCAATCTTATATGGACGTAATTTGTGAATTTAGGGGTAAAGACAGCAAGACCTTTCAATTGTTTAAAGATCACGGCATTGTTCCTTTACATAGAGACTTTATTTTCTTACATTATTTTCAACAGTGAGTTCTGACATGATAATCATTTATTGGGTGCATAGCGCCGATGCGGCCATATCATTTCACGTCCAGAAAATGCCTCAAATTTCACCATATCATAGCAAGTTCTTTCTGTTAAATATACCGGGGTGTCTTAAGGAAGTTAAGCAAGGTTAGGTTGGTTGGTTTGGTTAGGTTAGGTCTGTTTCATGTCCACTAATGTTAAGTAATGTTTATTTTTAAAATACTGTATCCATTTTCAACATATTTCCACAAACTACAACAGCGTCCACTATAACATAACAGTGAAAATCCGGTGTTCTCATAATTTTTTTTCAATCAAATTCGCTCACTGGTTAGTCCTATATAATTACCGAAAAGTGTCTTATTAGAACTGTAAACTACAGATTCCAATAGTTAAATTCCTGTGATTCCCCTTGATGACCGAAACTAAACATTTACCAGACTGAAGTACTGTATATAGCTACCTTTTATCTCAATAATGTTATCAAGTCATGTTCAATATAGTATCGCAAGTTATCTGTGCTTGTGGAGGATGAAGACCATCTCCAAGAGTTTATCTATCAACATGGACTACTTGGCATGAAGTGCAAATATTCAAAATGCAACAAAACTGACAGTGAAAAAGAATTATGTGTTACTGTGCAACAACCAACCATACTCTTACGTCCACATAAAAAACATTATTACACCAGGTATTATTATCGGTTCAGTGAATTTTCAGATTTTAAGTTACCACCGCCCGAGAGAGCTCCTGTATGTTCATTTTTTGGTTACTAAGCTGCATTACGCATGCGCTAGAGTCTGACACATCCTTAGTTCTTTGGACGTTGATTGGTGGGTATGATTTTGTATCAACCAATCACAATTCAGTATAGGCCCCAGATGCCACCCTTTTGAGAGGTTAGATTAGGTTAGGTTAGGTTGAGTTAAGTTACATTAGAGAAGCAGTGCTGTGACCACTTTTTACCAGTTAGGTTTGGTTGAAATAGTTTTTCGATAGTTTTGAAGTGTTTCGAATAATTCAGACCTTCATATCTTTCTTTTCTTTTCCTTTTTTACGGGGACCAGCCCACCCAGGCACAGGTCACCGACACACATCAGGGTTCGGAGGGGGGGGGGGGCAATAATAATAAATACAAAAACGAAATAATATCAAAAGCGAGAAACAATTATTGCAAATTACTACTGTACTGTTTGCATTTTTCCCCACCCAAAAGCCCTGGTTCCCACTGGGGTTACCCATTATTGTTGGATCTGTGAGGGAGAAGTGTCTTTTATTTATTTATTTATTTATTTATTTATTTATTTATTATTTATTTATTTATTTATTTATATATATATATATATATATATATATATATATATATATATGTATATATGTATATATGTATATATATATATATATATATATATATGTATATATATAAATATATATATGTATATATATATATGTATATATATATATATATATATATATATATATATATATATATATATATATATATATATATATATATATACTGTATATATATATGCTGATAACCACAAGGAAAGAAGAAAACA